AGGCGGGGCTACCCTTTAAGAAAACCTATGCCTGACCTCGACAGTTAAAATTTTCAACATTTACCTCAGGTATTCGGTTCATTTGCACTGGAAACTAGATATACCAACCTAAATACCGCACGCAGCCGCTAATTAAGAAAACGTAAAATCCAATATTTACTTACATACTTATCTATCGTGTGTAGACATAATATATACCTAAAAACAATGTAGTATTATTGTATTTACATAAACCAATATAAATTAACTTGCATACGCCACTTTTACGCGCGGTTCTCCCTGGAAACCATTGTGGTTAATTCTAGTGGAATTCGTTACGATGGGCTAACGGATGGATGATTTCTGGGGCAAAATTTGTTTGCGTCAAATTAAAAGTTCTCCCACAAACAACGGTTCAGCTGCTGTAATTAGATATTTATATCGTTGAGTATCTATCAAAAAATCATACCATCTTTCAAGAGTATACTGCGAAGAATTATTTACTTCTTAACCCTTGGCTTAAACCTTTTTAAAGAGCCACCCCTTCTTTCGTAGTATACACATAATGTTGAAATGATTTATTTTTTATATCCAAAACTTGAGACTACAATATAAATAATACGTATTGTTATAGCTGTCTGTTTGCCTTAAATAAATAAATTTTATAAGTTTTAACAATAAAATTTTCTTTCAATATTCCGCCCTCTTCTACAAACCTCTGACTAAAAGTATTGTATTGTAAAATCTTTATTGCACATAATTCAAATTGAACACTGATAAATGATCTAATATACAAAATTGAAAATTTTGAAACCTATGTTATTTCATTAATGTAATAATGAATAATTCATGAAGTAATGTAAAAACAATGTACTTTCGACTATTGAAATAGCGTTTATTCAGAAATCTGCATTATCTATCAATTAAAAAAATAAAGTTTGTATAATGTTGAACAATTTTTAAAAAAAATCTCTAACAATAGAATTCTTATTAAAATAACAGTTAATTATTTGAAAACATCAAAAGCAACATACGTAATTGCAAAATATTTATTGTTAGACTAGTTACTTCCTGCGGCCTCGCCCGCGTATACCAGTGAGTTAAATAAAGTATCTTAACATGTTATATACTAAGTTACAACACAACCTACCCGTGTACCAAAAAATTTCATTCAAATCCGATCAGTAGTTTTTGCATGAAAAAATAACAAACATTCCATCCATCCTTAAAAACTTTTGTATTTACAATATAAATAGGATTAATAAACAACTTGTTCCATAATTAACGTATTCAGAAATACTGCAAGTTAGGTTTATGAATATCGATCGTTAAAGTTCGTAACTGGAAAAATTTACTTTTTGGAATTTTAAATTTAATTTTAAATTATGAATTTGAACTAACTTTTAGCCTTTTGATTCTTTTATCGGTTATTTTGAATTGACTCTTTCTAATTATTACTACCATTTGAAACGAGGTATATCTTTATTTATTTATTTAAGGAACACCAACAGCATATTGCATTATAACATATAGGTATAACAAACATTAAATATAATACAATATCAATGCACATGCCTATTATAGGTATTCACAGCATTCACTTTACCATAATTATACAGTGTAAGAAAATTAAGTAAATAATAAAAATAAACATGTAGCCTAAGTTGTGAGCAATATCAGAAAATCTTATTTATAATATACATATTATTTACTCAAACCGGCATCATGACATTTTCAAAATATCTAATCAATAAACATTTAGTAGCTTGTTCTTTTACGTCAGTCAAACATAAATTATAATAAGTAACATATAAGCTTTTCAAGTCTTAATATATTAAAGTTTTCCCTGATAACTTGGACCGAAATAGAAATCAATTATTATTTTTAACTAGCTTCTACGCGCACCTTTACACATTTGGATTTTGTAAGTAAATAACCACTTTTAGATGGCGTATCAAAATAAAAGTTACGGCAGATTTTAAATTAAACCTTCAGAAAGACAACTGTGAAAATCACATTCAATTTGGTTCAATACTTTTTGCGTAACGCCGAAACAAACAAACAGGCAGATAGACAAATATGTGTTTTATGTTTGACTTCTATTGCTCTTATATTTTTTTTTTTCTTAAATATATACGAGTATAATGTAAATATGCGTAAAACGACAAGAATGTTTTGGAATACTATGAGAAGTATGGAACAAATATCAATATAAATCGTTAGTAATTAGAAATTAGGATCAATCTATTTATTAATATCCCAAATGCTCTGTGGCTTATGGTACTGTACATCGACAGACTCTTTTGTCTAGTTAATGGCAACCTAAATATTTTAGACCAAAACTTTGGTACCTCGATCCTTTGTACAGAATGATGGGCAAAGAAGATGGGACCAGCGTTGATACGGTGTTCCATACGGGTACAGAAAACAGTCATACTACACACTGTATAAACCTCGTTTTCGTCCAAAAACATACCTCGAAAAATTTCCATTTCCTCATTTCCATACAATATCAATGACAGAATAAACTTTGCATCGAAAACAAAATTACAAGTCATTACATCCAGTAGGTAATTATGCTAATACCAGTGATTGTTGTTTATATAAAATATCATTATTTTGGGTTTTTGAATTTTTCATCCGTATTCGTTAGACATGTAAACTAATAAAAAATATTGTCTTCCATTTTCAATTCCTTGAATCAGTTACGATACGAGTAAAATATAGATTTTAAAATCGTATAGAAGGGTTAAAATTTCTTACGCGACAAGTCCGTATCATGTCGCAATGCCGTTACTAATTATGATTATTTCAGATAAAAATGATAATACATAGCCAAGCTACGACAATAGTAACTACACAAGCGGATTAACAATAACCTAATCGTTCTTATCTACTTTTGAAATTATTCAGTTCACTAATCTTTCAGGATTTTGTAATATGGTTTCAATTAACATACCTAACATACTTAAAGTGTTTTTTGTTTATATTTAAATAACAATTTTTAAATATAGATCAAGGTGTAAGCTGTTAAGAGTTATTTCATAATATATATATGTCAAACTAGGACGGCCGCATTTATTACGCCTCTGTTTACGATATTAGTTTTTAGTAAGGGTTAATATGATAACAATTAGTAGTATGTTAACTAAGTACACCTTTGTTATTTTTCAAAGAATTGATTATTTTACAATAAACACTGCACAGCTTTTTCAATGAAAAACTTTAATATATTGAAGCGCGCGCTTTTTCCCCACACTAACCCTAACTACATAAGTACACATTATCACATGTACTGACGTTACTTGTTTCTGTAGTTGTGACAATCACAGATCATGGTGTTTCTTTTTTTTAATAAAGGTATAAGGTAATGAATAGCACTTTTGTAAAATATATCATTATATTATTGCAATTAGTAAGTAGTTAATACATAGCAAGACGCAACTGTAGTGTATGGTTAAGGAGTCACAAACAGTAAAAAAAATTATAAAAATATTAATAAAATATTTCACCTTCCTTTATTATGTCAGTAATATTATGGCCTTCTAATTTAAAAAAAAAAAAAGTATTCATGAAGTTATGAGAAAATTATTTGTAGCTCCATCAATTAGATAATATACATTACATTATAAACACATATATTTTCTTAGAAAAGCAGAGATTATTGAGCACCTAGATTCTGCCACATCTATGAAATTGGTTTTATCAATTCATAATTGCAATAAAAATCATTCAGAATTATTGTGTATTTAGAAAATCATTAAGTAATATAATTTTTCTTTATAAATTATGAAACTAAATAAGAGGCCTTAGTAATTATTTAGCTCTAACACATTACTGTGTATATTAAAAATATGACATCAGTTTTTACTTGAACTTTGTAAAAATAATAAAAGACCTGTATGAATTACATTGCTGTGTGCAATGTAATATATAAAGCATATAATAGGCCATACCTTCCTTTCTAATAAGTATTGCAAGAGGTGACTAACAGAAATTAATGGTGGAGAGATAAGCAGCAGCTTCCCACTTAAAACATCACCAGAGGTTAACTGATGTTGTTAACCCACCTGATGAGCATAGAAACTACTGCAAAACTTCTCTTATGGGGGAGACCTATGTTTAGAATGGCTAACAGCTGATATAATAATAATAAATTACATAGGGCTGCCCATTAGAAATTATTGACAGTATAAGAAGAAGAAATACAAGTTGCAATATTATTTGTGAAGCTACTTAAAATATCCATAAAAAAGAAATTATCTCTTCTTGTAACAAATTATGTTTCTATATATAATTATACCAAATTTACTGATTTATTTACAATATCAACAGATAACAATACATACAATGTTTATAGTACTATAATAAGCAAAAAAAGCATTTGCTTATATGCACTATAAAACATATATTATTATATCACTTGCTATAATCAAATCAAATAAAAAATCTAAAGAATACTAAATATACAACCCTAAAAACTAAATCTTTCTTGCTTTTGTTCAATTAATATAATTATCAATTTTTATAGCACTCTTTGATTAGAACCACTAACATTGATAATATTGCCCCAATTAGAATCTAATTAAGGTTCTGTTTACAGTATTATTGGTGACAGGGTCAAGTTGAACTTGTTAATAAATATTTTTAGCTTTATGTACCTACTATAATTAAACAATACCTAGTTAACATAAAGTAAATATATCTGAAAAGGATTTTTTTCTGCCAAAATATATTGTAATTAAGGTAAAAATTAATTTGATCATAAACAGCTAATACATAATTACAATATGATAGTTGGTAAATTTTCCAGAGTTTTCCACATGTTTCACTGCTGTAATATGCCACAGAACTGCACCAAGCTTTAAAAAATATTTAATTATACACTATATTTAAGTTCTACACTGATATATGCAAAAGGGTATGATCATTTTCAGATCTAACAAGTATCAACACACCTATGAATATTGTATAGTTTACTGAACATGTAGTCTACAAATAAATGATTTGCAGGTACTTACTTGTACAGGTGACAAATAGATCTTGCTAAACCATTTCCAGAGCCACATGGCATGATGGCAAGTGGCACTTCCTCAAATGCCTGCTGCCAATCCAGTCGTTCGAACATGCCATTAAGCACTTCAAACAACACACCATCACCGCCGACTGCCACAACCCCTCTCCATGCATAAACATTTCGCGTACGAACAAATTCACGGGCATATTGAGCATACTTCGTCACGTGCAGATCATAAGGCACCTCTGCCTCTTGCAATATTGGTGCTACTTTCGTCTGGAACTGCTCTCTAGCCTTTCCCGGGCCTGACTTTGGATTAAGTAGAATCAGCAACTTCTTATCATTTACAGGAGGCGAGTACGTTATCGGCTGACCTGCTATCAAACACTTCAACGTCGCTCTCCACTTTTGAGCCTCCCTATTGTTATCATCGTATTTATCGTAAGACCTAAAACGTAGGGTTATTGTTGTGCGCTCTCTTTTCAATGTACGGCGGCTACGCTTCAATATATAGGCATAAACATACAGATATGCGCTTATATCATTTTCGTCAAGATCGCCACTGTTCTCGTCGACTACTTTAAGTTGATGGGGTCCCACGAGTGAACTGCAAACACATGAACCAGCACCAGGGCGACGTCTCTTACTCCTCATGCATTTGCTACCGACGATATCTCGCAACAAAATTGTTTGTTCCTTACAATTACCATCAGTTTCTTTTGCCAATGATAGTCCTTTAGATGTTAATCTGACTCGAAATACCGAGTTCTTCTTAGAAAGAATGTAGAATGTTTCTTGAAGATAAACATGTTCTTTGGAATCGGAATATTCACCTTCAACGACGTTCATAACGTCTTTACTTTGTTGTGAATCCGCCATAACTGTTGTACATAAATCTCTGTGCTGTCAGAAACACAGAATCAAAAATTCAGATACTTAAACCAAGAACATGTAAATTAATACACAATATAAGTCTAAGCAATCTGAGTCAATAGTTCCATCTCTGTTCTACAAGCTACAATAGACAAATGAATAAGTCAAGTCGTTGATATTATTTTACTATTTTTCTGGATCTTTGACAGAAAGAGTATATTAACTACTCTGTGATTCATAACAGATTACGTTTGTGAGTTATATTGACAGTGACATATGACATCTAGAAGTTAGACACCTAGTAAATAAAAGTACTTGATTTGTTGGGGAGAAAGGCGGGAAACTCGAATAAGAACAAGCGGGTTTTTTAAATTTTTTTTATTAATTTATTAAAACTATCTCTATCAATTCTTATTATTGAATAAAATATTATATTTTCACTAAATTCAGCGACAGTAATATAATTAGCATTCATGGGGAAGCGCAGTTGTAGAAAAAGGAAAAAAAAGATGACGATTCAGGTGATGTAGACCATGAACCTTGTAATGACAAGGATATATATTCGGAAGATACTTCTACTGACTCAGAATCTGAAATTGATAAGGCCGATAAGTATAAACCTTACTACGTCACAGATTATATTAGAAGATATCCCGAGGAATCCCCTGGGACAGAATTTGTTGTCTTTGTAGAATCCTCAGATAGTCAGAAAACCATTGGATCCAGAGACTTGCTCTCACTCTCCTCCTGTTTAAAACGATTTAATAAAGGGGTAACTTATCTTAGATCTATAAATAAATTCAAAATCGGAGTATACTTTCAAAAGCCAGACTTAGCCAATGCTTTTTTAAATAATAAAACTTTTTTAAATGACTACCATTTTAAGGCCAGTATTCCTGCTTCTTCAACAGAAGTTACAGGCGTTATTAGAAATGTACCTACAAATATATCTAATAAAAAAATATATACTATGATATCGAGTTCTAAGAAAATTATTGCTATTAAAAGAATTTTAAGAAAAAATACCTTGACTCATGGATATGTGTTACAGCCAACTCTAACCGTGACAATTACTTTTGCTGCATCTGTATTACCTGAATATCTGGATATTGGAGGTTGGCGCCACAATGTCACTCCATATATACCACCAGTTAAACAATGCTACCGGTGCTTGAGGTATGGACATTTAGCTAAATTCTGTAAGAATTCTGAGCGTTGCAGCATCTGCAAAGGTGAGCATAATTATAAAACTTGTACAACTGGAATGGAAAACGCTATTTGTGTACACTGCAATGGAAATCACACAAGTGTATCACCGCAATGCCCTGTTAAACAAAAGAAAATTGCTGAAAATAGATCTAAATTCAGACCTGCTTCTTTTGGAGATATACTTAGCACTGAAATATTTCCTAAACTGGGTAACAAACCTAAAAAAAATATAGACCTAATTTCAATTCTAAATTCTGATAACAAGAGTTTATCACTTTTAATAGAAAGCATAATCAAACTTATTTCACTACATAACACAAAGAACACATCTATTAACACTAAAAGTGTTTTGAATGTGTTATATGATACTTTTGGTAATAGACCTATTTCACAAAATTCAATCGAGACCAATTAACTATCATACAGTGGAACGCTCAGAGCCTACTGAGCAATCGACTTATTTTTACACAATTTTTAAATGAACATCATATTCACATTGCTCTCATCTCAGAAACTTGGCTAAAACCACATTACAAATTAAAAATTAAAGATTATTGTATAGAACGAAATGATTGTGGTAATAACCACAATGGAGTAGCGATTATTATACATAATAGTATTAGATATAAAAAACTTCACTCTTTTTTCGACAATTCTTTGCAAACTATAGCTATTAGTATTGAAGTTAATAATTCTTGGTATTCAGTTGCCAGTATTTACTGTCCTACCAATAGTACACCTAGTTTTACTAAAGCCAAATTTAAGTTCTTTTTGGAGTCTCTTCCTAAACCCACTATCATATCTGGAGATTTAAATGCACATCATACTATGTGGGGTTGTACCTCCACTAATACAAGAGGTAAAGACATTCTTGATTGTTTAGATGAATGTAATTTGGTACTATTAAATGATAAGCAAGTTACTACTGTTGGCTCTCATATTTGGAGACCCAATGGCCTTGATTTAACTATGGTATCCCCATCCATATCATTAAAATGCGAGTGGTCGGTTCATGATGATCCGTTAGGAAGTTATCACCTGCCGACTTTTACTAAAATAAACACAAAGAACTCTTCATCAACTCCGTCAGGTGAACAACATGCTCCTATAGATGAAGTTAATAAACTTTTGTTAAATCGTATAAACCTACGTCTCGTTAATTGGGATCTTTATTCTGAAACTGTTAATCAATTACTTTTGGATTTCGAGTATGATGTCAATGAACCCTTAAACAATTACAATAGGTTCTGTAAAATTATTTTGACAGCTGTGGAACGTTCCGTTCCACGTAGGAACTTATCAAATAGCGGTGCAAATACTTCAAAGAGGCACAAACATATTGCAGTACCTTGGTGGAATAACAGGTGTGCGACAGCTGTCAATGATAGTAAAGCGGCTTACCTTAGGTTTAAACAAAATCCAACTCTCGATAATTACATAAATTTTAAAAGAGTTCAAGCTGTTAAAAAGTTAGTAATTAAGCAAGTAAGACAACAGGGGTGGCAGGAATTTTGTTCCAAATTTAATAGACTAACACCAATTTCCACTGTTTGGCAAAATATGAGAAAACTAAATTCAAAACATCGTCAAAATCATTTTAAAGATATATCATGGGTCAATGATTTTTTACGCAAATATACTCCTGATTTTGTACACTCACCTTTTGATGACAAACAGTTTAATTCTGTTAATTCATGCCCAAAATTTCTCACTGACCCATTCTCAATTGATGAAATATCCAGTGCAGTAAAATCTAGAAAAGATACAGCTAGTGGCCTTGATCGCTTAACATACAATATGTTTCGATTGCTGAATAAAATAAACCTTACTAAACTCTTACAAATTTTTAACGATTTATGGAAGGACTGTATTATCCCACCAGAATGGAAAATGGATTGTTTGATTCCAGTAATTAAACCCGGTAAAGATCCTACAAATTTCGACTCCTATAGACCTATAACATTGACGTCCTGTGCAGGCAAATTATTCGAACAATTAATTAAACAGCGTTTAGAGTTCTTTATTGAAAGTAATAGTATATTACCATCGAATCAATTTGGTTTTCGCCGTGGATATTCAGCGCGCGAAAGTTTAGCGAACTTCTATGTCGACCTTAGTACTGCTTTGAATAACGATGAATATGTTCTATCTGTTTTTTTAGATGTCGTAGGAGCTTTTAACAATGTAAATTTAACAGTTCTATCTTCGATTCTATCCTCATTTCTTCCAATGAAACTTATCGAATGGATTTATAATTTTCTTAGTAATAGAGAAGTGTATGTTAAAGTAAATAGTAAATTAATAGGACCTAGGTTAAGCTCTAAAGGAGTATGTCAAGGTGGTATTCTAAGCCCGCTACTATATATTTTATATATCTATAAACTTAATTTAGTTTTAGGAAACAGTGTGAACAACTTGCAATTTGCCGATGATTTATTAATTTATATAAAAGGAAAGAATATTATTGATATGCAATTAGTGTTAAATGAGTCATTAAAAAGACTTGAGAAATATTTTTCTCTTCTTTCCCTCGATATTAGTTTAACCAAAAGTAAAGTAGTTGTTTTTCATCAAGTTCATAAATATGTTCCATTAATGAATATTATATATAATAATCAAACTCTTCCAACAGACTGTAGCGTTAAATTTCTGGGGGTAATTTTTCATCAAAATTTAAAATGGGATCTATACGTTGATTGCTTAGTAGATCGTGCTTTAAGAGCCACTAATATAATAAGATCTGTAATTGGTCGTAACTGGGGAGCTGATCCTAAAATTATCCTTTTACTTTACAAATCTCTTGTTAGAAGTAATTTTGATTACGCTTTCTTTTGTTATGCCTCAGAACATAAATTAGTAGAAAAACTCGAAAAAATTCAAAATATGAATTTAAGACTTATTTTAGGTGCTATGTATACTTCTCCAATTATCTCAATGCAAGTAGAATGTAATTTGCCTCCTATCCTTCTTCGTTTCGAATACCTAAAACTCAAATTTCTCTTCAAAGTTTTTTCAGTTTCCAATAACCCACTCATACTCAAATTATTAAATTGCCCCATTTCTATGTTTTTGAATAAAACTATTATCAATGATTTGAATTTACGAGATGAATATAACATCTATAGTAGTAAGATACTTCCTTGTTATAATGGCCTTTATGAGAGTAAGTTCTGTAAGATCAAAATTGTTATACATAAAGACATAAAAGAAAAGCACGATATGTATGAGACTTTATCAGAATTTATTGACTACAGGCAGATATATACAGATGGTTCCAAAAATGCACTTAGCACTTCAGTGGCTTTTTACGATTTGTCAAATAGATTTGGTCACGGTTATAAAATTTCAACTTTGGCTAGTATTTACACAGCAGAAGCAAAAGCTATATTTTTAGCATTAGAATACATAGAAAAACAGGTACTATATTCGAAATGGATTATAATTACAGATAGTATGAGTGTTCTTATGGCATTAAAAAATAACACAATCATTTCATCATCAAACTACTTAATTCAAGAAATTCGTAATAAATATTATCATCTCTGTACTATATATGGAAAAGATATTATCTTCATCTGGACCCCTTCACATATTGGAGTGTTTGGGAATGAACAAGTAGACACTTTGGCTAAAATTATTAATTCAAGTGCTGCTCGTGTTCAAGATTTACCCCTTTGTTACTCAGATTGTAGTATTGGAATACATAAAATCGTTACAACTAAATGGGAGGAGCATTGGACTCAAATATTACAGACTAAAGGCAAATGGTACCGCAAAATTAATTGGCGTATTGGAAAACCGTGGTTCTGCAAAGGAAAGGACACAAACAGAAAATTTTACACCAATATTTGTAGATTACGAATCGGCCACGGACATTTCAACGAACACCTGCACCGAATGGGCATGATCGCTTCCCCATCATGCACATGGTGTAACTCAAATACAGCCCAATCTCTACATCACCTTTTTTTTGATTGCTCTGAATTTGTCATTCAAAGACACATTATGTTTGACGAACTTAGGATTATCTTCAAAAACCCGAAAATATCCCGCACTCAATCCCGCTTCTCTTAAGATTTCCTTCTTGTTTCAAAGCTATTTTCACTTATATTACTACAACATTCAAGGAGCTATAAGAATACTTTTATTGAATTGCAAGACAATGATTTTTTATAATTATTTATTTTTAATTTGATAAATCCACTGGTTTAAGAAAACTCAAGAAAAGATATTTATGAAAATGTACTTACCGGATTTGACAAATGAAATATTGAAGATTATGACAATAATTGAAGCGACATTAGAAAAATAAAATTCCAGACAAATTATCTTTTTGAAGACTAGGCAGCATGGTCTCCGACCTTAGCCTGTTCCAAACGGAACAAACGTACTAAAAAAAAAAAAAAAAAAATGATTTGTTGGAAATGATGACAGCTCATCCAATGTGGCACTGTTGCGGATTCAAATCTATTCAATTAAAATTTTAATATTCATCGCCTAATTTTTAAATCTCAGAATAATTATTTACATAAAAGAACTGAAATAGAATGAATAAATATTATCTCGTAAATAGACTTTAAAAAATGTCCTACAAAATATTAGAACTATACAGCGGCATTGGTGGTATGCACTGTGGATGGAATGGTAATATTTATTTAATATTAAACTACTACTGCCACTTGAAATGATGTATGTTGTGTCTATGATTTTTACTTGTATATAAAGAACCTACTTAGATTTGTAAATTCCCAGTCTAGATATACCTACCTAAATTAACATCGTTTATGTGTCGATAATATAAATGCATGGATGAATTGTGAAGTGCTGATAGCAAAAAAAAATATGCAAGTGATTACTTACGAACTATTCTTGACTACTCAGCTAGCAACATTTAGAAGTACAATTGTTTTTTTTAATAAAATCTTGTTCGATTCCAGAATCTGGAATACCAGGAGAAATTTCTACTGCTGTGGATATTAATACAGTTGCCAATGAGGTTTATAAACACAATTTTCCTCTAACTAGATTACTTAATAAAAATATACAATCCTTAACACCAGATAATATAAAAAAATTTGAAGTAAATACAATTTTGATGTCTCCACCATGTCAGCCTTTCACAAGAAATGGAAAATGTTTGGATGATAATGACCCACGAACCAACTCATTTATTCATTTAATTGAAATTCTGGACCAACTAAATAATATTGAATATATATTGATGGAAAATGTAAAAGGTTTTGAATGTTCTAGTGTTAGAAATTTATTTATTGAAAAGCTTAAAGAGCTAAACTTTGATTATCAAGAGTTTCTGTTGTCACCATCTATAGTTGGTGTGCCCAATTCTAGACTCAGATATTACTGTATAGCAAGGAGAAACGGATTGTCATGGCACTTTAAGAGAAAAGACAGTATTGTAAGTGATTCAATTTTTAAATACTTATGTTCATCTATTTTTAATTTTTTAAATAACTAATTCAGTTTTTATTACATTTTAACATATTTTTTTCAGATGACCACCTTACCAAAGTTGTATGAGCAACCCTATGCTTTACAAGATATAATAGAGTCTGATGTCTCAGATAAATTCATAATTAAAGACAAACTATTGAAACGGGCAAACATTTTTGATATTTGCTATAAGGATTCTAGACGTTCTTGCTGTTTCACAAAAGCATACTCCCATTATGTGGAAGGAACGGGCTCAGTGTTCACTGAAGCAAATCAAGAATATGTTAAAAAATGTTTTGAAAAAGCAAATACTTATGAAATAGGTTGCAATAAATTTATTGAAACATTAAAGGAACTCAGACTTAGATTTTTTACACCAAAGGAAATTTTGTCACTTATGTCATTCCCTGAAGTATATGAATTTCCTAAAAATATATCTACAAAACAGTGTTACAGATTACTAGGGAACAGTGTCAATGTGAAAGTTATATCTGAGTTATTAAAATTACTATTTGATAAATAATATATTTTAATTATTCAGTAAACAGATTCTTATAAAATGAAAAAATAATACCTATAGTATATTATAATCTTCCAGTAATAAATATTTATCAATCAATTAGATTATATTTAAATTGTGTTTAAATTGATCCATTGCTTAGAACCTGTCTTGCTCTTCTTTTAGCTCTGTGGTTCAGTACTCGCATCCTTAACATAACAGCTAAGGAAGATACAGCTCCAATGACAGAAGACCATATTGTAAATTTCCAATAGGCCCTTTCTTCTAGATATGCAACTCTATCACAACTGCAATAATATAATTCAATAACATCTCTGAATTTGAGATTCATGTATATAAAAAAAATCTATTATAGATCAATTTATTTACATCTTACCTCCTGGTTACTGTTTCACCATTCTCACATTTTAGAATTTCTTTAAAACTAGTATGTATACAAACTCCTATACTTTTACTTCGAATCTCAAAATCTGTAAAAAAAAAAAATTATTGCTATAAAAAAAATATTTCTAACTCTACTGACTTTTAAATAACAAGTCTGAATTATTTTCCAATTTGCAACTTCTTAATATTTTTTACTTTGAATATTCAATTTTCTCTAATAAATCTTGTAAGTAACCTACCTATAAGTATTTGTCTACAGTGTCAGACAAATTTTAGTTATCTCAACTTACATGACTTACATGCTCCTAGTGCAATGCATAAGTTTTTTAACTACAAAACTTACCTTGAAGATACTTTTAAAATGTGTTTTTCTCAAAACTTTTTTATTTACATCAAATGTGCATGAACAGCAGAACTGCTTTTTAACTACTGAACTCATCAATATTAACAAATTGATTGTTTAAAGAGTACATCATAGTTCTGGAAGTGATTGTACATCTTGGTGCCTTAACCCCCTGACTAGGCATCCCATGGTCTCCGCGTGCAGTATCTACTAGTTTAATTTTATGCATCCTGTGATTTTGACATGATCACATTTTTATGTTTATTGACATTGTTATCAGATGATTTTTGTTTTGGTAGATTGATATTGTTTCTCAGAATCTTGCTAGATGGCTAAATACTCATACTGCTATTTGTAATTTGAAAAATAAAAATATGCAGTCAGAGGGTTAACAAATCATAAAATTTGGTATATTACATAATACTTAGGATAGAGAAGGGTATATGCTACTTCAGCCTAGTCAGTACCAGCATTGGAAGAGTTGCATCAGATGAAATTTAAGATTGGAACTAAAAATTTGTATTTCAGTGAACAATAGTGACCTATTTTTCTTAAAGTAGATAATAAATTTAAATTAACAATTAATAAAGATATACATATTATACTTGTAATTTACTGTAAATACCTGAACAAGGATGACATTCACTTATTATCTTGTATGGTTGGTACATCCAACATGTAGAATTATTTTCAGTGGGAAATGTTTTATTTCTCATTCGTTGGCTTCCAGAAAGCGTTTCAGCTAAATGTGACTCCAATATTAGCACGACTATAGTCAATCTAAAATTATTACAAATAATACTTTGAATAAAATAAATGTTACATTATTTAACTCTATATATTTTTTAATACTTACATGCCAAGACTTACGGTGCCTAGAACCATACATCTCTTAGAACACGTTTCGATCATATTTTTTAAAACTTTACTTTTATGATAAGTCGAAAATATTAAATTTATTTATTTTTATATAAGAAATTAAAGCATTTTATTTATACTGAAGACATAGACCGAGTAAAAACAATCACTACGTCGAAGGAGTCGGCAGTAACCATATATCCACAAAACTTGGAAATTGAAATGCATATTACCTTTTGCGGAGTAACAATAGAATAAAAATTATATATATATTTATCTACAACCAAGAGGCAGATTAAGTGGAGGACGTTCCGATGCTGGTTCTAGGCGCTGGACAGGTAACCTGGATCTGAGAGCAAGTTTGAATGAACCAAAAATTCAGGAAGCCTACAGCAAGAACCAGATCCTGCGAGCTACAAAGATTCAAATCAGTGGTCTCCACTTTTATTCTCCTTTTGTGTTCATAATTTCTATACAATTTTCTTAATACACACATCAACATCGTCTAAGGATATTTTAAATTTTCTCAATTTGCTAAAATAAAAATATAAATAACATGCAACATGTATATATTTTTAAAATAATTTTGCACAATTTTAGTTTTATTTAAGTAAAGTTATTGGATACTGTCTTTGTAATCGATTTTCTCTCGATTAAAAAGACACAATATCCAAGGACTGGTAAAAAGATTTACTGACAGAAACTGAGAGCTAGTGCTAGAGCTAATGGCCTGGCCTCATCAAATATTAATAAGATTTAACCTGACATCCAAACAGCAGATTGGATGATTGTACTATAAGGAACAGATTGCCAATTAGCAGACTAGAAAAAGAAAAAAAAATTAAGTAAAGACAAAAAAAAATTGTAAAAATAAAGTTGAAAGTTATTTATAAGAAAAAAGAAAAATAAAGCTAAGTATTCAAGTTTTTTAAAATGATACAAAAATTAGAAGTCAGTAAAACTACCCATGACATTAATAATGGTTTTGCACCGGTTTTTCATGCTTTGAATCAAGTGATCAAAATATTGTCCCAGGACCTACTTAGATACAAAAAATGAATGAATTAATTAACTAATTAATGGTTTACTTTCTCTTCACAAAAGGAGTATAAAGTGACAACTTGAGGTACAAATGTTGGTCTTCAGTTGCAATGTTTACAGGAAAATCCTTCAGAACCCGTCTTTGGAGCATGTCCCACGCGTGCTCTATGGGGTTTAGGTCTGGTGATTGTGCGGGCTAGCTTAAGACGGACACATCGTGCTCCTGCAGTCAGCTGATCCCGACTCGCGCTGTGAGCGGGCAGGCGTTGTCTTGCATGAGTGTGAATTCTTGGCCCATTTGTAGTCGATGGGGATGGACAATTGGTATTAGCACCTAGTTACGGTATTTTTCAACGGTCATGGTGTTTCTGATCCAAACTAGGTCTGTTCTGCCACCGACACGAATTCCCGCCCAAACCATAATTGTCCCGCCATGGTAAGAATGGGCTTCCTGAGGGTGTCGCAAACGGCTCTCAAGACCAGGAACTCGCCATACACGTACTCTTTGTGAATCAGGATGGAAACCAAATCGAGACTCATCGATAAACAGTACTACAGACCACTGGATATCCTCCCAGAGCAAATGTTCACGGGTCCACTGTAATCTTAGTCCACGATTTCTTCGGCGCAGCGCTGGAGTACGAAGCGGTACTCTCCGTAACATCTCCTCTCTTGTCAAATGGCGCCGCTGCATGATGAAAACAGTCGCATAAATTTCGAATCAAGCACAAACTTGCCTTAAAACAATAATTTAACAAAAAAAGATTTACAAAAACTATGGGTAAATTGAAATATTCGATTTTCACCATAGTAATGCCGCACAAATCTTTTGTTTTTAATTATTTTTTCAAACTCAAATTTAGAATCGTTAAAAAAGATCTCTAAAATAAGATATCTTGGAAAAAATAAAATAAAAACGCCCAATATTTTTAGAATTTAAGAACTTTTTATATGAAATATCCTTAGACGATTTTAATGTGAGCAACCATTGCAAACGATTATTTTTCAATTTTTACCATCTCATTATGAACGGTTAACAATAATATATGCAAACTAATTTTACTTAATATATTCAATTACAATTATTGCTGACTAACTGGTCCAAATCTGTTAAACATTTAGCTAAAGAGGTAATTATTTCTTGTATTATATCGTATTAAAAACAAATTTATTTATATTTTTTACTACGTAAATTATCAAAATACATATAGTTATTTTAATATTAAAGTAAATTATTTTAATAATGAAGTGCTATTTTTGAAAACATGCTATAACTCTGTCATGATGGGTATTCTAAATGCCCATGACCGACATGATGGAATATAGTTTAGTAACACAGTTTTATACAAAAATCTCATTACTTAGTGACAACTTTACTTTGATAGCTGTCAAATATAACTAGTTTATACCAAAGACTTATGTTATATCTTTCGTCCTCTTTTTACTAATCATATTTCCATAAGAAGAGAGGAAGCAACCATTTGATTTACAGTTTTTATTTTATCATTCCTTCTATGTAATTCGTTGTTCTTACAATCACACTTGTACACTGTCTTGATGAATTTGACTTCTACTGACTAGTCAAAAGACAGTGCGTTTTATATGTCTATCTCTCTCTAACGCATTGGCAATGTCATAAATACAACGAAAAACACTCTATGTGAATAGAGCATTCCATCTATTCTATGCCGAAATCTTTGAATATTCCGTTATCTTTAATTAGATATATGTACTATGTTTCATATCTGTCAAGCCAGATTATTGCGTTTGATACATTTATTGATATTTTAATTTGAATCAGATTATATCGATATTAAAATGTGTTTAAGCTTAAGTTCAGTACCTATCTAACAGGAAACAGGTCGAGAAATAAAGGAACATATATAAGTTTTGTATAGGTTTCAGAAAAGCTCTTTTGATGTGTTAATAAATCTGCAAGGGTTGCGACAATAAAGTTAAATAAATTAATCAAAATATCAACAAATAATTTTGGCCTATTTGGGTCTATTTTAGCCAATTTGGACCAAACTTAGTCAAATTAAATCAATTTAAGTGAGTTTAATGAAATTTAATCAAATTTTGCTAATTTGGTCAGAGTAGGTAACATTTTATAATGTGATTAATATAAAATAGCAAGTATCCCCACCTGAGTTATAAATACACACTAGAAGGGTGCTGTTGAAAGATGGTAATCATAAAAGCAGGCTAATAGGTCCATCGTGACAAATTCAACAACAGTTACGTCTATATATGTAATAAAATTAATAATTAAAGAATACTGAATATTGTAGTAGATAAACTTAATACCGACTGTATACATATAAACGTGGTACATTCACATAGTGAATTTGTTTTTTTTTTTTACAACACGGGACAAACGAGCATGCGGCTCACCTGATGGTAAGTGACTACCGCCGCCCATGATCACCCACAACACCAGCGGCATTGCAGGTGTGCTGCCGGCCTTTTAAAAAGGATTTTGTTATGTGTTTTACGCGATCTAAACATACGTACCTACTAATCTGCAATAAATACATTGTAATATTATAATTCAATAATATTATATAATTATCTAGTAAGGTCTTTAGGATAATTAAAGAAAGATTTCTTTTATATAATTAATTTTACATACTATAGGGTACATGTGAAAATTTTACTGAAACAGACAAATTCTTGATTTTTGACACTGCGCGAGCCAAAATAAACGGATTCCAAAACGACGTGAACGTAACGAGCGAATAGAGCCCTACGCACACAAGTATCGTTTGGTTTTAGTAATGTTCTCGTCTCAGTACTCCTAGTATTTTATTTGTTGGATATATCTATTCTATGGCAAAGAATATTAATAGTTAATATAGAGATATAAAGAGAATTCGCTGTCTTTGGTACACAAATCTTTAACGGGCACCTATTATGTCATCTATATTGCCAACTTAGCTATGTGTGGCTTGATTAGCTTCTTTTTCCCTAAAGCTAGTCCGAATTTATGAATTGAATAAACAGAGCAAGGATGTTTTTATTTACAAAAGGTGGCTGATATACAGCAACTTTTAGACTAACACCAATGACTTTATTTATTTTAGTAAAAAATTTGATGTTTATTGTTATCTTTAGTGACTTTTGTGTAATAAACATAGGACTTGCATAAATAATTTTATTTTATGAGTAAGTTACATGGCAGGTTACTATACAGTAATATAGCTATTACTTTAATATTAGATAATTTTATAGATTAATAGTAGTAGAATAAATTATTATATTCAAATTTCATATTAATTCTTTAAGTTGTAACGTAATTAACGCGTTGGTTGCTTAAAACCCTGTTGGTTAATAACTGCTGTGATAATTAATACAAAAAAATAAACGGATAAATTGTATCTTAAATATATGTTTCAATTCGTTCATAACACAGTAATGACATGTGAAAAATATTTAAATTAATCTAAAATGGATATTCTAAACAAAATGTAGGTACTATAAAAACGGATATAGATTATATAAACGGATATTCACCAACATATCAAGTTGATTAAAGTAGGCATTTGGATCGAAAGACTACAAGTCGATTGAGAAATACACTACACTTATAGATAATATGTAGATAAGAGTCTAATTGGATGCACCAAATTAATGCACCACTTCTATGAATTGTCTCATCAAGCAGACCAGGACAAGGTTTTAGAGTATTGATAGAAAAACAAACATGACGTGTTTGTCATAAATTTTTTGTAGGTCATCTTTTCTTTTTCTCGATTAAAGAAATATATTCTGTGAGTTAGCTACAAGCCTTATTTAAATGAATGAACGTAATTTTTAATTAATTTCATTATTTACGTTCTTTATAACATAATTATCATTTTCTATTCAATAAAAATAAATAATGAAATTTCTGGATATTGCATTCTTTCTTACCTTTATATGCTAAACAATAACTAAAATTAAAAATTTAAACTTTGTAAGATTGTTAGAAATATTTTAGAATTTCTAATAATCGGTGTGTATGTAGTATGTCAGTGACAAAATTAAAGAGCGATAATTCGTAAATTATAATGTACAATTAAAATAATTAAGTACATTCGTAATATAGCTAGTTATAGTTTATTCTCTTGGTCTCCAACGATCGCTTTATCCACAATTTTTTGTAGATTTAACGTTCAGTTTTGAGGCCACCTGGAAGAAAAGGATAAGATGGCCTCCAAAAAGTTAGGAGTGCTCAATAGATTGAAACGGTATTTCACACCGTAAATTTGAAATTATATAAAGCTCAAGTCAGGTTACATATGAAATACTATTCTCACCTTTATGCATGAGTGCCACAGTACCAGCTTCTCTCGTTTAACCGAATTTAAAGTTGAGCGTCTCGAATTATTGACAAGCAGCGACTTACAATCCAACTCAGCTCATTGAAACTGCGTAAAGTTACATTTTATACCGAATTTATCATGAAAAGTGCTTTGAGGAATTGTTCAAATTGATACCTGTTGCTGATTTTCACCAACGTACAACTCGCCACAAACTAAAGTTCCATCGCAACCATCTGAACGAATGGCGGTTCTCCACCGTGCGTTTTTCAAGGCACTTTTTTCTACGCACAACCATTCTTTCTTGTCTCCATGCTCCTCTGGATACAGAGAAGTTTCGATAGCCTATACCATACTGGTCCAACTAACGGATCTGACAAATATTAAATATATCTGTCAGTATTCTACAACTATGACGATATTACTTACGTGATAATGTAGTTAAATTTCAATGGATTCGGGCTCATATGGCTATAAAAGGTAATGAAGAGGCTGATAAACTGGCAAAATCAGCAATCTCTTATGGTAAGTAATATGATATTAATCCATATTATATATAATTTGGAAGTATTACTTTAATTCGTCCATAACAAAAAAGTTGAAAATCAGGCTTTGAATTAATTGAAATTGACCCGAAAACCTAAAACTGTGTTTGCAACACAGTCACAGAGTACTTTAAACGTTATTATTCGCGTCTCGGCTTGCAAAGTCGCCATGTTTCTTGAAAACGTAAACGGAAAAGAAAGCGGCATTTTTATGTAAGTCTAAAAATTACGTCTCACTGTTGTCTAAACGTTCCTGGTGAATAATAAAGTAATGTGAACTCGTTGCTGTATTATCTTTTTATATTTGACTATTACTAGAAATTACCAATATGGCCATGCCAAACGAAAGTGTAAGATCTTTTCCTCTCTTTGTGACTCATGTGGATAGTGAGGGTCATTTTCTGAAGATAAGTGGTCAGCTCGACAAGCAAGTTTCGTTGATGTTAGAAAAACTTTTCGTATGTGCCTGCGATAATTTAGAAAAGGGAATTGGGGCAGTGCCCCCGGCTGCTATTCATGAAGGCATAATATGTGCAGCGAAGTACAGAGATGGTGTTTACTACAGAGCTAAAATCACTAGTACCAATAATCTAGCTACAGGTCTCGTCGGTGTTCACTTCATTGATTATGGTAATAAAGATAATATTTCCTTAAGTACTATCCGATTTTTGGATACATATGATCCAATATTTTTGCAAGTGCCTGGGCAGGCTACTGAATATTATCTTTCACGAGTTATGCATCCTTCTGGAAAATGGGAGGAACCACTTCTTTTGAAACTTCAGAATTTGCTGTGCAATGATGAATATCCAGTGACAGTTGAAGTGCAAACACGCACACTCCCTATCATTTCTATTCAATTCAAGGGTACTGATTTGTCAACACACCTTGTTACAAACAAAATTGGTATTGCTCTGCCTGTAAATAAACAGGAGGAACTTCTACAAATGTCTAGTGATGGTCAAGTATCAAATTGGCAGCTGTCCAGCATTGGAAATGAGTCTTCATATACTGAACATATACCATTTTTAATGCATCAAAACTTTCCTTTAAACCCTGCGTCAGCAATGCGTTTGCAACAAAATGTTGCACTGCCATTCAATGGTTCTGTACCACCTCCTTCGATGATCAGCCAAAGACTAATGGTTAACAAAGTTTCTAGGAATTCTGTAAACCTTAGACCTCTGTCGCGTCAACCTCAGCACACTGGTAATCCATTGTCTGGTACACCTTCTACAACATTACCTATTATTGCAAATAAACAACTTTCTCCAAAGAAGTCCACTACATATAAAAGCCGTTTGTTGGAACTTAACTCTCAACACAAAGTTTTTGTATCATTTTCTGAAGAAGGACCTGAACTCTTTGCTGTGCAGCTTGTGGCAGATGCAAAGAAATTACAGGACATGATGGATGATATAAACAAAAGGCCTCACAGCAGTCTTGCAGAACCACCAATGATAGGCACAGTATGCCTTGGTAGAATGTCTGGTGACAGGATTATCTGCAGGGCAATTGTTATGAATTTATCTGGGTCCCAGTGCAAATTGTTTTTTGTTGACTTTGGTGATACTGAAATGGTATCCTATTATGATATTTTTGATATTCCTGAAGAATTTGTAAAGCCTAATGTTTTTGCTATGAGGTTTTGTTTATCGGGAGTAAAGAAGTTGGAGAAGGGTCCATATCTCACTGAGACTTTCAAGCAACTGGTAAATGGGAAGGTACTTACGCTACGAGTTGTGGCACCTGAAGGACCTCCATTGATTCAATATGGAGAGTTATATTTAGATAACAAGAATGTTCTGGATCTTTTATTAGCAAATATGAAAGATAAGCTACAGTTCAAATGGATGGACATGCTCAATTTGGGAACAAGACAGTCTGTGCTGGTATCTTATGTAGATAGCTGTATCAAGTTCTATATTCAGTTGTCAGATAAGATTGATGAGCTAAATGCTGTGATGGATGCAGTCAGAGTACATTGTGAGAACAGTACTGCGCCTAGAGACCTACCTGTGGGCGCTGCATGTTGTGCAAGGTTTCCTGATGATGATAATTGGTATAGAGCAAGGATTAGAGATGTAAAGGGAAATAAAGTAGTGGTAGCCTATGTGGACTATGGTAATGAGCAAGAAATTGATGTATCAGACCTCAGAACCATCACACCAGATCTCATAAAATTACCAGCACAAGCTATGAAATGTGCACTTAAGGTAAGCTGGTATCTTTTTATTATATAATTTATCAACATAACTTTATCATCTTACTTAAACCTATTAGATCATTAACCCTAAAGTATAAGGATTATTTGTTTCAAATAATCTCTAATATGAATTCTTCATTTGTAAGTAATAAAAAGCTTAGAGATACATACTGATTAATAGGCAGGCAGTCTTCATTAGGCCTTGAAAATAAACTCATTTATAAGTGCATCATAATGCCTATATGGACGTACACAATAGAACTCTGGGGATCAACATGCCACTCTAATATGGAAATCCTTCAATCCTTCCAAAACAAAGCCTTAAAAACTAATCAGAGCACCATGCTCCATAAAGAATAAAGAAGTACATGAGTACCTGGAGATCCTAACTATCAAGGAACAGATACAAAGAGCCTGTGGAACTTATATGCAGAGTAATATCTTAAAAACTAGCTGGCCTTGAAGTTATTGACTACAAATAAATACCTATCTAGACTAAAAAGATCTTGACTAGCCAGCATTTAAAATTTTTATTTGTTTGAGATGACATATCTTTGGATATGCAGCTCCTAATGCCAACAATTGTAATACAACATTTGATTATGGCTAAAAAGGGCTAATTGCAGATAAAAAAAATTATAAATAATAATAATTACAAAATAATTTATATGTACATACATCCATGGAAGATATATAATTAGAATTTTCAATCACCTTGTATTTGACTTATAATCTAATAAGTAATTCTTTTTTTTAATCAGGGCTTTGAAAGTAAACCAATTGAGACAAAAACATCAAATTTACTGGAAATGCTGGCACTCGAAAAAACTTTGATGGCTCATATAGTAGGTGTCCTATCCAGTGATACCATGTTGGTGTCACTTGTTGATGACACTGTTAATCCACCTCTAGATGTGGCAAGGAGGATGAATCAACTTTCACAACCAAGAGTCAGTAATGAGGTAAGTGATCAGAGACTGTTTAACTTTATTGGTTCTTTGTGAGTCTTGAAATGGCAAACAAGCTGATGGTGCACCTTAAGGAATGTGTTAACTGTTACCTTTATACTTGAAGACTGCTATATAATAATACATACAATTTGAGAATAGTAGCTAAATTATTTGTATTTTTTTTGTATAACTATAGAAATGGATGTAGGAATGAATCCGAATTATCTCTCAATACTTTAAATGATCAGATAAGACTACCACTCTTTTGAAAGCTTTCTAAAAATAAGAATCGAGGTTGCTATACTTTCAGTTCTAAATTATTAGGTTATTTTTTTGAAATATCAAATTATGTTCATGTCCACGTCTTTTGTATATATTGATAACGTCTATAAATATATTTATCACTGACTTTATGAATCATTCAAAGACCTACTTGTAACATTAAATAACACCTTTCACTTTAATAATAACATGCGAGAGGCATATTATTACCGTCTGCCAGATAATAGACTACGAAAGATTAAGTTGGTGTGCGTAGGTAAGTCGATATTTTTGTTATTTTAAAATTATATACGTGATAAATAGGCTAAAGCGACGACTCCCGTACGTAAAGAAGCACCAGATACCTTCAGCTCCCCAGAAGGCAGTACGCCCGATGAGGGCAGGAAAAAAAACTTTAGACGTGAGAAAAGCTTTAAAGACGATCGCCGTCCAAGAGAAAACGAGGAGTTTGCGCAAAGAAGCGGCAGTTTTCGCGGCAGGTGAGAGAATGCTCCTTCCTAAAATACTGGCTGGTGCTTATGGATGACAGTGTCACATGCTTGTTTACCTTTCTGTCTTAAAAAACATCAAAGATCGCAACACATTTTAATCCAATCACCAGAATCAACCAGAAAAAAAATCATATGTTGTAATTTGTTGCTGAAAGAAACTATATTCCTTCCTAATTTGGCTTTGGCTTTCTTATAATGTTGACACTCCTCTGAATAATATCACACATCGTTATAATGCCATAGATATAGGACACTTTTATCTTCAATTCCTAGATACGATTACAGTTAAATAGATAAGTTAAAATCTCAGTGCGGGCACGCGTTGCCAGATATTTTTTTCTTGAAACAAAAAAATTATAATAGATTCCTGAGTCATGGTTGCTCTGACCTTCACTTCGGTTCTTTGAACCCGCCGTCGAGTTAGTTGAGGTGCAGTTCTTGTGCTGACAGACTACATAATGTATAGGTAACCCTATTATCGGCATATATATATGCGTTTATTGCCAATATAGATGTAAATCAGTGTGTTAATTGTTCTTAATTAACAATAGTGTATATTCGTGTTTTGTTTTTGTTTGCGCAGGGATAATAAAGATGGATTTGACAGATCTGCACCCGGTAGACACAGCGAGAAGTTTGGCGGGAGGCAGGACAGAGGAGAGAGGTGTGTTTTTATTATTTATATAATAATTCATAATTACAAATTAATTGAATGAATTAAAACTCTTTATTGACCCCTCAAAGAAAGGTACAATATTTACATAAAATTTGCATTATAGTAAGTAAGACGAATGAGATAATAATGCGCGGCTTTATCTCTAAATAGAGGTCTCTTCCAAGTAACCTTACAATAAATTAATTAACTTTATGTCATCGATAACATTAAAACTTAATTTTGTAATCTTATAATTTTATGCTAATTTTAGTACAGCAAAATATGAGTGGTCTATATTCATTGGTTATTGTTCTTCTATATATATTGAGGTAACGGTTTCTTCTTCATAGATAGCTGTTTGACGCAAATTACTACCCATACATTTTATAACGCTCTTGATGGCGTAATTATGTTAAATGGAACTTGTCGACTTACCTGACATAGACATGGGATATAAATATATCTACATAATATATTTATTATATAAATTGTTTATAAATTCCTATAAATAGCGTTTACAAATTTTTATTCTAAAAATAACTGGTTTCTTTTACGTGTGTTTTTTAATTATTTGTTAATAGAATAGAAGCTTTTAGCATTTGGTGCCTGCTTACTGTTTACGAAACATGACTCGATGTTATGAGAGATAGAGTAATACTTGTATTTTCTGCTCACTTTATGTCACAAAAGTTCTACTTTTGTAAATTTTTTTTATACAACTTAGAATGGTAAACAAGCTGACGGCCCACCTGATGGAAAGTGGTAATCGTCGCCTATAGACATGAGCAGTACCATGGACATAACAAAGTATACTGTTTCGCCCATTATATCCCCTATTCGTTGCTATTCCTTAGGAATAAGGTGTTATACTTATCCTGTAAATTCACTGTCATATCCCACCCTTCAAACCGGAACACAGCCATGCAAACACAACTGCTTCACGGTTGAAACACGAATGGGACAGAGGCACCCAAGCAATCGACTTTTGTACAAAGTCTCCCTCTGGTGCAATTGAAATCAATTTGATTTTACTTTAAGAATATATAAGTGTTCATTAGATACATATTCGTATTTCATGAATGCTTTTATTTAATCATAAGCTTATAATTTTCAAGTAACAAACGTAATGACCAGTAACTTTCAAGTGATTAGTACTCGTTGCTGGTACTTTTATGTGTGTGTGTGTGTACACACACACGTACAATATAAATAGCAGTTACGATATTGTTTTAGTAATGTGAATCGGATATAACGCTTCAGTTTTGTCGACATAAAAGCATTGATTTATAATTTATGCAAATAGGAGACTATAAACTATAGCTTGCGTCTCGCTGGAGTATAGAATACAGGCCGGAGTACTCTATGCCTCTGTGTAAACAAGTTCTTATTATTGATATATATATATCATAAAGAAATCTATTCTGGGTATGTGTATAGAAATTACCTGAGAGAGACTGTACAAAAGTCGTCTGCTTCGATAACTCTGTCCCAGTCGTGTTTTTACGGTGAAGTAGCTGTGTATGCATGGCTGTGTTACGGTTTGAAGGGTGGGATATGACAGTGAATTTACAGGATAGGTATAACACCTTAGTCCTCAGGAATAGCAATGCATAGGGGATATCATGGGCGAAACAGTATACTTTGTTATGTCCATGGTACTGCTCATGTCTATAAGCGACGGTTACCACTTTCCATCAGGTGGATCGTCAGTTTGTTTGCCATTCTAAGTTGCATAAAAAAACAAACTGTTGAATATTAACTATCGTGAGTCATACTGTATTGTAATTATTGAATTCGAGACTAGTTTGGCATCACCAAATTTAAAATGCGAGTAAAGCCGACATATATAATTAGAAATCAAATTCATTATGTTATATATATCAAATTAATATATATATATATATATATATATATATATATATATATATATATATATATATATATATATATATATATATATATGTAATGTATGTCCAGAGATATCGAAATAAAAACGCAAGATTACTGTTATTTGTTTACTGGTCGGTTACAGACTAAATGACATTTTGTTTCTTAGTTACCTTCAATAGTGTAACTTGATACCCTCAAATACTACAATCCCTCCCCCACTTATTCTTAAAAAAAAAAACTAAATTAAAAACTATAAACAAAACATTTTAAATTTACCTAACCTAGAGTTTATAATTAACCTTTTTCATTCTTGTGGATCGTATTGGATTTCGGCCTCTTTTAATAACCGTAGGTTCAGCTTCTGTAACCTTTTTACATGCTTTTTCTATGGGAAGTAGTGACAGGGGAGTTGACGTCGTTTGTTCAGCGGTTGTTCCTACTGAGTTATGGTCTGGTATGGAGACGAAAGAGTCATCATGTGAAAATTCTGCCTGAGATGAGCTTGATGTTTCTGGTAACTCTGGAGCGCAGACATCTGGATTGGTGATTGCTCCTTCCGGAACTATAGGTTGACACACAACCTCTGATGAAACTGTCTCTTCCCTCATGTTTCTGTCCGTCCCCTCCCCAACAATGGAGTAGTAATCACTTAGGCTAATATCATCTAAATCCTGAGATAAGTCAGTTCCTTTATAGGCCAATAACTGATCCACATGTTTTTTTACATGACAATTTAATTCTGGTACAAAAATAACATACATCCTAGAACCAATTTTTCGTTGTATTGTTCCCAATTTCCATATATGTTTCATGCCATTTTTAAAAATATGTTTTACCAAAACTTTACTTCCTGTTGAAAAGTCCGTCCTGCGATGTCCTCCAAATTGCTTACGCTGTAAGGTCTGTTTAACAAAAACATTGTTTTGAACTGTGGATGCTAACGACTCAGATGTATTATTATTGCTATTAGGTTGAATAACGCGTAACAAATCGAGCCGGCAGCGCAGTGATCGCCCTAGTAATAGTTGCGCTGGTGAAAAACCGGTTGTGCAATGTGTCGAATTGCGATAATTGAATAAAAAATTGTTTATTTTTTTCATAATATCTTTTTGATGTGTGTTTTCTCTTAAAATATTCCGTACACCCTTCTTTAACGTCTTCACGCTATTTTCAGCCTGACCATTGGACGCCGGGTGGTATGGTGCTATAGTGACGTGTTTAATACCATTTAATACACAAAAATCTTCAAATTGCGTGGAACAAAAATTTGTCGCATTGTCTGTCACTAACGTGTGAACCAATCCAAACCTACTAAATATCTCATTTAGTTTATTAATTATCGACTGGCTATCGGTATTAGACATTAAAAAACACTCAATCCATTTTGAATAGGCATCGACAGCTACTAAAAACTGATGCTTGTCAATTGAAAACATGTCCAAATGAATGCGTTCCCAAGGTCGTGCTGGGAATGCCCACGGCGCGAGGGGAGAACGAGGGGGTAAACTACGCTTAGAATTGCATAAACTACAAGAACCTATTTTTTCTTCAATATGTCTATCAATATTTGGCCACCAAAAACGAGTTCTTGCTTCCGTTTTTGTACGTACTACCCCAAAATGGGAACTATGCAATTCATTCAATATGTGCTCTCTGAACTTGTGAGGAATTACTACTTTATGACCTCGTAAAATACATTCATTCTCTAAGGATAATTCGAAACGACATAAAAAATAAGGCTTTATATTAATATCTGTCATCTTGGGGGGCCATCCCGTTTTAATATAATAAGCTACTTTCTTCAAAATTCCATCTAAACCTGTTTCTTTTTTAATGTCCTCTACTGTGATAGGTTTTAACATTGAGTCTTCAATAAAATTTATATAAGTTATGGGATCAATATTTAATTTATTTTTATCGTCGAACATTTCCATTGCATTTACACTACGCGACAAAAAATCTGCTACGTTATTATCTCCTTTAATGTATTCAATTTTAAAATTATACGCAGATAAAAATAGGGCATAGCGCTGTAATCTGTTTGCTGCCATCTCTGGGACTCCTTTTTTATTACCAAAAATCGATATAAGTGGCTTGTGGTCTGTACGCAAAATAAAAGGGGTCGAACGCCCATATAAATAATGGTGGAATTTTTTTATCGCAAATACAATCGAAGTAGCTTCTTTTTGAATTTGTGCGTAATTACGTTCAGAGTTAGATAAGGAGCGTGACGCGTAGGCGACCACGCGTTCCGTGCCGTCTGGTTGCCGCTGCGCCAACACAGCGCCCAGCCCCTGCGGTCCGGCGTCCGCCGTCACTATGGTCTGGTACTCTGGATTGTAATGAGCCAATACCCGATCTGACAACAATTCTGACTTAATTTTATTAAAAGCCCCATTTTGTTCTTTCCCCCACGTCCACTTAGTAATAAAGCGTGCAATGGACTTAATACACTAGATGTGTTAGGAACAAAACATCTATAATAGTTTATCATTCCTAAAAATGATTTAAGCTCTGTAACGTTTTTTGGACAATTACTATTAATTATAGCGTTTACTTTACTTTCTGATTTATGCAAACCATTTTTATCTATACGAAAACCTAAATATTCTACACAATCTTTAAAAAGATCGCACTTTTCCCGTTTCAAACGTAAACCAGCTTCTTGTAGTCTCCACAAAACCTGTTCTAACCTATTCAAATGTTCTTCTTTTGTAGACCCTGTGATCAAAATGTCGTCTAAAAATATACATGTACCCTCTATATCACCTAATAACTGTTCCATTGTGCGCTGAAAAATAGATGGCGCGTTAGATAAACCGAAAACTAAACGATTATAAATAAACAAGCCCTTATGTGTGTTAATACATGTTAAATATTTAGAATCGTCCAATTCTAGCTGGTTGTAGGCCCTGGATAAATCTAATTTAGAAAATTGTAATCCGCCATGTAATTTCGCAAATAAATCTTCGATGCGCGGCAATGGATAATTGTCCATAAATAATGCTTTATTTAGCGTCACTGAAAAATCGCCACAGATCCTGATACCACCATCAGAACGCAATACCGGAACGATCGGTGTAGCAAATTCGGAATGTTCTACTCTTTCCAAAATACCTAAGTCCGATAATCGCTGTAACTCACCTTCTACTTTATGTTTCAACGCTAAAGGTACCGGGCGAGCTTTGAAAAATTTCAATTGAATATCCGGTTTAATTTTTAAATGTACCCTGTATTTATTAAATGTACCCAGTTCATTTCTAAACAGCTTTTCATACTTTTTAATAAGAAAACTATCGATATTATAATTTTTTAAATGATTTAAATCATGTAGCGTGCTACATAATTTCAATTTAAAATTACTTATAAAATCCCTGCCCAATAATGCCGGTTGATTATCGTGAGTAACGATAACAAACAATTTAATGAACTTAGTACATCTCTCAAACGTTATCGGTAATGATACATACCCCAACGGTGATATTTTACTTCCATTATAGCAATTCAACACAACATTACACGATTTAAGGTTATGTTTATTTTTAAAATATGACTGGTATATATCGTCCGGTAAAACTGATACCGCGCTGCCGCTGTCTATTTCACACAATATGTCGCTATTGTCTATAGTAACTACCTGACGCATCGGTTGCCCGTCTATACACTCGATACTAAATAAATCAAAATTACCTTCTACCACGTCGTCGTTATCATCCACAGTGACCAAGTATTTACAACTGTTCACTTTTGATTTACACATTCGTTGCAAATGTCCCTTCTTATTACACCTTCGACATATATATTCTGAATAACGACACTTTTCTTTCGAATGGTTTTTGTAACCACACACATCACACGGTACGTTCTGACTTGCTGTTCGAGCTGGACGAGATCTCGCTGCCGGCGCCACCGGCGCCGCTGGTGTCCCGGTGCGGCCGATGCCGGTATGCAACGCATATACCGGTTGTTGCTGGTGCGCTGTCCCTGTGTCTGCCCGTGACGATTGCAATGCCAAGCGCGAACACCGCACTCTCTGTGCTATTTCCAGCGCATTGTTAAAAGTCAAAGTATCAATGGATTCGGCGAATAATTTTTCCTTCTCTTTTACGTTTTCCAATCCAAGAATAAAACGATCTCTCAAGGCGGTATCTAACTCCGTTTTAAAACCACAATACTGTGCTAAATGTCGCACTCGCGCTGCCCATTCTGCTAATTCTTCTCCCACCCGCTGTTCTGCTTTATAAAATTGGTATCGCTCCGCAAATGTACTCTTTTTTTCACAAAAATGCGTATCCAATTTTTCTAGAAGCAATTTAAATTCCTCATTCTCCAAAGGCGTAGGGAAAACAATATCCCGGGCTACGCGGTATGTATCTTCCACCAAAGCAGTTAATAATAATGCGCGTCGTTTCACTCCACTTTTATCACTTCCGTCATTTATATCGTTTGCAGTGCAGTATTGGATAAAACGACTCTTGAATATACCCCATTCTTGTGAGCGGTGGTCAAACGTGAGACTGCCCCCGAACAACATATTTCCGTAACTTGCCATCACTTCTACGATATCTATTTATAAATACAGCCTTAATTACACGTGTGAATTATTTCTCGTCGCCAATATGTAATGTATGTCCAGAGATATCGAAATAAAAACGCAAGATTACTGTTACTTGTTTACTGGTCGGTTACAGACTAAATGACATTTTGTTTCTTAGTTACCTTCAATAGTGTAACTTGATACCCTCAAATACTACAATATATATAATTAGATTATCCAGTAGAGTTATTCCAACTTCTAATGTAAGTTGATGATTGTTATGGTCACCTCTACTTCTCTCAAATTTGCATGTTTACATTTTTTATGTAGTAACCTATAGTTAACTTTGTTGATGGTACTATTCATTATGTTCAAATGTAAAATTATCATGATATATTGTGTTACTGCTTGTTAACTTTAATAAAATAAAAAAAGAAACTTGTTCTATTATTGTTCTTTTAATTAAATGTGAACTTTTTTTATTAATTCAGATAAAGATATAATAAAAATAATGTTTTTCAGGCGCAGTGGTCCAAAACCGTGGGAGAATAATACGTCACATAATGCTGCACCTGCGCCTGCTGACGACAACTGGGACGAAACGCCTCAGCCTAGTCAATCCTTCCAGACACCTTCCGGTCGACCCCATAATAACCGCGACAATAATAGAGACAGGTATGTTTAGAGATATAGAAAATAAATCAGCGAACTTACCAAACAAATATGCATAAATTTTTGACCCATAGATATTGATGGAGTCTTTAAAAATGTTGACCTGTTTCATACCAAGTTTTGCGGATCGATCTAACGGCTTCTCTGTCCTTTTAAGAGTTTAATTTTTGTAAAAGCAAATAATCTATATTGTGAATTAGTTTCTTTAATTTTAGTAATTTCAGCTGAGCGATATTGAGGCGCTACTTATATTTTTATATTAGTATACATAGGTACGTAATATATGCAATGTGTTAAAGAAATGATATAACAATCTAAAATAATACGAATAATAGATATGCAACATTCAAATATTTTTTTATTATATTGATTATATATCTAGGCAACTGAATAATTTGAATTTCATAGATATTATAGCTACATTACATACACCTTGAAACTATTTTATATTAAACGATAAAATTTGTTTTGTATTTTGTACCTTTACAAAGATTTTATTGTTTCTGTTCATTAAGTATGATTTATGTAACTTCATTTTTAAATATGTTTAAACATGTTCTATTTTTAAATACATTATTATAATTTAAAAAAAAATAAAAAAAAAAACACGTCTCTGCATTTATTTATAAGTTCAGAAAGAATATTTAAACGAAAAGAACTGGCAAACAATCCGATTATTCTATATTAGGTGTATAAATAATTTAAAAAGGAAATAGAAAATCCATATAATTATTGATGAATTTAACTGATGTAAACTTTATATCTCTTCTTACTGTAGTATTGATTCAGGTGTCATGATATCATAACAATAGTCGTAATTACATTATTATATTATTTACTTTTGTATAGCATTTTTGGACGGAATTTGTACACACAGTACAGTACACAGCAAAGATTCTATGTTAAAATATAAGTAAACAAAATTAAATCGTTCATATACATAATTCGACAGAAGAAAACCCAGGTCGGATCATCACGATAAATCCGGCCCAAGGCCCGGATGGAAGAATAAAGATTCGACAGGGGTCGGCAAAAGGCTAAGGCAGGCAGCAGAGGCCGCGTCTTTGGACGCACAGAACGCCCACCAAAAAGGCTCAATTCAAGATAGATTGAAACGGTACTGGTGTTGTTGGAATCACGCCTGAGTTTCGTCTCACATTCTGCCTGATCCAATATTAATGCAATTAATTGTCACAATCAGCTTTGTCATGATTCCCTCAGTTTGTTTTTACTCATGAAAATGCATATATTAATCATTTTTTTTTAAATTATGTATATATTAAATATAATATAATATATAATAAGTATATAAATAAAATATATAATATCAGAGAATTTAAATATTATTATCTAAATATACTGATGACTATTATTATATATTTATTTTTTATTAAATACATAAGTAAAAAAATTCTATTAAAATTCCAAAATTACATGTCTAATGCACATTGTTTGATATTAATGAATATGGAAGAATAAAGGCTAATGTACAATTTACATTGTATAGGCTCGCAATTTTACGAAATCATCATGCGATAATAATTATTAGTTTCCAAGTGAAGCGTTAATATTTGTATCAGCATTGTTCTCGTTGTCTCGCTCTATTTGCTTGGTCACGCTTCGTTAGCCAGCACATTTGCAAGCGTTCTTATGTGTTTCTGCCGGCTTTCGATTTTATTATAATTCATCACCTATATTGCACTACAAATGTTTTTGTTTACAGCATTTGTTTTTATTTTGCATTCACTGTTTTATACACGAAATATTTATCACTTTTTTATATAGATGCTTGGTGTGGTGGTACTGTTTACTTACTTTTGACATTAATTACTATTAACATTATATTTTTATATTCCATTTAAGTTATCATGTAACTATAAAAATAAGTGGAATGTTAACATCATTATAACACTCCATTTCTATTTTACAAATATCTAAAAAATAATTTTGCAATGGTAAGAATGTAAATAAGATTACTAGATGGATGGACTACTTTAAATGTATTACAAGGATGCGGGTCCTCCAAGACTATTTATTGTAGCAGCTTTTGTTTAGAAGTGTACAATGAATAATTAAAATGATGATGATGACGATTTAAATTTACTAATATTGAATCGACTGTTATTTGTAATTCTAACTGTAACTCTTTAAATATTATCTTTTCATGTAATTTTAAATGTATTATTATTAAACTATTAAATTTAATAAATAAAAGAAGTAAATTACGTTGACCATTGTAAATATACTTCAATTTCTTCTTCATCATCATTGTGATGCTCATCTTTTAATGCGATAATATTTCTTGCAGTGATAACAAATTTAGTCATGATCACAATCAAGACAACAGAAATGATGATTGGGGAAACAAAAATAGGGAGAATCGACCCGACCACAGGGAAAACCGAGGTGAGAGGCGAGACAAGAAGGAGAACTGGAATCAGAAGAGAGAATTCAGAGACAGACAGAATGATAGACCACGAAGTAATTTCACACCGAGAGAACGCGCCGAGCGCTCCTTCAATTCTGATTCGGACAAAAAATCAGACAGGAGCTTTCGTTCCCAGGACAGCGGTCGAGGAGAACGGGCCGGGCGCACTCCACCATACAAAACTAAAAGCAAATTCACTCAAGTGCAATACAAAGAATTGCAAGAACCAGTGCCTTTGGAAACCCCGTTCATTGAACCGACTGTCGAAGTTGGTGCCCAACACGAGGTCTCCGTTACGTGGATAATATCACCGGAGAGTTTCCACACTCAAATACTTTCTCTACAATCCAAATTCCTCGAAATGATGCATAAGATACCAGAATTGTATAAAGGTGTAAAGTCTTATACAGGAGTAGTACCGGTTGGATCATCGGTCTTGGCGCGGTACCCTGCTGATGGTGTGCTATATCGTGCTACCGTAATTGCAGTCCAACCACCATCACAATTTATAGTTAGATATGTAGATTTCGGAAATAAGCAATTGGTAGATGCCAAAGATATATGGCAATTGGACAGACAGTTGATGGATCTTCCGAAGATGGCTGTACATTGTTCTTTATTAGGAGTGGTGCCGAAGGAAGGAGAATGGAAAGCGGACCCCGAGATAGACCTATGCTTTAATGCGCCTCGCTATCAGTGTGTCTTCCAGGAATGTCTGGAAGATCAGCAATACAAAGTGTCACTTTGGAATAATGGGGCTAGTGTCGCCGATATGCTCGTCGAGAAAGGTCTAGCTGCTTTGTCTGAACATCAGTCATCTGTTACTTTGAAAGGTAATTCATTATTTTTATCTTTATTTTTTATGATGTAATATAAAAAAAGGCCTTCAATTTGCCCTAAAAATATTTCTTGCGTCAATTATAATATTCTTTTTCAAAATTCATATAATCTGACCAAACCAAACCTTCTATCAAATTTGGCAAGGTTCACTTTATACATTATGCAAATAACAATCGTTTCTCGGACCAATTTTGGCAATGAATTGATAATATTTTATGTTTACAGATGAAGCAATCGACTTGACGATTATTGTGGGCCAACAAATCTTATGTAAAGTTACCCATGTGGAATCATTTGAAAAATTCTATGTACAACTAGATTTAGACAAAGCAGCTCTAGTTGAAAATGCTATTGAAACTTTCGATACCTCTCAAGTAAGTGCCATACTACAATTATTCTTGGAGTTAATTCACTGATTTCACTTAATAGAAACTGGCGATTAACTGCGCATACATAATGCATTTAGTAGATTAATTTTCTTTAATTCCACGACTGACGACTATTGAGGTTCTGTAGCCAAATGGACTATAGAAATTACCTTCAACTATTCAGAAAAAATATTAATAAAATTGTGTTTTTGTTTATCGTAATTTATTGTAATTCATTTTATTTATTGTAATGTTTTTGATTTTGTGTTTTAATACTGTTTCGTTTACTTTTTTTTGAATGGTCTGTTTTCTGTAAATGAAATGAAAAATGCTAAGAAATATATTATTCTCTTATTTAGCTCACACCATTATCAGCGGACAGCCTCGCGGAAGGTATTCACTGCACATTGAAACACGAGGGCAAAATATACCGCGCTATACTCGACGATGTTGTCGACACCGCTAACATAAAAGCAGTGTTGCCGGATTACGGAAATAGTGTAACTGCGCCATTAGAAAACGTGAGTGTATTTTATATTAAATTAATTCATCAAAAATCTACATTACATTTACGTAGTAAATTAACAGAATCTACAGAGTAATTAAAAGTACAATATCAGTCTGTATTTAAAATGTAATAAATCAAGAGTGAGTTGGCTTGATGTGAGGAAAGGAGAAAGGTTGTTTTATTTTACAAATAAAGCATGCTATCATATACTATTTTTAACCTGTAATTCTTTCTCTTTTGTCTACAATAAAAAAAAAATCTTTGTATTTGTTCGGGTATGTGGATAGAATGGTGGATGAAACATCTATAGACTGCGAACTTGGATGGATACAGGTACTGGGTAAAACCAAAACTAGCCTATAGGATTAAATTGACCATACATATCTAAGAGAGAATTATAGTAAAATTTGTATGTAAAGAAAGATGTTTAGCAAATAATTCTCTATGTCTATCCCGTGCTATTGAACGTTGTATGAAGCCATTTTAGTATTAGAGACTCAATGTATCAGTCTCATTATGTATACAAATTATACTTTTGCAGCTTATGATATTGCCAAGCGAATTGAGCGTATACTTCTATCAATCATTGGAATGCAAGCTAAACAACTACACAGCTGAATCCAAGACACTACTTTCGCTGGATGAATTAAAGGAACGCCTTACCGGCAACAAATTTATAATCTACATCAATGACGTACAAGAAATCAGGTACTGGGTAATTTTTATATTTATTATGATATAGTAATGTGACTATACCACAAAGTACTAAATATTTAAAATATTTCCACCAATATTAGTCATACTTAATAATGTGCCTTCTCTTTATATATTAACTTACTAATTATAAATTAAATATATTCAGTCGCTAAATGTAAAGATTTTTAGGTACGGATTAAGTAGAGTCATTGTAAATTAAAGATTACATAATTATTTAATGTATTTAAATAATATTTTTTTTCAGTTTGGTATCGACGCTATATGACAGCGTGACGGGCCAAAAAGTGGCCATATTTGAGCCGGATGAAGGCGCGTACGATGAGGTGGTGCAACTCTGTATGAGAGCTGTTTTTAACTACAACTTTGGACTAGCATATATCTCGCATTCGGAAAATCTGAACGAATTTTACCTGCAAAAATCTTCTGATGGTGATAAGATAGCACAACTTTTAGATGATCTATTCAAGTTTTATGAAGAAGGTATTGTATGATATATAAAATAATAGTATTATTTTTAGTTCAGTAGCAATGGGCACTGATAATATAATATAGTATATGCTAGCAATGGGACTGATGAATAAATTTGAATTAAATTTTTTATACAAAAAAAATAATGCATTAGAACAGGCTATTTTCATTTTAATTTACGCTGGCAAAATTGCGGGATATAACTGCTAAATTATAAAGTTAACCTCAGGATAATAAATACAAATTATTTTACAGTCCCTGTGAGTTTGAAAATATAATATTAATTTTATTATTTCCAGGAGCTCCAGAAGATCTCGCCACTTATGAAGTGGATGGATTATGTGCTGCTAAATCTACTGACGGAAACTGGTATCGCGCAACTATAATCAGCATTACAGAAAATGAACTCAGAGTTCAATTTCCTGATTATGGAAACAGTGAAACTGTACCTAAAACAAATGTTAAAAAACTTGACAGTAAATTCTATGAGCCTTGCACTCTTGCTCTTGTTGCTAGTTTGGGTCTTGTTTCTCTTCAAGAAGACACGCTAGCTAAACTGACAGAATGGACCAATGAAAAAGAGGTTCAAGTCACTTTAGCTTTTGGTAACGATGGGTGGCTTGCAAGCTTACATTTAGATGGTGTTGATTTAGCTATGAAACTTGTCAATGAAAAATTAGCTACTCCACAAATTGCTTCAAGTGAAGAACAGAAAATAGAAACACCTTTAGAAGAACCAATTTCATTACCACCTGGCTGTACTCAAGTATACATTAGTCACATAGATACACCAGGGCACTTCTGGCTTCAGATGATTGATAAAATTGACAAAATAGAAGAAATTCAAGCTGAGCTCCAATCCAATGCAGCAACATATGCAGATATCGAAAATCGTGAATTAGGCACTTTGTGCGTAGCGAAATATTTGGCTGATGATCAATGGTACCGCGCCGAAATACTCGACGCTGATTCGGACATCACCACTGTACGATTTATTGACTATGGTAATACGGATGTATTAGATAACCAACCTGATCTCATAAAAGTAATACCAGATCGTCTAAAAGAAATAGAGCGTTATGCTGTTAAATCTAGTGTCAATGCGATACCCACTGGAACAGGACAGTGGTCAGAGCCAGCATCAGATTTCTTCACACAGTTAGTTGGTGATATATCATCACCTGTGGATGCATTAATAGTCCTGAAAGATGTCACCACTTATGTTGATATTTTTGTCAATGGTGTCAATATTACTGACAAGTTAGTATCAGAAGGTTATGCTACAAGATCTGAAGAAGCAGAATGTGGAGACTTACCATCCTGTTTTGCTAGTCATGTCAACTCTCCATCAGAGTTTTGGATACAACTTGAAACGGCTGCACCTGAATTACAAGCTATGGAATCGGCCATGGTTGATGCGGAAAACTTCCCTGAACTGACTGATAAAGAAGAAGGTGTTATTTGTGCCGCTAAATATCCTGAAGATGGTGCTTGGTACAGAGCCCAAGTAATCGTCGATGGTTCTGAAGGTACAGAAGTACTTTTTATGGATTATGGTAATGCTTCAATTGCTAATGAATTACGCAGTCTTCCTGATGAGCTTAAGGTTAAACCAGCTTTGTCAAGAAAGTGTGCACTACAAAAACCACGCGACATTAAATCCTGGTCACGCAAATCTGAAATAAAATTCAATGAATTAGCTGCAGAAGGTGCAACGATTTTTAATGTACAGTTCATTGCGTCTGGTGATATATCTATTGTAGAACTTTATCTAGAAGGTAAATCTGTTACTGAGGAGCTTGTAGGACTCTGTGAGGAGCAACCAACAAGTGAACGACCGACACCTGTTGGTCAAGATTTAAACAGTAATGGAAAAATATGTTATGTTAACGCCTTAGACGAATTTTATGTGCAGCTTGATGAGAAAGTTTCTGAGCTTGATAAAGTTATATATAATCTAACTAATGCTTCTGAATTTGAACAAACTTCTGAATTAAAAGTAGGTTCATTGTGTGCTGCATTTTGGGCAGAGGATGAACAGTGGTATAGAGCAAAAATCCTAGAATTCTGTGATGTGGGTTACCATGTTCAATTTATAGATTATGGTAATAAAGCTAAATGCGAAGAATTCCGTCAACTTCCTGAAGAAATTTCTCGAATAGAACCTCTCGCGAAGTGCTGTCGATTAGTAGGAATCACAGAAGATAATATTTCGAATGAGAATATTAAGTCTAAACTTAATGACCTTGCAGCTGATGTATCTGTAACATTCCAGATAGAATTTTTAGATAGTACCAAGGAACCAAACTTAGTTAGATTATTACTGAATGGGAAAGACATCAGTGCAACTATTTCGTCTAACCCATCTAAACCTATTACAGAAAACAGAGTGAATATAGAAATTGACTCTAGTAAAGATAATATAACAGAAGAACTTAATGATATACCAGTAAAAATTAATGTTGAAAAACTAGATATTCATGCTCAGAAAGTAGAGGATAAAAAATTAGAAGAAAGTGTTATAGATAATAAACACTCAGAGGAGGCCGAGAGTGAGCTTAACACTTCACAACCTGATCTCGATGAAAGTGTGAGTAGCAACCATACAGTTATAGAGAATAAGTCCTTTGAAGGCAAAATCGATAATTTAAGCAACGACGTAGTTATTGAAGTAAACGAAGAAAAAGACACAAGTGAGAGTTTGCCAGATAAAATAATTTCATCAGAAACTTTAGAGAATTCTTCAGATAAAAATGTTTCTGCAGAAACTCTGGAGAATTCTTCAGATAAAAATATTTCTGCAGAAACTCTGGAGAAGGCTTCAGATAAAAGTATAGAAACTATAGAGAGCTTTAAAGACAATATCAAATCACCTGAACGTGATGAATCAAAAGATTCCATCAATACAGATACGGGCTATACCAGTGATGGTGAACAAGATAAGCCATCCCCTTCTGCAGAATCGGAGTCCCCTAAAAAGGAATCACCAACAAAAGAGGCAGTTGTAACAGATAAATCAGAGGAAGTCCAAAGTAAAGAATTACAAGTGTAAAAATGGTGTATATAACTTGTGTATTATAATAAATGTCTTATCTGGCTATAGTGAAAAAAGCCAATTAACATTTGCTTAGAAAATGTTATTGTATGTAGACATAACTACTTTCTATGTAGTATGACATACAGTGAAATGGAAAACTAATTGACTGATATATTATTGGTAAATAGTATTACCGATTCTGAGTGTTCCATTCATTGGTCTTTGTCACGAGAGCTGCTTTGTTTCTATTTAATATTTATGTTATATAATTTTATTTCTATTATTGTGTTGTGATATAGTTAACACCAGTTTAACAAATGTGACGATGTGGGGTGTAAGATATAGGCACTACGTATTATTACTTATTATTCTTGTCACACAAGAATTAAGATGTTTGTATTTTGTTGTATCTTTCTATAATTTAACCAGTGAGAACAAGTATTTGAACAGTATAACAAGTATTTCATTTTGGTGAACAATTTTCATTGTACTGTATGCATCACTGTCGTAAATACTCATATAATTTATCTCGATAGCTAGTTCGTTTTTATGAAAATTCTATTTTGGTGATAATTATTGTTACAGTGATTTCTTTAGGATTTTTATATTATTCATGTCCTTATAATTTTGTTGATTTGGATTATGTTAAAATCTGAAACCTCTTATATTCACAAATAGTTACGTTTGCGAAATGATTGTTTAAAGAATAAAGTCCTTTATAAAATTATATGATTTTATTTTAATTAGCATTTCTGCTTCATTGAGTGCTTGTAATAAAACATCTCTACATTATACAAAATTTATTATTTATTAAAATAGCATTAAAAAAAATTAATATATACTTATAAGAACATCTGTACATATAATTATATTGAAGATCTAGCATACACATTTTAGTACAAACTTACTACATGTATAAAAATAATTCGAATATAATTTCCAAAAAGAAATCATTTTATAAGACCTAAAATGCCAATGTCCTTCAGGTCTTCTCTTTTTTCCAAAATCAAACCTTTCTCGTTGGCTAAATGTAGCACAGATAAGAGAGCCAGTGGCACACTGAGCGATTCACGCATATTAGTCGATAATTTATTTGGCAATCTGGAATAAATCGAAAAGAACGTCGTCTGTGACACCTCCTCTTTTTCTCCATCTGGAGTTTTTTCAGTTAGCATTTTCCAAGTGCAATGTTTTAATTGTTTCATATCTACTTTTTTCGCTCGCATTGCATAAGGTATAAAAATTTTCGCTATCTGTAAATAAACAAGTAAGCATATATTTAATTGATGTGGAAATAACTGATAGAATATATGTAAAGATAGGTCAACTAGACTGATTCTAAAAGATAGCTTTTAGTATCCATTAAAAATATATTGTAGGACATTACAAGCGGTCACAATACTAGACTAGAATGTTGCTTGTAAGCAGCATTCTATTCATATCTTCTCTCTAAGATCTATTTGGATAGATGGTAGGTAGTGTTTACCTTAGTAGGCGGTTCAAGCATGTCTCCAATTTCTTCAGGTTCCGCGGCTTTTATCTGATCATGTAGATCGCCTGCGGCGGTTGCATCCTCGTTGCCCCATTCATCCCCGTCCTATAATAATGTTATACAAATATTATCCTGTCAGCTATATGCTAACAATTAACAATTATAATTTTTGCTAAGATAGATGTTTTACATGATCCCACTAATATTATCTTTTGTCTCTTTGGATGAAAAGGAATAGTGTGTGGAAATGTAGAGATGTGTGCTTGATGATATTTATATATATACATTCAGAAGGAGTGAAAGAAAGAAAGATTTAGTACGAGATTGTATAATTAATAATATTTACAGTAAATAAATTCAGATATAATAAGTCGCGATACAAAATATAGTTCCGTAAAATTGCTAAGACAAGGAGATTGTCAAGAACGTCACTATTTATTTTTCTGTAATTATATAGGTTTGAAAGAGGTTGGTAGCCTACAAGTACATCTTATATTTTTTTAGATCAAATTATATATATATTCAAATTTATAGTCTGTATTGATAAAATTTTAAGAATAAGTCATAACATTCTGTAAATGAAATATATATAATAATAACAAATCGAAACATTATTTCTATTTATCGATTTTTACTTATACTGGCAACAGACATCAGCTTATGGTCGGGTCAATCATTCGTTTGTTTCATTAAGACTATAATATGGATATTTGATTAGAATTATTTTGTTTGTTATTAGTATGTGTGTGATTGCCAACACTTGAAGATTGATCACTATTACTACCAGGAGTTCCTTCATACTAAACTTCCTTTCCTGTGGGTGTCATAAGAAGCGACTAAAGGAACTTAATGATAGAGGGATGGGCAATAGCGTTCCTCTTAAAGCATCTCTAAAAGCCTAACTGCGGTTGTCAATCCGCCTACCAAACGTGGTAATTACTAGCAAAACTCCCCTTATGGGGAAGGCTTATCAGCAGTGGACAATTACCGGCTGAAACCAGTGAATATAGGCTGAAATATATACAAACCGGTATATTATTAGGGCAATATGATGCGTCGTTTTCATTATTGTAGTCGTAATCCCTAGCTTCCTCCACTGTGAGAGGCTCCTGTTCGGGCTGTTTCGTAGGCTGGCTCTGCTCGAGGTCGCGCTTTCGCATCATCATTACGTTGCGGCGAAGGAACAGTTTCCGGAAGTGAGACTCGTCCAGACCTCTGTTGAAAGAATAAAATTTTCAAACCAGTTTGGAATGTAATTCAGCTAAGAAAAGCACTCAAATCTATGTACATATGTATAAATACATATGAAGGTTTATATATATATATATATATATATATATATATATATATATATATATATATATATATATATATATATATATATATATATATATATATATATATATATATATTATTTAATTTTAAACCACTGTAATGATTAGTAACTTTTTAACAGTATTTCAAAGAGTACTTATTGTCAATAAATTGTCAAGTAGTTCGGCGAATTAATGTCATATGTATAAAGTGTATATTATGCATGAATAAATTAATAAAAAATTATTACTTTGATTGTGCACTGGTATAATACATTGCCTCATGATCTCGAGTTCGATTATCACACAAACATTTATAATTGTGTGTATATGCATTTGTTTAAATACATATAAAATGTAGAGATATTAATACATAGAAAACATCTGTGTATTTACGAAAAAAAATGTATTACAGTATTTTTATCAGTCGATTAGTATTCATAATACAAGCTTTGCTTAGTTTGGAATTGAATGGAAATATGTAATTTATTTAAAATAGGACGACAGATTTTTGGCTATCAAGCATGTCACTCGCCACATTAGTATTTCTTTATTATAGAATTTGTTTAATGTGAACACTTGAAAAGCGTAAATTGCATTTTGTCAAGTTTCTTGTTGTTTTATATTTATTAAAAACAAAAACAATCCATTGGAAAGGGATTACCCTTAACTGATATAAACTGGATCAGAAAAGTTGTAGAATATATTTAAATTCAACGCAAACAAAGTTGGTAATGGCTGCAAATTTGTTACCTTTATTTCTCGTTATATATCGGCGTTATCCATATGAATTAAGCTAAGAAGGAACCTATGTGTCATTCTGTGATATTGTCTAAACTCTCTAGACATGTACCAAATTTTATTAGAGTATGTTCAAACATAGTTACAAACTTCTGCATTTATAATGGTAAGAAGTATAATAAATACTTACCTATCAATAGGAGTTTTGAAGTTAGCTTCATTCCAAGTATGCCCAGTGGCCAGGGTCTTCCTGCTGATTATGATTTTCGCCGGTTGCGTCGGTTCATACTCGCCAGTGGGTTCTGCTCGAGAGTCGAACGCCAGACCTGCTCCCAAAAAGTCTAGTTGTCGTTTCGTGCGAGCTGGCTTCTTTCCCTCGACGGTTAAACGACCTCCAGTTGACTGCGTGCGTTCAGATTGTTTTGATGCTAAGAATTAATTTGTTATGTTGTTATTTACAATACTTTTTATCTTAAATTACTTTTAAATGTACAGTAATATGTTGCATAGCAATGTTTTATATTATTTTATATGCAAATCATTGTTTTCACTGTCACTTAATTAATAATTTCATATAATTTTATTTATCGTTATTTTTTCGATGGTTATTACATATTAATAATAATACTTGTTGAACAATTGATCTGAATTTATCTGATATAGAGAGAATTTTGAAATAAGGAATATTCTAAATTACCATCACAATTTTAAGGCTTGTATAGAGTATGGTCACTGTGTGAGGACCAACTAACGATCTAACACCTTTGACATGTTTTGAATGATTACACGGTAATTTAGGACATACCTAGATAGTAATCTAGGTGTGTCCTTTGGAGACTGGTAGAAGAGTTGTTTAGACAGTGGAATGGTTCTAAATTTACTCCACGGTACAGACCTCTGTTGTTCTTGAGCCGCCAGTGGCTGGGCCCGGCCCAGGCGGCGACTATAGAGCCGCAGTAGGAATACTCGAGGCGCGAGTCGGCGGGCGCGAGTGGCCGCATGTCGGCCAGGTGCGCCAGCCGTGTCGGCGCCGCCGCCAGCGCCGCTCGCGCCGCGTCCGCTTCCTCCTCACTATCGATGCCGCCCAGTGGCTCCTCCTCTGAAAGTACATATATAGGAGATGTTATAGATTCTACAGTTCTATAAGCTTGTCTATAAAATTAAAAATATATATCCATATGTTTGGTTGTATTTATTTACATTGATACCTGAACGAAAACAGTTTTATGGGCGATCTAGAAATAAAAAGTAGTTCTCACTTAAATCTTAATAATATCATATATAACGATGTTTATTCATGTTAATATATTAACCGTTTTCACTGAAATTTAGTAGTTTTAATACGGATAAGAAAAAATGTGTGTGTGAAATTTGTTTTTTCCTTTTTTTTAATACAACTTAGAATGGCAAACAAGCTGACGGCCTACCTGATGGAAAGTGGTAACCGTCGCCTATAGACATGAGCAGTACCATGGACATAACAGAGTATATTTTTATTGATCCCTAAAATTTCTATGTAACATTAAAATGTTAATTTTAAAAAGTGGTGACTCAAAATCAAATTTCAATTACTAAATCCAGAATATATACGTTTTATTATTAAATGGGCCACCAGTAGTCTATTATTGAAACTTACCAAACAAGTCGTTATGTGCGTCATCTTGAGGTATTGGTTCCACTTCAGCGTTGACGTCGAAAGCGAGTGCTTGTTGCGACAAATTCAATCGATTCTCTTCCACCCAGTTGTTCACTCGAGCAGTTCTAAAATGTAGTAACACAAGTTATAACATGTAACTTTGTTTACAATTAGAAATACATCTATAGCTAGGGTGGCCAACCGGTCAGTCGCGATCGACCGGTTGGTCGCGACTATCGGTCCAGTCGATCGTGGCAAGGCAAGAAATATAAATGCTCATACTAATATAAACATGTAGTTACTAAGAATAATTTTCAGTTTTATATTTTCCCTGTTAATAAAATAAAAAAAAATACTACAATACTACATAATTGTGTACTGAACTATATTGTTTCATTTGAGATTTCAAGATGTATGTAATTGGTAGATCGTACAGGGTTTCGTCAGTAAACAGTCAATCTTGTGTCTAGTCAACTCGGCCACCATTAGTATAAGGCATAACGTTTTAGTCCTTAGCAAAGGCAATGGATAAGAGATTAGTTGGTAAACAGTAGACGGCCACCCCTGATCTATAGCATTCATTATATATATTCATACTTAAAGATGGAATTGTGTACCTGCCTGTGCTAATGATATATAATAATAGACTATCAGTCGGGGGGAAAGGGATTGTTAGTAATGGAGATTGAGAATCCCATTGCTAGCAATATATCCAACCAGGTCGACCTCCTCGCGGTTCCCCCTGGAAACTATCATGGTTAATTCCTGATGAATTCATCATGATGGGCTAACTGGCCTATTTTCATTCTCATCTATCACCCTTCACTGGTGCTCCGCCAGCGTATCCCGTTAGCGCAGGCGGGGTTACCATACCATTTTCACCCATCAAAAAAAAAAAAAATAGACTCTCAGTGGAGAAAGAAACAATGAGGAGAAAGTCAAGTCAGTTGGCCCATCATGACAAACTCAGTAGGAATTAATGTTGGTCATTCAGGCAGGCATAACTAATCATCTTTCTGTGTAATTACCTAAGATTACGAAACTACTAATCAAAGTTAAAAAATAAAAAAATACAATTAACAATGGACGAAATAACAAGTATGCAAGTAATAAAAAAAACTTACACATCTTCTGTTTCCGGATCCCAGTTGCTGATAGAGAATCCTGTGAACGGTTCACATATTTGATCAGTATCATTGAATGCTGGAAGCAGTTTTACAGCTAGTGTGATGCGTTCGCTCAAATCCAACTCCTCGGGCACATTCTCCTTTATTGGCTCTAGAAACTGGTGGTCCGTTCTATAATAGAAGACAAAAAGAGTTTGTAATTTCTTTTTAACAGCTTTCATAATTAGAAAAAAAAATTACAATTGCAGCAATAAAGTTATAAGGTTATGGAAGGATAACATCTTCATCATGTAGTAACCTACTCATCAGGAATAACAATACCAGTTGTACTATAGACATCACAGTGCATTCAGTGATGTTCATGTCTATTCCATTCTGAAATTTCAAAAAATTTATAAGAAGATATTAGGAGTATTTCCAATGTCACTGGCTTATTAAATATGAGATATTGTTAAATATTTAAAGCCTATTTTATAACAACCATAAAAGTCATCATATTATATATATATATATATATATATATATATATATATATATATATATATATATATATATATATATATATATATATATATATATATATATGTATAATGTATGTGATAATCATCACCATTATTCTACCAGGTTTTGCCAGTAGTTGCCACGCATGGTAAGTGGATTGGCTACCGCAGTTAAGCTTTTATGTTGTTTAAAGAAGAATGCAACACCCATCCCTAGACTATTAAGTTTCCTTGGTCAATACGACAATTCCATCGGGACAATACAACATAATGTGTTTGCATACCTCAATATCAGAGCCAGTGTCTTGTCATGTATCGGTAAAGTGGCGTTAAACGCTCGATTCGATGACGTCACATCTCCAGTAGTGGCTGCCAACCTCTCAAAGAATGGATCTATAATAAAAGTATTGTATTACATTTATATTTCATTACAATTATCTAACAATAGTGTTGTATTGATCACCTTATACAATATTTCATTGTAGTGTTGGGGTTTCCATTAGTTCCAGAAAAATAAATCATTTCAGAGAAAAAAAAAATTACATTGAAAACATCAGTATTAACTAGCCTTAGTACTTAATATACATTTCAGCTTGATGTTTTAGTGTTAAAAAGATATAAACAGAGATAATTTTGGTATGGATATCTTTGATTATACTATTGAGAAAGATATTTGCAAAATTAGAATATACTGGGGTGGCACCACGAAATAACTAACTGTAACACAAACATACCAATGCAATCAATGGTGTCAAAATCCCCATTGAAAACTTCTGGATTGGCAGCAATGGCACCTTTTGACCGCTTCTTCTTTTTCTTCACTGGAGCTGCTTCTCCATCTACTGCACCTTCTTCTTGACTCGCACCATCGTCATCTTTCTTGCCTCTTTTAGTCTGTAGATGACATGATATTATAACTAAAATAATTACAGTATATATATAAACAAAAGGTTAGAAATGTTTGATTTAAAATAGTACAGTACAAACACAGTATGGATTAAAAACAGTATAGTACAAATGATTCATTAAAAACAGTTGTTATACTCGAACTCAGCATACTAAAGTATACTTTAAATTCAAGGGACTTACATTTAACGTTGCTATAGGCAAATGGTTGCTACAACCAAGGTTGTAATAAATGAAATCCACTGTATATATTTCTTTTATTTATTAAAGTAGTATATTAAAAAAGTAGTATTATTATAAATCAGCTAATATAGAGAGTACATCACTTTCTGTGTTTAATGCCAATCTAGGTAAATGATCCATACATTTTAATATTTTTAAATTAGTATTTGAACATACATGATGAATGTTTATATCAAAAGATGGTTAAATAATTATAGGAATACTATTAAAATATGGAAACCATATTGATATTGTTATTATTGAAATTGATATTTGTTGCCTTTATTAAAGAATTTATTTATTGTTATTATAAAGCAGCAAATGATTGAAAAAAAAAATTAAATCAGACCCAAGACATGCTGTAAAACATGCACCTTTTACAGCATGTCTTGGGCTAGTGTTCTTACTAGTTGGGCTACTGCTTCTCTAGATAATCAACTCGAAATAACAGTTATTAACAGTGATAAAAACAATAAGATTCAATTATCGGTTAATTTAATTATAGAAATAAATATGTAAAAATTACTTAAATTTTAATCTAAAATACAAATGTAACCTCACCTGAGCAGCTTTACTCAAACCACCGGCCATCTTAAGCACATCATAATGCACAGCATCCACTCTGAACGAGTATATCCTAGCAGATGCATCAACCACCGTTGATGCAGTCTGCAGATTGTCCATACGGGAGTCATGTCTTCTGAGCATTGATGTCATGAAATCTATCAGTTGTAGATTCCATGCATTGTCTTTGTTTATTTTCTAAAATAATTATTTCAAATTATATCAACAAAATAAGTATTATTAGTATTATTAAGGTAATAAAAAAGAAACTGAAATATACAGTAAAGAGACAAAAATATAAACAAAAAATATTAATAAAATTCAATTAGCTGAACCTTCTCATTTAAATCACAATAATTATTATTATTAAAGTTTGACTGATAATAAACCTTGATTCCTGGTTTTCTTATTGTAATGCAATAAAAAAAAACTAACATTTTCTGCATAAAGCTTGAGACAACCCTGAAAGTGTTCCTTTTGCGGTGATGAGGACATTGTGTCTCGGCCTCTTCGTGGAGATGCTTGTGGTGTTGATGTGGCCACTGCTCTCTCCGACGCCAATAGAGATGATCTCTCTGCATCATCATCATTACGATCCTTAAACAATTCATGAGATCATTATTATAATTACGTTAATAAATAGTACATTTATAATTGTACACTAGATAATAGAACTTGATAAAGTTGATAGAATCACTAAAATTATATAAATATCAATTACAGTTAAAAAACCTGAAAGCAATAGAATATTTTAAGTACTAACTTCATCTCTCGACTTAGTTATACGAGTTTGAGTAACGAGACTTCGTCTTCGTATTGAATTATTGTTGCTCCCGCCAATACTTTTTCTAGCTAACGCTGGAGTGCTTGTAATCGGATTATCTATCATATTTTTAATCTTCCATAAATTCTTAGACAGAATAGTAGTATAATAAAGTAAATATTATTTTAAAATCTACTTGTTAGCATTTGCGATATACTAAAATTAAAACTCAACGACCGTTCAATCGCTTCACTTTGTAACGTAAACAATCGGTCCTTCTCGCTTCGAATAAAAAAGGTTAGTATATAATCTATGCAACCAGCATATTCAATTTAAAAAATACACTATAAGGTAGCTTCAGTAAGTCTTTTATCATACCTATTGTAATTGAACATAGGCTTATATATAATACATAGGCTTATATATAATATATAGGCTTATATACTCTATTCATATTTATTTATTTTATTATGTTTACACTCGAATGTGGTAGCATATATTTTTTTTATTTCGTCAATATATTGGTAGTGTCGATCCTTTTGGTAAACAAATAAAATAAAAATAAAATCATAGATTAACAAATCACAGTGAAATGTATGTTTATAATGTTTATTTTCTATAAAAGAATAACAATTAATATGCTTAATCTATGTCCACAAATATGTAAATTTTGTTATAAATCTAGCAGGAGCAAATGACTTATGAACTTATTATGCTACCAATTTGCACGTTATTAAATATTTAAGAATTATACTTTAAAAAATATTATGTTATTAGTAAAATTTACAGCTCACAGCAATATAATTATATAATATATCGTCATAGTCGTAGAATAGTGACGGATCTTTATATGTAATTTTTGTCAGATCCGCCAGTATTCTACGACTATGACGATATATTTACGTTTGTAATTATAAAATACCTAAATACTAGCTTAAACCCTTCGACTCGTCGTAACGACGAGCTATGAGAATTGTCGATGATCCTAGGCTCACAAGCGGTATTGAAGTTTTAAGTCTTAGGAGAGATTTTGCCTCACTCTGCGTGTTATACCGCTTGTACAACGGATTGTTCTCAGAGGAATTGTTCAATATGATGCCCACAGCCACTTTCTATCATCGTACGGCTCGCCATCGACAGTGAATTCATCCTTATATCCTACAGCCTCAATGGTCGCGTACTGCGCGGTTTTAGAGATGTTTCCTTCCACAAACATTCAGGTTATGGATTGATGTTGAGGTTTTCCCACGAGACTACAGTATAAAGTTCTTCAAAAGGGAGGGTAAAGAGGTTTCTTCAGGGTCGGCAATGCACGCGTAATACCTCTGGTATTGCAGGTCTTCATAGGCTACGATAACCACTAACCATCAGGTGGGCCATATGCTTGTTTGCCACCTCAGTGGTATAAAAAATATCATAATAACTATAAAATTATAATTATATTGTAAGAAACGCTATACGCATTTAACTTAGTTATATTAAGTATTTAATATTTTTTAGAGACAACAAATAATTAATATTCAATATTAAGGAATATTATGTTATTGACCGTGTATAGTATCCATTTTTTGTTTTTACCCTTCCTATCTCAGCTGTTTGTAAACGCAGCGCTTGTTGCCAACTTCTCGTCAATCATTTTGTTCGGTTCGTTTGGTGAATTTATTTCCACGGTCGAAGAAATCATAAAAAATCTTTGTCATCGGGAGTTGAATTTTAAAGTGACATTATGACTTCTAGAATGCCTGAACTAGGCTCTAAAATAAGCCTAATATCGAAAGCTGATATACGTTATGAAGGTCGGCTTTTCACCGTCGATCCTCAAGAGTGTACCATCGCTCTGGCTAGCGGTAAGTTGACAAATGGATACTTTATTTTAATATAATACTAATACTTTACTGTTATTATTTCCAATTATATATTATTCTGTACATTTCTACTGTTGATTATATTTTTTTTTTCCCTACTATTACAATTGGTTTCCTATATTACGTTGTCGCTTTCCCTCCTGTATTTTAAATGGATTGTTGTTTACTGTTTTTAAAAGCGACTTTATCTTGTTCATTTGCGCATTGTATGGATTACGTGAATAATTATGGTTCCAGTTGTGTGAAACACGTTGTTTTGCTTCTACCCTCTACACAAACGTTAAATCATAATTCAGTAGCCGTATTAACTTACTGATGACGTTGATAATGGTTAAAGTGCTGTAAACAACTGCTCATAATTCATTGATATCGTCTTTACAATTGGTTTAGAGAGATTAAACACTTTGTACATATGTAAAAGCTTTTAGTCAAATAATTTTAATACTTATACTATAGAAGTATGTTGTCTCTCAATTGACAACCAAAATGTATTTAACATGATTTATCAAGAAGAAAGGTAATTGTTATAGAGTACTAAATATCTCTAGGTTTAGAATTTTATACATACCTACCTACCTACATTGTAACATAAATAAACACATAATTTTTTCTTTTTATACAGTTCGATCCTTTGGTACTGAGGATCGTGAGACACAGTATCCTGTGGCTCCCCAGAGCCAAGTGTATGACTACATCCTGTTCCGTGGATCTGACATCAAGGACATCCAAATACTCAACAATGTGCCATCGTTGCCAAATGACCCAGCCATCATGCAGATGTCAGTGCCACCATCGCTCGGCGATGGGGCTGGAGCTCCAGGACAGTTTGCAGGGCAGTTCAATCACCCAGTTGTTGGTCAAACGCAATATGCTCAATACCATCCCATGGCGGGCTTCCCCGGCAGTGTTCATGCACCAATCAACAAGACTAGTGAGTTGTCGCCACAAACGTCAGTGGAGCTAGTTCCGCAGCCCCAGCCTGTGACTGCTCCAATTGGATCGGGAGTTGCGCACCACTCCAATCAAGTGAAAGACCAAGGTTTTTCCTATGGTTGATTTTAGCTTTAGCTTTATACACATGCTATGTTGCGTTTTTTGCTACTCACTGACATAAACTTGTTTTTATTTAATTATTTCTTGTTAACCATTTTTTTTTAAATATGTATAGGAAAGATCTACCGAATGCTTATAAAGCATTCTCACCCATCTCTCTTCCCTTTTGTAAAAAGGGAAATATATTTTAATTTCTTAAATAATTATTTATATGTAAAGATGTATTTTATATATATATAAAGTAACAAGTGTATGTCTGTGATGTATTTAGCTTTAAATTGTATTCTAACAAATGCATGCCTATAATTATGTCTATTTCATAAATCTACCCACATATTTATCTCACTTTTATTTAGCATCATATTGTTTTTAGTCTTTAGAATAATAATTACTATCATCCCGGTTTAATTTTTTTTTATATTATACTTTAATAACATGATAACTTTTTTTATTATTTGAAATAATTATAACAATTACAATCATTTGCAGTGATTTTAAAAAATATTGTATTTATGTATTTATAAAAGAAAAAATTACTAACAATAAAAAAACCGCAACCTACTGCATTACTGTTCCTTGGTCTATTGCTTGTTAAAAATGTTGGCAATTTCCAATTATATCGTTCTTACATTTTATTGAATGAACTTCTAAATATATCATAAGAAATTCATACAATATATGTATATTTAAGTCTGAAATACAAATGCACAATTTATTTACCAGCCATGCTTTCCATGCTTTTATGTGCATATCATCATCATCATTTCAGACATTATTCATCCATAGTTATAAAAAAATATTGTTGTTTATTCTGAAGCAGCAATCTTTAATCATAAATTAACATATCTGTTTGATATTTTAGTAAAATAATTTGTTGACCAGTATAAACAAATTGTCTTATTCATATAGATTAAGATCTTTAATAAACTTATTTTTATTACTGTTTAAAAGTGATATTTAGGAAAGTGAGTTTGGCGATTTTATGAATATGGGGTTAATTTATAATAAATTGAATTGTGCTATTTAGTTCATGGTGGTATGTTACAACAGTTTTGTTTCAAATTTCTATTCTAGAGTTAAATTTAGAGATTGCACCTCAGAATTTACTCCAATATCTGCTTCTTAATGTTTTAGTGCTAGCTTATGTTTAAAAATCAAAGTATTGTTTATTTACATTTTCATATTTAAATGTCACTGTAGATTTTATATAATTATGAATAAAGCTCTGCCCATATTATCATATTAGATCATGATTGTAATAGGAACATCTTAGGTACATAAATGTTTTAAGTGCTACCATACCAATGCACCCATATGAAATGTGCATACTGCCTGTTTGTTATCCATTTAATAGCATGAAGCATTCAATTAGAGGGTACAATATAGTATAATTCATATTGTATAATTTTATTGACTGATTAAGTGATAATAATATCTAAAGTGTTACATATAAACTTAAATAATTCCTATTCATTTATGCCCTGAAATATTCCACACCCCATAACATATAGACACCCCACATCTTTTTTACATATTCATTGTACATTTTAAATGTTACTAGACTCATTATCGACTGTTTCTATTGTTAATTGCCTAGTCACAGCACATTAGGGTATTAGTAGCTAATGATGAAGCAGTTTAGTGGATGTTGCCTCATAATGATACCATGCAAAGTATATTTTTAAGTACATAGTTGGAGCAGTACTCATGGGATAGTGTAATAGGCAGAGAGCTAAAATAAAAATACTTATAATTTAAAAAATCCACAACAAATGTATTTTTTATGTGACATCACAAGTCAAACATAATTCTTATTGTATTAGCAAATAATTACATTATAGAAGCTGGTTTGCAAACAAGACCATCCATGGTCTTGATGGGTGTCTTTTTTTTTTTTTGAAGAAAATAAATTCTTCATTGTCATCATCTCAACTAATTATCGTTTATTGTGAAACATAGTAATGAAGTTATATTAATTTTGCCAGGTTCAATGCTTGATCTTATTGGAGGGTCCCAGCGAAATGTCTCTCGCTCTGGAACTCCTGCTGTTGGAACTCATAGAAAGAGTCCTACTGCAGACCAAGGAACTCAGGTATAGTATTTATTTTTTACCAGATCAACCAAAAAATAAATATGATTCTGGCAACAAAATTATAACATCAGAAAACAATCGTTTGATATTATAAATTGTAGTTTAATGAATGATATATGTTTTTTTATCTTTATCTAGGCTAAATCTCTCTAAGATATGCACAGAACATTATTTATGGGATTATATGGAATTTCAACTTTGGTTGTCTATAAAATAGACTCTAGGTCCTAATTGTAGACACCTTTAACATTAAATTATAATAACAGGCATCTATTTTCAAGAAGAATAAATTTTTTATGTTATCAAAGGTCATCAGCTCTTGTTTACTACAATAAAAGAATGGAAAATTTTCATAACCTAATTTTATTTCAGAGCAAAGCATGAATGTATTGAGTTCCTAATATAAAGCAGTCTTGCAATGTATTTGTAGTATATTTCTTAGCATTACCTAAAGAAGATTTTGAAATTTATTGGTATTTTCCATTTTTGTATTTACATGATATCTTTGACAGTTCAAAGATGATTTAAAGTCATCTACTTGGGTACTTCTATTCCATTCGTGTTTCTGCTTTGCACAGCTATGCTTGCATGGCTGCTCAGTTTAATGGGTGGAATATTACAGTGATACAAGGCTCCATGACATAATATCCTCATAAGGAATTGGTCCTCAGGAATGACAGCATATTAGATGACGCATCTATATTGGCATTACAGTATATTCTATGATGTACATAATGCATATCATGTCCATAAACGATTGCTACTTTCCATCAGGTCCATGGACGTCCAAGCTGCTGACCATACTAAGACACATACTTTGATAATATTTCAATGAATAGAGTTTTCTCGTTAAGTTTTACCACTGTTGATGTTGCTGATAATATCCATGAATTGTTTTAGCAGGTGGGCTCAATTGCGGGCGGTTCAGGACAGCAGCGAGACAGCCGTCGCGGGAGCAATTCAGGTGGCGGTCAGAAGCAGCAACCTAATCGCAACCGAACCAACTCGCGCAACCGCCAGCGGTACCCGAGCGGCGGGGCCAACACTGTTTCGGGACCTCAGCAACACCAACAGCCTCAGCACCAAAACACGCAAGCCCAACAAGGCCAAGGGCATCACCATCATCAGCCCGGTGAGTTCTTTTTGCTTAAATGATTATTATATTGCCAGCTTTCACTCGCCACTGACTTAAACAGTCTATGTCCTACTCCATTAACTCCATTGTCTTTAGAGTAAGTATGTGTATTCTAAATTTCATAACGGTTTATTGAGTCATTAAGTACCAAGACGACCAAACAAACTTTTTTCTCCTTAATAATATTAATTATATTATTTTGTATATATTACAAGATATTTTCGCCAATTCGGATCTGATATTTTTTTATGCAACTTAGAATGGCAAATAAGCTGACGGCCCACCTGATGGAAAGTGGTAACTGTGGTCTATAGACATAAGCAGTACCATGGACATAACAAAGTATACTATTTCACCCATGATAACCCCCTATACTTGATATATTTAAGAACTAAGATGTTATTTCTCTATACCCTGTAAATTTACTGCTATATCTTACCCTTCAATCTGAAACAGCCATGCAAACAACTGCTTCACTGTAGAAATACGAATGGGACAGAGGTGACCAAGCAAACTACTTTTGTACAACGTCTCCCTCTGATAGAATATTTATTGTAATCTGATTGGATTTATGGGGGGTCCTATGTTCAACAGTGGACAGTTAACTTTTGATATGATGATAATGATATTTATTCTTATTGTTGGAACAGGACAAGGATACGCACGTGGTGGATGGAGAGGACGACCTCGTGGTCGCGGACGCGGCTTCGTACCGCGAAACAAGAACACTCTCAAGTTCGACAACGACTATGACTTCGAACAGGCCAACACTGAGTTTGAGGAGCTGCGCAGCCAGTTCGCGAAGACTAAGATTTCCGATGGCGATGCAAAGACAGAGGTGAGATTTTATTGTTAAACTTTTTCTCTATCTTATTACAAAATGCGGATTACAAAATATACCTAATAAATATATCTATTCTATCTATGGGCCTCTGTGTGATGTAGGTAGTGTAATGTTCTTGGCATAAGATGAACAATACTTATTTTTCTATTTTTTTGTCCTATTTTATTATTAGCTGAGGTTGTAGTCCTCATATATAAGTGCTGATTGAGAAATATGTTTGTATAATATTTATTAAAATATTTTATTCCATCATTGTGTTATTTGAAGGATAATATTTGGTAGTGTGTACATGGTTACTGTGACTCAAACATATTATTGTCCCTAAAGTCATCAACACACTGTAGGCTATGTAAGCTGCAATACCACTTTAAGATTAGGTAAACATTATGCTTAAATGTTATCAGATCTAAATACATAACAGTAATTACAAATATGTGATATTGTATCCCTAGCCTAGCGTTGTTCATGTGATATAATTACTAAAAATAGAACTTTTTTATTAGTGCTTTTGGTGTAAATTATTGAAATAGCTGTTTAATTGGCGTTAATTTTTGTGGAGCACCAAAATTAATTAAATATTGAATTTTTTTTTTATTAAAATAGGGCGAGGTTGATAAGAAAGATGATTCTGGTAACGAGACGGGCGCGGGTGAGCCGGAAGTTGAGGATGATGGTTTCGCTGGATATGATAGACAGAAGAGCTTCTTCGACAGCATTTCCTGTGAGGCTGTTGAAAGGTAATTATATAATTGCTTATTAAATTTTAAATTCTAACATTGCGAGACTTGTTTTCTTCTCACTCTATTGTACACGTGAGATTTGGTAAAAATTATTTTTAATGTGTAGCAATAGGAATCTACCTCTATAATTTCTAATACATTGTAGCACACACATTTCAAATATATACAGTGTTATTCATGTCTATCGTTACCATATAAATGCATGCAGATGTATGCACCAAATGTGGTGCATTGCTATTGCAAGTGCATTTTTTTTATTTTTGATATTCATAACTCAGTAGTGTTTTGTTTTTATATGTATTAATTATATTTTTTTATTTCACGTGTTATGTGCATGTTGCCTAAATAAAATATTCCTTTTTTTGGAATTTTGGTCAGTACTCTCCACACATACTTAAATAATGCTGTATTGGTGGTAGACTTGACGTCAAGCAGTTCAGATTCCAATTACGAATGCTTTACAAATCTCCATAATTTTTTTTTAATAAGTGCTTCTCTTAAAAGATAATACAATGTTTTATGTGAAGCTGTGTTTAGACATAACATATTAAATATTTTATGTAATGCTAAATTATTGCATATGGATCAGAGACATCCAAAGCTAACTGGGAAAGAATGCTATATAGAATTAAATTTGTTTTTTGTACCATTTTTATTGTAATGTGGTCAATAAAGTATGAATAGATATATAAATATGCCATTCAGCCTGATATTCAGGGATGGTATTTATTAAATGAACAACTCATCTCAAGAAACGAGCATTCTTAATGAAGTATAACAAGGTCACAGTTATTTATCAATTTTTAAAACAAACCTTTTTCAATGTTTCCGATTGTATATTTAAAAAATGCCCTGTTATCGAACTAAAATGTTAATCATTCAATAATATTCTTATTAAGTTGTCACAGAAAATTTAGATTTTAAGTACTAAAATGTATTTTAAACATTCTTAAACAAAATTTTAAGTGGGCACAAAGTTTTTAATGGTAGATTTATATACACTGTATTCTGATTGATTGATTAACGTTTTAGTTTGCTTGTAGAGCACGTTTTCAATAATGAGTAACAAATGTTGAAATATGATAAACTGTTTTCAAATATTAGTAGCATTATTTATTTATTTTTATTATATTATTAAAACTAGCGACAAATTACACTTCAGTAAGAAGCAGTTATGATTGCTCTTAATGTAGACCCCTTTACGTCTATAATGAGCGCTTTATTTTCTTTTGCAGATCAAAAGGACGCAACCAGAGAACGGACTGGCGGATGGAGCGTAAGCTGAACGTGGAGACGTTCGGCGTGGCGATGGCGCGGCGCGGCGCCTGGCGCGGCCGGCCCGGCTGGCGGCACGGCCCCCACCACAACCCGCACCACCAGCCGTGAGTATCTCACCACCAACACCACAATTCACATTCACAAAGTTGGTTATTCACATCACTAACTTTAACCCTTTTACTGGTGGTGGCAATATGTGTGCCACCAACATTTTTATGATTTTTTCACTTTGTAGCACCAATACCATACTGGTGTTGGCAAGGATATTGCCACCATGTTTTTTCTTCCACTAAATATGAATATTTTTTTTTTCTTTAATAAAAGTTATTAAAGTACCCACAGTATACCCAAAAAATGAGTTTTTAATTTTCCGAGACACAAAATTGCTTCTACCAGTTAAAGGGTTAGATACTTTAATTCTATCATGCCTCTCATTCATACTCTTTCCACCAATTGATAACTGAATTTTAATTTGTTCATTAGTACATTACATTAGTGAAAATAACGTTATCTTTACTGAACATTTTTATTACATCTTTTGTTACATCATCTATTTGTCATACAATTTTGTAGCCCTTTGCTTTACGAGGTCCCTCATATCTCGTGTAATTTCACTGCAACATATCGCCAGAGCTGAGAGCAGGAGTATTACTGTAGAGCAGTATGTCTTACTTCCCCAGCTGGCGGCCGATGCGCGGCGGCGGTCGCGGCCGTGCGAACCAATCGGGCGGCAACCCTGGCCGCCAGCAGCGCTCCACCGCGCCCACCTCCAGTACTGCGACCGCGCAACCGCCTCCGCAGCCTGCCTCCGCTGCCGGTAATATTACACTTTTTACACATTGAAAAAAAAAATTAATTCTTACAAAGGTCGTCAAATTAATTTTTTTTATGCAACTTAGAATGGCAAACGAGCTGACGGCCCACCAGATGGAAAATGGTAACCGTCGCCTATAGACATGATACCCTCCCATGTGTTGCCATTCCTGAGTACTCGGGTGTTATTCCTCTGTAACCTGTAAATTCACTGCCATATCCCTTCCCTCAAACTGAAACACAGCCATGCAAACACAACTGCTTCACGGTAGAAAAGCGAATGGGACAGAGGTGCCTAGGCAAACGACTTTTATACAAACTCTCCCTCAACACGAATGTTGATGACAATATTGAGTGTTCATTTGACTACCTTTGTTGCACAGTGCATGTCGCTTTGCGTAAATTATGTTAATTCTATTACCAGTCGAAGTTAAGAAAAAAATTTGCAGCCGAGGTGTAGAGATGTTTGAAGTCTGGTTCCTCATAACAGCTTGAGAACCAGACACATATTATTAGCTTTACCTGCAACTTTATCCGCGTGACTGGGATATATGTTTAGTGACCAGGATAAAAATAGCATATATATCAATCCCATATAGTACATGTTTACCAAATTACCAACACTATTGATTAAGCTGCTATAGGGTAATAAACAAACTTGCTCACTTTTACATTTATAATGTTAGTATGGATTATTATATTATGTCATGTTTGACTCTAGTTTTGTAATGTAAAGTTAACACATGAAATTAGTTTTAATTAGTTCAAGACTAACTAAGTACCCGTAACCGGCGAGCGTGTATGAAAAGATTGATGAATGTGGAAGAAGCGAAAGAGGTTTGTTTGAATTTGCTTTTGGCGTTCCATTGTTTCTTCCTACCCTAATGGGAGACAGGCGTAACAGATATTTATGTATGTATGTAAGACTAACTCCTTATTTGTAAAAATGTCAAACATTTTGCAAACCTATTGTAGCTATTGGAGTAGAGACAATGATCACTATAGAGTAAGATGGACTCTTGTGAGTTCATTTTCCATTACGAGTTGTACAATAGCATCTGTACAACAAAAATCCTAGACCAAACTGCACCACTTTTCCTCTTTTAGGAACTATATTCTAACACAAGCATTTTTTTCCTTTACAGCCAAGTAGAAGAGAATGTCACTACACAGAGTATACCGAATCTTAACTTATTATCGCAAGGACTAATCAGAGATGAAAGTAACGGAAAAGTGTATGTTGGTTATGTTATAAAATTGTTCATAATTGTAACGCAATCAAAATGTAATGTTGTATTCGCGGGAAGGAATAATGTGGTAAGGATTCAAGTTGCTGGACATTGTTTTGGTGTGATAGTGTTGTATCCAATATTATGGAAGGTGTAAGAAGGGAATTCCCGCAAACATGCGACAGAGCATTGTCTTCGTCCGGCTGAGCTCACTGTAGTGTAAGTAATAGGAGTTGTAGTGAGTGGTACCCACTCAATGTTGGGCAGTTAATCAGTTATTAAATTGAATTGTATGTCATAAACAGTGATTGTAAACAGCAAGCGTCAATGTCTAAATTGTGATTACGGATGGAGATCGTCCCTGTCTTGAACGGTGAGATAGAACCGTGCAATGTTGCCTCATGTAAATTTCACCGAGGCGAGGCTACAAGGAATTTGCATAGTGTAATCTGAAATGTTTTCAATGAATTATATTTTCATAAAGCTTCTCACCTGTTATCCGCGTTTGTGCCTATTTAAACTGTAATAAGAGTTAAATTAATATTGTACATCGTTTTATTTCCAAAAAGTCATTGAACTTCCATTTTATATAAGCAATGACGATTTAATATTACAGCAGTCCTACTAGAAAAGCGTGTTCCTATGACACATAGAAAATTATTGTATTGTAGTTTTTCAATTTATATTCTGCTGGCCAGATGGACTCCGGTCATTTGTCGAAAAAGTCGATGACTGTTTATTAGACGGCGAATGGCCCTAAGTAAAAAAAAAATGGATGACTAATTTATTGACTGTCATTGTATTGTTAGTTATAGATAAATAAAATGTGATAGTAGGACTGCTAGCGAGATCCGATGACGATACCACTGAACGTGCACCGTGTATGCTCTAGGCTAGCTAGTAAAACAACAAGTCTCTTTCGTTTAGTGTACAGTTTAAATTGAAATCAAATTGGCAAATTGAAGTGATCAGAGGGCATCGTCATGTTGATCGCTGTCAGAATTTATTGAGCAACAAGTAACTCATTGTTTTATCACACAAATATAGTATATGTAATTGTAAATGTTCTGGAAAAGGACTTAGTTTAATTTCGTGCATAAAATTGGAATCATTTGTCGTAAAATATATTTATAATATGTGTTGATCGGTAAGTCCTTTTCGTATGGAAATTTGGAATAAAATTTTGACAGAAATACAATATATTTGTAAAAACCTTACTCAACAATCTGTACCTGGTGATTGTATTCATATGGAAATATACCTTTACAACAAATCTTCCAAACAAAGTGATATCATTTAAAATTAACAAACGCCCTTGATTAATTTTTTTTTATTGCAAAATTGTATTATTATACAATAAATAGCATATTATTACATCAGTCGATAATAATTAACAAACTCACTACAAAACATTTAAATAAAATATCAAAGTAAAAACCATACAATGATATAACAAATACAAGCTATTTTCAAACAAAATGTTTCACATCCGTAACTTACGTTTTAAAAGCATTAAAATACCTGTAGGGCTTAATCCATAAATTATTTGTATACAATAAGTCGAAAGTTTATTCAATACAAAGTTTAAGAAGATACATACACAATACATGACTTACATACCTATATTATTTATATTACAGTATGTAGTTTATTTTATAAAATATTTCCTTATAAAATATAAAATGCTGCTTCTTACACAAGATGTCGATTCCTACTGGAACAAAATATTTACACAACCTCTCTCCTTGGCTGTTTTGAATATATAAGTTTCATTCATAAGAGATTCACAAGCATATTTAGTGGTGAATAAATAATATCGTTATCAAAAACTTGGGAGGTTCGACAAAAGAAATCCACGCCTCTAATTAGCAATCAATTGTTATTCTTTGAGGCATATTCGGCACTTTGTTTATTAAGAATGACAAACATGTTACAACTGCAAGATTTAGTGCCTTTGTACTGCAAATCGTTTAGAACATAGCTAAATACACTATTTATTTTAATAGGCTATTGGAGGTGGACTATTAAATACACTGCATAGAGTTTTGTTATTTTTTGTTGTAAGCACTAATCAGATATATAGGATATCTGATTGGACCCAGTGCTCACAGGTTAAGATTGGTAACGTCCACTTAAGAGAGTGTTCTACCATACATGAGAGACAATAATTTACTAATTTTAGACAATATAGTCTCTCGTATCTGCACTGGCCCCAAATGGATACTTGCAGTGGTAGTGTAATCAGCTTTGTCCGTAGTATTCGCAAGATTTAAATGATATCGAGATCTTAACCGCGCCACTCCCTGGGCTGCTGCCCGTTCTCCACTACCCATACGGAACCGCTCTGCCCCTTCGCCAGAATGTCTATCAGCGATCGACCGACGTGTTCAGCGCTGTAAAAAAAATAAGTATTTTAGTGATATTTTTTTAAATTTTACCTGAAACAAATTATATATATATATATATATATATATATATATATATATATATATATATATATATATATATATATATATATATATATATATATATATATATATATATTATTTATTTTCAAAATAGCGTAGCCCGTGACTTTAAAAGCCTGACCAGAATAAAAAATAAGCTTCCCTATTTCGTGATAAATTTCGGATCGATTATACACTATAATTTTAACATTCACGTGAAATTGAAAAAAAAAAAATCTTCCATATTAGCTATCAATCTCCGAAAGCCATTCTGTTTATGAACGTTTTGTGACATGTTTCAGCCTCTTCAGGAAAAGGTAGAATAGTAATGAATGAAAAATTGTAGAACTTCTGGTAGTAATAGTGGTCGTTAATATGCGGTTTTTTTTTTTTATACAACAGAATGGCAAACAAGCTGACGGCCCACCTGATGGAAAGCGGTAACCGTCGCCTATAGACATGAGCAGTACCATGGACATAACAGAGTATACTGTTTCGCCCATGATACCCCCCATGCGTTGCCATTCCTGAGGTCTCAGGTGTTATTCCTCCGCTATGCAAACACAACTGCTTTACTGTTGAAACACGAATGGGACAGAGGTACCTAAGCAATCGACTTTTGTACAAAGTCTCCCTCTGGCGAGTGTTGGCAGACCCACACCTACTATTAGTAGCGGAATTAAACAAAATAATTGTAATCAAATAACCAGTGATATGAACTTCCGCAAGATCCTAGTTCAGTAAAAAAAAATATATATGGTATGATAATATTTTTTTTTTGTCCTATATAAATATATAATTAAAAAAAAAAAAAAAAAAAACGGAACAGACATAATATTACGAGTAGAATAAGACTTACCTTTGGGTCTTGCTATTCGCGTTATCTCTTTGCCATGCGGCCTCATACTCCGATGACATAAGCTGTTTGCGTATCTCTTTCACGAGACCAGTGTCTGTTAAGCCAGGGCAGATCACCATACTCCGTACGCCCGTCAAATTGACATGATATTGATCCTGGGAAAATCAAACCGTTATAAATACACAAATCATGCTATAAAATTAGCTAACAATATTACGGAGTAACCTCCATCATGTGTCGCTAACCATTATTTTTTAGTAAGTTAACTGTCAACTTAACCTAAACGTTACGAAAAAAGACAGTCAACTTATTGAACGTACATTTTCAAATCAAAACGCAGCTGTTTGGCGACGAAAATAAATTAAAAATTACGCCAGAGAATTTTACGTAGTCTCTGATCATGAATCAATTAATCATTTTATATATTATTTATTTGCAAAAACATTGCAATTTATATGAATCAGCTGATAGCTGATCTACCATAAATAGAAAGTTTGCCTCAAAAGGCATGCAAATTATTTTGAACAACTAAAATTAATGAGGGTTTTAGGTGACATATTTTAGATACTTTTTTACTCGTAATGAGAGGTTGGATTAATTAAAATTATATGTACACTTACCCCGTAAGCTCTGGTGAGGCCGACAATAGCGTAGTTGGTTGCGGTATAAATTGGAGTGGAGACTTGTGGCCTGGCAAACGCAGTGGATGCTGTGTTGACGATGGTGCCACCCTGCCCACCGCGGTCCTTCCCCATGTAGCGATACGCGAGGAGGGTGCCGCGAATTACTCCGTTCTAATAATTTAGAAAAAAGTAAGTTTTAAGTGTTTGTTATCCGTCGTGCGTAATGGGAAATGGTAACTGTCGTCTATAAACATGAACAGTATTATGGATGTAATAGAGTATACTGTGTAGCCCATGATACCTTTCAGGCGTTGACACCTAAGAACTAAGGTGGTATACCTCTGTACCCTGTAATGTCATAGCCATATCCCGCCTTTCAAACCGAAATGTTTCAATAAAACTTAGCTACCTACATACCTTTCTATTAAGTTCTATTGAAACCATTGACTTAGTATAACGTATGTAGTTCATAATCTAAGGCTGAAACAGACTACCTATAGTGCTCTTATCAATTGAGCTACCGTCATTAAATACTCATAATCAGCTTTTATGTATTAATTTTTTGTCCTTTTATCGTGTGGATTGAACTTTTAAATTGCCTTGTAACTAATTTATATTCTTATAAATACAGGTCTGAAATTTTAAAGCAAGATTAAGCAATGAACTTGCTGTATACACAAGATTATTATAATTTGCCTTTTTCCAAGAGGAACGCATAGATTCGAGTCATTCGGGTGAAAGTATTATTAGAATCAACTATGTATAGAATGTTTTTGGAAGCGTTTGGAACTGACACTTATAAATTAATCTATGATTTCGTTGTAGGAAGAACTTTTTTTTTCTTTAGTGGCATTAGGAAGAACTTTTGACGATTTAATAGAATATTTCTGGGTATTTTTAAATTAAGCGTTTTTTTTTTGTGAACTAGATTTTACCTATCTTATACTGTTTAATTTTTTACATTTATTATTTTATCTTCTATACTTATAATAAATCTGTAGAGAGGTCAATTCTGTACATGAAATATATTTCCAAAATAACTATCAGGGGGTGATTAGTGATCGATACTGATGCCAAAAATGTAATCAATAAAATTTTTGTCTGTCTGTCTTTCTTTATGTTCGTTATAGAAACAAAAACTACTCGATAGATTTTAATGCAACTTGGTACAATTATTCTTCATACTCCTAGACAGGTTATAGTATACTTTTCATCACGCTACGATCAATAGGAGCAGAGCAGTGAAGGGAAATGTTGGAAAAACTCAATTTTTAAGCTACTGCCGCGTGTGCAGCCTTAATAGCAACTTTTTAAAATGTAAAAATGTCTACCCGTGCGAAGCCGGGACGGGCAGCTAGTTATTAATAAAATAATAAATGTAAAAAATTAATTATTATCAATCACATTATTTGTATGATGCGCGAGATCTTCGTGAATAGCGGATTTTGTTGATTTTGCTGTAGTTCGGCGATGATTCTTTGAAATCTGTTTCTAATCATCATATCAGCCGTTAGTTGTCCACTGCTGAATATAGGTCTCTCCCTTGAGAGGTGTTGCCAATATTGTCACGAGTTGGCACCCGTAGTTTGATTTTAGTGATGTTTTAAGTGAGACGCTGCTGCCAATCTCTCGACCATTAAATTCTCTTAGTCACTTAGCGCATCCACGGGAAGTGAAGGGGTGGCCCATTCTGTGCCGGGACCACATGACTGTTTCTTATAAATAAATATAGTTTAAATTAATAATATTATAAACTACAATACAATTTTTGTGGGAATATAGTTTTATATATCTTGCAATGTTAACAAGACGAGCCCTCTGATAAAGTGGTAACGGTAACCGTCATTTACATACATGAACAGCACCACAGACATCACAAAATACGCTACGATGTTCTTTATTCATGGTATGCTCTCTAATGCGTGAGAGCATCCTTGAGGACTAAAGATTGTTATATGAATTGATGATTTATTGATTAATGATTATAAGTTAATAATTATTTATGTAGGTACTTATATAATTTCGAAACGTAACTTTTGTAAGTAAATCACAAATGCTCAACATCATTTTGAGGATAATTATTATCATATTATTTGACAAATGCCTAGTATGCTTCAATTAGTATGTAGTTCAACATTTCTAGCATATTGTGGAATGCAGACACCGGAAATGTGAAGGCGGTACTCATTATTGAGACTAAGTATACTAGATTCGTCTAATTTAAATTATTTTATGCACCGTATGTTTGTAGTCATACTACTGTCAAACTTATAATACGTCGTCATTATGAAAGTTAATTAAGCAAAACGCGACACAATGAGAGATAAAAATGAATGATCTCGCGATCACGAGGATTATAAAAATCGGTTCCGAATTATTAATATCATGGAATTGAGAGCTTCTCTCCTCTTTGATATTGATTAGAAAATGTTTATTAATCTAATATTCGGCGCCTAGTAAGGTTGAAATTCATGAAAATGAAATCCATGAAATTGAATTGTCTTTTATTATTGGATTCCAAGGAACAATTTTAAAGACTACATGAAAATAATTATAAAGCCTCTTCATATTATGGTTCATTTCATTCATGATGTGAAATATATTAAATAATTTTTTTTTTAGAACACGGGGCAAACGAGCATGCAGCTCACCTGGATGGTAAGTGACTACCGCCGCCCATGGTCACCCACAACACTAACGGCATTATAGGTGTGCTGTCGGCCTTTTAAAAAGGAATATGCTCTTTTCTTGAAGGTTATGTTGTCGTATCGGTTCGGAAATATTGCTGCTGGAAGTTGATCCCAAAAAGTGGTTGTAAGTGCCTTGAAAAACGCACGGTGGAGGACCGCCACTCGTCCAGATGGTTGGGATAAAATTTTAGTTTATGGCGGGTTGTACGGTGGTGAAAATCAGCAGCAGGTATCAATCCGAATAACCGTAAATATATGTATATTTACGGTTGTTATCCCTCATCGTGATGACCTACGGAACCGAAACATGGTTCTACACGGTTGCCCCTATGCAAAAGATTCAAGTTACTCAGCAAGCTATGGAGAAGGCTATGTCCGGAGTTTCTTTGCGTGACAGAATCTAAAATGAGGATATCCGCAGAAGTACCAAAATGATCGATTTAGCTCGAAAGATAAGAAAACCGAATGGGCCAATATAGCTCGAAGAATCGACAACCCATGAGGAAGAAAAGTTCTCGAATGGCGAACCTGTACGTGCAAACCCAGTCTAGAATGACCCAACAAGATGGAGAACTAACTCAAATACATTGCATGAAACCAAATCAAATTGCATGGAGTCAGTGGATGCAGGTGGTTCAGAACCGTTCCTTATGGCTGTCTATAGACGAGGACTATGTTTGGCAGTGGACACGTAACGGCTTATATGATGATAATGAGCCCTCATTGAGGAGTTGAGGGTCGTCGGCATATCCAACTTTCGTTAATTATATAAGTTTTTTTTTATACAACTTAGAATGGCAAACAAGCTGACGGCCCACCTGATGGAAAGTGGTAACTGTCGCCTATAGACATGAGTAGTACCATGGACATAACAGAGCATACTGTTTCGCACATGATACCCCCCCCCCCCTGCGTTGCCATTCCTGAGGACTCTGATGTTATTCCTCTGTACCCTGTAAATTCACCCCATATCCCACCCTTCAAACCGAAACACAGCCATGCAAACACAACTGCTTCACGGTAGAAACACGAATGGGACAGAGGTACCCAAGCAATCGACTTTTGTACAAAGTCTGTCTCTGGAATTTAAATCTAAATATGTTTATTTTTTATCAAATATTTATACTTACCAAATTAACATCGACTTCCAGTTCCCAAAATCTGTCATTCATGACGCCCGCGTTATTGATCACAATATCCAGTCGATTGAATACTTTCATTGTCATTTCGAACGCTTCTATAAGATGAAAAAAATATTTTTAGTTTAGTATTTAATTGTAGTTTAAAATGTGACGAGTTTGACCTTCCTATGCATTCTAACTAGAATGTACACAGAAAAATTGGTTAAACTCGTCACATTTTAGGCACCAAGCAAACCCATCGTGATGAATACACCAAGAATTCAGCACGATGGTTCCAGGGGGACCACGTGGAAGTAGACTTGACAGGGAATATTATAAGCAATGAGTCTAATAATTCGCATTATTAACAACCCCCCCCCCCCTCCCAGAATTGTATGGTGCCCACCCTAGGATCTGAACCAAAGCTTTCAGCTATGGGTAAAGGAATATTTTTGCTGCTTTTTTAAGGGGCCAGTCCATATAATATACTTACTAATATTACTATTATCATAATTGTGAAATTTTATAGATAAATGTTTATTTTTGTGTCTCAATAATACAAACGATTTATGTTTGTAACGCATGACAATAAAAATAAAATAGGTAAACATATACAAAAAAAGAAGAAAAAAAAACATGAGTAGAAATTTTGAAATTTTCAGAAATTTTCCTTCTATAATATTATAATTATAATAAAAGATTACTCTCTTAATATACTACATTGAAATTCTAAGGTGACGAAAAACTGATCTGATAGACGACGTATATCCTTGGTGAATCCTCAGTATCACTAACCTTCGTATTGCGGGTAGTCTGTGACATCGCATTGACAGAATAACACGTTCTTCCTGCCATACTTGGCGCCAAGTTCATCTGACACTTGCTCCCCGATTTCAGAATCGATATCGCATAATGAAACCTGCAAAATGTGCACAAAAGTGCAATGACTTCTTTATTGCGGTTGCAATTTGAAATTGCACGTGGCTTGAATGGGAACCGATTGCTAGACTTATAGTGATAGGTAGATGTTAATAAGTTTATTTTAGATTTATTATCAAATAATTATCACCATGGTTCTATGATAAATTGATCAATTTTTAACTGATTGAACTCGGATGTAGATATATTTAACCGACTTCAAAAAAGGAGGTTCCCAATTTGGTTCTATTTTTTTTTGTTTGTTAACTCCGTCAGTTGTAAACACATTTGGATTAATTTTTTTTTTATCTGAAAGGATTTATTTATAGTTTGGTTCAATAGAAATTTTATTAATATCGGTTTAGTAATGAGTTTTGCCACAATTAAAGTCAGTTTTTTTTTTTGTGGAACACAAAGTTAATTTATCAGATACCTATAGACTACTGCTACATATAGTGAATCTATGTGTGAACTTATTCGTATTTTATATTCGTTGCGATTACAAAACTAAAATATATCTATTTAAGTGAGTTATTTTTAAAAGTGCGTCATACTACACGGTCGTCCTAAGTGAATTAAAGAAGTATAAATATCTACATTTAATGTATAGGGCAACAAAGAAAGTTAAAAGGAAAACAATCTCTCCAATGACCGGGGCGCCGGCAAAAATCAATACAAATGAGGGCCGGTTGCGGAAAATAGATAGCAATAAGGATTTACCTATGATTCACCGTGTTCATACAACACTTCGTGACTAGATCCTTGGCGTGACTCCAATATACTTTATTCAACAGTTACTTTACCTTGAACGTAAGGATTCAAGTTGTAATACGCGTGTAATGCGTGTCAGCTTCGAGTGGGCACTTACCTTCGCTCCTTGTTTTAACAATTCCTCGCTGTACGCAAGACCGATGCCGGCAGCGGCGCCAGTAATCAAAGCAACCTTGCCCTTTAACTCCATCACTGTATTTTCTATACTGAGACAACACCGCGCCTTGAATGCGGTAGCTTCACTGTTCACTACGCCCCCAGTTTCCTTGCCGTTCGATCGCGACGGGAACACCACGCTCCGGGGCAGGGGGTGGGGGACGGTCTCCCGTTTTCTCCCCAAATTCCCCCTTCGATAGTAAACTAAACATACGCACGCCACTCTCGCTATCCGCGTACGTTGATTCAGCTTGGCCAATTCCAATTTCGGTTACCTAGCAATTTGTCTGGGTAGGTAGGTAGCTGTGGATGTCTAGTTTATAGGATCGCTTATTATTCAGATTTAATTTATCATTTAACGCATTATTCTTGTATTGTCGTGTTTACATTATTTGATAAATAAAAATACAAATCTAGGGATGTTTTGTCTTTTTTCTTTCCGCTTACATATTGCGTTGTGATACACGAATAGCAGGTGTACTCTTGAATCTAATATCATGATCAATCCATTCTATTGCCAACGATAATTTTATACTGCACTTACGAAACAACAGCTAGGAATTATGTTACAATTGGGATTATTTTACAATAGTTTGCATTGGCGAGTTACACTAATATGCATCTGTAAGAACAATAATGAAACCATTACGTCACTAGTATTGCAATTCGAGAGTACGAAACGTCTCAATTTCAATACCGATTTATTGAAATTTATTTCAAGAGTAAGAGAGTTCCACAGGACCTTATTTTCAGAATTTCAGACTATTTATTTCTACAATATTTATACCAAATTTAATGGCGAGTTTAACCAATAAAGTACTAAGAGTTGACAAAGAAGCAAATCTGGGTTTCACATTCATAATACCTATCTAATGAACAACAATGAAGAGGTACTTCAAATCAAACACAATTTAAAATGATTTTTCTTTATTTGTGAATTTATCAATCTTTCAATCGGGTACGGTAAATTTTTCGAAATAAAAAATATAATTTTACATTTTTTTTGTATCAATATATGAAAATATCACAGATACAACAATACCGCGCCGGTTTCGCTCACCGCAAGCAATATCGTACACACATCGAAAACGCGACCATTTTGATTTGCTATGGACGCGAACTATACACAAATGTACCAAAATAAAATTTATCACAAACTACACAACTGGAAAAATTTTCAATAAATCCCTCGCTAAAATCACATTTTCAGGGATTTTCACCCTTGGTGATGAATGTCTAAATAAAAACAAAATAGAAACTGATTGTGTTCTGTACATTAAAATAATTCTATTAGTCATTGATTTATGCTGTATAAAAATATATACACAAACTTGATGTACAATCAAAATATCACAGTGCTTTATCATTAACAATAGTTATTAAACAATTTAGATAAAAAAACGACACAAAATAACTTTAATCAGAGACTAAGTTATTTGTATATAGCGAAGGATTTACATGAGATTGTTCTAGCTTCATAGGTTTGTATTTGGATGTTTTTCATAAGGTATTTATGAATGATGAGCCTGATCGGCTCCAGCCGCCGGTACAGCTTTGGCCAGGTAGGAGAATGAGCGTGCATTTGGCAATCCAGCGAGAACGCAGGCGCTGAGAGCTGAACGGTTCAAATTCATTGGCGCCGCATCATACCACTCCAACGTGTCACCATCGTAACATTCGACATGAGAAATGGTGGTTGAGCCTGCATGAGAAATATGTTTTAGAAGGTAAAATTTTATAATTCAACGACTGTATAAAAATAATACCAGACAGGTATTTTAATTTCGTCACCTTTGTCTTAGTTGAGTTTCTAACTCCAAGCAGTTGTTTGCATGACTTCAGTTTGAAGAGTGTGATATGGCAGTGAAATTTATGGGCACGAAATAATGATATCATCATCATCATCATATCAGCTTTTATCTGTTCACTGCTGAATATAAGCCTCCCCGTAGGGGGGTTTTGTTAGTTGCCACGCTTGTCAGGCGGATGTGTATTAGCAGTAAGACTTTGGAGATGTTTTAAGAGGGACGCTACTGTCCATCCCTCGCTCTCCCTTAGTCACCTCTTACGACATCCACGGAAGGGAAGGGGTGGCCTATTCTATGCTGGGACTATACGAAATGACACCATAGTCTTTAAGAATGGTAACGTACGAAAAATACTGTGGGTGTTACAGTGTATACTATGATTCCCAATAGGTAGTGATTATATATAGACGACAGTTACCGTTTTCTATTAGGTGGACCATAAGTCTGTTTTCTAATCATAAATGTATATAAAAACTTAAGAAAAAACCATTGAATCCTCCAATAACGAAAATCATGTCGTCCAGCAAAACGGTTGCGAAGTTACTTCTGGCACTGAACATTTCCGTAACCTCTTGCCACTCGCCACCGCGTTGTGGGTTGAAACTCTCTCCTAAAAATTTTCAAAGAAGTCCACTAAAAGATGTAAATATCATTGTCAAGGTTATGGAATGGGAGTTTATTCGAAGTCATGTCGAGGTTTTTCCAAGAGACTACAGTATGGGGTTCCACAAAAAAGAGATGTTTTTTTAGAGTCGATAACGCGCACCTATTGCCCCTGGTATTGCAGGCGTTAGTAGGCTACGGTTACTGCTTACCATTAGGTGGGCTATATACTTATTTGCTACTTTCGTGGTATAAAAAAAATGCTGTTGATACTATAATTGAAGTACGAACCAGTATTCAAACGGCTGTATCCATTGAATCCGCCAAGTGCATACAAACAGTCCCTGTACGCGATGAGACTTACTCCAGAGCGCGGGCTGATCATTGACCTGATGAAGCTCCATTGTTTTGTGTCAGGGTCGAAGACTTCTGCTGAACTCAACACTTCTTGTCCGTTGAAACCACCGACAATGTAAATCTAAAATATTAAATTATTATATATTTAATAGTTTTTTTCCCAGAAGTATGACGTAAAAAAATATAGATATGCATTTATCGACTATTGCTGTTGCGATAAATATAACACTCGGCATGCCCATATTTCGCCGAGGATTTTTTTAATGGATGACAATGAAATGGTAATCCCGCCCGCGCTAACAGTACACGCTGGCGGGGCACCAGTGAGGAATAATAAGCGAGATGAAAAAGCAGGTCAGTTATTCCGTCGTGACGAATACACCTGGAATTCAGCATAATGGTTTCCAGGGGGGACTACGTGGAGGTCGAACTAAGGATGGACCGCCCCCACCCCGGCATATGTGGCAAGGTGCGAGTCTCTCATTACTCTCTAGGTATACTGCATTGAACAAAATGACAATGTTATACTCGTATATACTTACGTGAATATTGTTATTCTTATTTCAGCTTACCTTTCCACTTAGAGAAGCGGCGGAGGCGTCGGATCTTTGTTTATTCATAGCCGTTGTCATCTCCCACTGATTCTTGTCAGGGTAGTATCGCTCTACTGAAGACATACGTGTGCGACCATTGTACCCGCCAAGTGCATAAATTAAACCACCTGCGTCAAAGATTATGGAAGCTATCCATCATAAAATATTATCAATAGGTATGTAACATACTTACGCAACATGCAGAATCATTATTTCACGCCGTTTCAAATATTTATCTCGTTAAATTAAGCTAAAAAGTATAACATTACTTTCATAATCTTTGTTAGTATCTGAGGTTTCTACACTTCAGACATATTCATCTATGGAGAAGGCAAAGTGATGGAATGCACGTTCTCCTGTCCAATCAACAGCAAAAGAAGCAAATACCTTCTTTTGCTAACTATATTTATACATTTCATTATTATGGTTAGCCATGTAGTCGTGGCATAGAATGGACTACTTTTTCTTTTCTCGTTGATGTAGTAAGAGGCGACTAAGAGAATTGAATGGTCAAGGGATAGGTAGCAGCGTCCTTATTAAAACATCACCAAAGGCCAAATGCGGTTGCTAATCAGACGGACCAAGCACGGCAAACCCTCTTATGGAGGAGGCCTATATTCAGCTGGTGTTGTGGGTGATCATGGGCGGCGGTAGTCACTTACCATCAGGTGAGCCGCATGCTCGTTTGCCTCCTGTGTTGTAAAAAAAAAAAGAATAGTGAACTATCCACTGTTGAATTAATAGCTGTTAAAAGCTGATATGATGATTATTATTATTCTGATTGATTATATTTTATGGAACATCCACGGAGAATAGATGAGAATTAAACTCACCATGCGCAACAACGCTAACGTAACATCGCGCTTGATACATGCATGCCCTTTCGTGCCAGGTATTGGCCACAGGGTCGTAGCATCGCACCGTATTGAAATGGTCACTTCCGTCGAAGCCACCGATCATGTAGATCAAATTGTTCAAAGTGCACAATCCATGATAGGCACGGGGCGTAAGGTCCATATGGATTGAGAGAAACCATCGATCAGCTCTAAAAATAAAATGTGTTTAAGATTTCTTCTGTTAGAGCCTTCAAATATCTGATAATACATCGTATCATAAGCAAATAACGAGTATTTTGAAGCTTCTCCACTATCTTTAAAGTCTTCGTTACTTTTTGAGTTTATTTGAAGTAGAAAGAATTTTAGATTATCATCCAAACCCTAGAATTTAATCCTGTAGTACCTTGTATCATAGGTTTCCACAAAGCTGGTTGGACTACCAGCGCTCCAACCACCGACAGCGAAAAGAATTTCATAAGGTATTCGAGGTCGTGCTAACGGATCATTGAGGTCTGCTTCAGTGCCGGGTCTTGAATCCAGTACTGTGAGAAACACTACAGCGGGATATAACGCTTCTTGGCATTTCTGCACATAAAATTAGCATTTCTAAAAATTCACTACGTTTTGATACATTGAGGAAGGCCTATTAAGGTTTTTTATTTTACAGCACTTACCTCGTCCTCGACTACAGGCTGCCATTGTAATATTTTGGATTTAAAATACTTGTAGCTGATATGACCAAATCGCACACAAGACAATAACGAGGGAATATATTTCCTTCTGGTTTCGATGTCGTGTTCTACCCACGTTTTTACCGCTTGGAATACAATTTCCTCATTACGAACATTTAATTCGTCGTCACGTAAAATATCTTCAAGCTCGTCGTAAGATAGAGATTTAAATTCGTTACATTCCTTAAGTATTCTGCTAAAATTCTGTCTTATGTACAATTTTCCCCTTTTCTCTAGTTCGCCACAGAAATAGTATTTAGCAAATTTGAATATACCTAGACAGTTATGAGGTCTTAGCTCTTGCAACAGAAATTGGCAGCATGATTGTATCACACCTACTATATCAAACTGATCTGCGTAAGGCAATAAATATTCTACATTTTCTGCTGTAACTGTGCATGTACCTGTATAGGCGTAGTCAAGAATTAAACTCATGTAATAGCTCGGAACATCAACAAATATCTCCGTTTCCTCAGGTTGCCCTTTTTTTAGCGAATTTATAAATATCGCTTTGAAATAAGGACTAACAGCAGAGAGTATGGCTCTGTGTATTCGTATTGATTTCATGTCCCTGCAGACAATCGTACCATCGCACAACTGGCCATTCTGTCGCAATTCATTCCATATAGACGGGAATTCTACAACCGAATAATTTTCAGGAAAGCACACACATTTCCGTTTACGCGTAACGATTCTCTTTTTGGTCAAACGTGGTTTTGTAGATGCGGGAGTACGAACTGAATTTTTAGTTTTGGATAATTTTCGATGTTTCGTATTAAATTCCATCCCTTTCGAAAAAACGGCGGTCGAAACTTGTTATCTGTCGCGATGACAGATTTTGCGACAGTATTCTTCATTTGTTTTGTTATTTTTCTAAATGAATCAATTAAAATATGAGTTCCATTAAATATTTAAATATTAGGGCAGAGTAAGTTAATAATACAGTCTAACCAATATTTAAGTAGTTTATGAATCCAATCGAGTGTCGGAGATTCTTCAGCCCGTAGAAAAAGTTGTACTTAGTCAAGTTTTTGAAAAGTGAATAAGATGTAAAAAACAATAGAGGGAGACTGTACAAAACTCGTCTGCATGAATATCTCACTGTGTTTACATAAGTAGGTATTTATTGCTATATACATAAATCGGAATTGACAGAAATGGAAACATATTACGGATACTAACATGGGTGTTACAGTGTTTTCTGTGGTGTTTATGATCATGATCATCATCATCATTTCAGCCATTATCCGTTCACTGCTGGACATAGGCCTTCCCCATAGATGGTATTGCTTTGTTTAAAATTTGCTTAAACGTCGCCAATACTTTTTTATTTCAATTGGCGACGATTAAGCAAATTTAAATCTTAACTAATTTAAAACAATTCTAAGTTACACAAAAAAAATGAGGACAATTCTGAAGCGCCATATAAACTTTCTCTCTTTATTGTTTAGTACGGTATTGCGAAGTGTGTGATATTACGTCTATATATAGGACAGAAACAACTACTTTAAGATTATTTGGTTACAGGTTACAACCGACTATAGTACATGGTCGTTTACGTAACTACACAACAGTTTTATCGTCTTTGGACTGTGATAAATTTTCTACTGGCAACATTTTTTTTATAGCTGTCAAAGTTTGATTTTGTCTATAGTCTCTTTTTCTTCTGTTTGTCAAGATGGTGAGTTTCGCTTAAAGGAAGGATAAATAAATCTATAAAAATCGAAGTGTAGTTGATAGGTAGTGATAGTTTACCATACTATTTGTGTAAAATAGTGAATTCAGTATGCGTCGTTCTCTTTATTTCAGGGTATCGACATCAACCATAAACACGACAGGAAAGTTAGGCGCACCGAAGTCAAGTCTCAAGATGTATACTTGAGATTATTAGTAAAAGTAAGTGCAAGCCTGTAAACCATAAAGATTCAAGTACAATTTCATTGTACATTTATAAATGAAACTGTAAACAATGTATATTGTTTTCATCATAACCTTTATTTTTGTTGACAGCTATACCGATACTTGGCAAGACGTACAAATGCTAAGTTTAACCAGATCATTTTGCGGCGTTTGTTTATGAGCCGCATCAATCGGCCTCCGATTTCGCTGTCGAGACTGGCTCGTCACATGAAGAGGCCCACCCGTGAGGGGCTTATCGCCGTAGTGGTTGGAACCGTCACCAACGATGTGAGGCTTTACACAGTCCCCAAAATGACAGTGGCCGCACTCCACGTCACTGAGAAGGCCCGCGCTCGCATCTTAGCTGCTGGAGGTTTGTTGATATTGATTTGTTAAATCTTGTAGGTTAGAAAGCATGCCTAATAGATCGGTTCATATATTTTAGTTATGAACATGGCTTTATATATCTATAAATTTTTAGAATATATTTACCCATCAAGAGCAGTAATAGTTAATACATGATATGTATTTCAAATTTCATGATGATTGGTTGAGCTATTAAAACGACAAGAGTACTGATAAAAAATAACTATGTAAACTATTTTCACTTTTATAATAATTAGTAAAGATTGATTAATTTAGTAAGAAATGACAAGACAGGTATGATAAATTTATTTTATTATTTATTTATTAACAGAAATAGTTCAAGGCATGAATATTATATATATATTTTGATTATTTATGACATGGATGCTAATAATCTGGACTTAATATAAGGTTTACAGTTCACTTATTTAAAGAATGTTGCAAGTTTTATTTTTAATCAAAAGGGTTTACTGCTGCTTAGGACTCACAGCCTACATTAATTATGTCCTAATTGGAATGATTTCTTGAGCTCTTAAATTTTATACCACATAAACATAAAAAAAAAATCTATGTAAGCAAAATTGAGTAAACAAAATCATAAATGAAAAACTACTTATTAAAATATTTTAATTATCGTCCAACTTCAAATACTTACTTATATTTGTTTGTTTATTGCCTTGTAATTTGCTCAGTTGTAAATGAATCTGAAAAGATATACTAAAATCCCATAGAAAATCCAAAATCAGTTCAGTATACTTTTTAAATAAAAATAACAGATTTTGTTACAATTTCTTTTTTTTGTGGAACAATCTTAACTATATTGTATTTATTTGCTATATTTTTTTTATACAACTTAGAATGGTAAAGAAGCTGTAGGCCCATCTGATGGAAAGTGGTAACCATCCTCTATAAACATGAGCAGTACCATCATCATCAGTAAATATATATGATACTTAAAATGCATGTCTATTAATTATTTTGGATCTGACTCAATTTTTATATTGGTATTTAATCATCACCATATCAGCCTTTAACTGTCCATGGCTAAACATAAGCCTCCCCCTTGGGTGGTTTTACTCTGAAGTCAATGTTCTGGACAATTAAATAGTAAATATTTTTTTTTTTTTTTAATTCTAGGAGAGATCCTGACATTCGACCAGTTGGCTCTTCGTGCGCCAACTGGCCGCAAGACCGTGCTGGTTCAAGGACGCCGCAACGCTCGTGAAGCAGTCCGTCACTTCGGCCCTGCTCCAGGGGCTCCTCGCTCACACACGAAGCCCTACGTGCGTTCAAAGGGACACGAGCGTGCGCGGCCGAGCCGTCGCTCCAACGTGTAATCTTTAAATATAAGGACTACAGTCTAATTCTGAATTTTATTTCTATACTTTTCTACATATAATCCTTACTAATATTATTTATGTAGACCAAGTTGTGGGTAGAAGCTAGTATAACAATTATGTATAGATATTGTGACATACTGAACACAAGTTTTTTTAATGGATGATAATGGAATGGTAATCCCATCTGTACTATTGGTATACACTGGCACGGCACCAGAGAGAGATGATTAGTGAAGATGAAAAGACAGGTTAATTAGCCCATCGTTATGGATTCAACAATAAATGAAACACTGATGTCCAGGGGGACCCGCTTGGAGGTCGAACTGATAGAGTATATTTTTTTTAATGGATGAAAATTGCATAGTAACTCCTACGCTATCGGTATATGCTAGAGGAGTATTACTGAGAAGTGATAGGTAAGGATGAAAAGGCAGGTCAGTTAGAATTGCACTAGGATTAACCACGATGGATTCCAGGGGAAACCGCGTGGAGGTCGACCTGATAGGATATATTGTTAACAAAGGGACTATTAAACCCCATTAATAATCTTTTTCTTCAGAATCTTTCAATTGGGACTAATCTCCCCAAAACTAACAATCCCATTCCCCCGCCTTAATAGTTTAAGAAATTGGTATGAAATTTGAAATACGCGTGTTATATGGAATAGAGAAAAATATAGGCTACTTTTTATCTCGGTCACGTGGACGAAGTCGCGGATAAAAGCTAGTAATTATGTATTTTAAAGCATGACGTTACTATCATATGACTAGTATTTTAGACAATTTTGTATACAGTTGTAGTAGAAACTGATACTAAATTCAGACTATTATTCTGAACTGATAACCAGTGGAAATTCTTTACGGAAAAATTTCAAAAATTTTCGATTTTTTCATTTAAAATGATGTATTTGATATTGTCATAATATAAAGAAATTATATTTTAAAATGAAAGACCATAAACAGCAATGTATTAACAATTATTAAAATCCTACCGCGATGCGCGGAATCTCCAGTATAAAATCACCGCCCCAAGCGTACGAACACTATCTGCAAAGAAGCGCTACTATTATATAGGTCGTTAATATCGTAAAATTTTAAATACATTGCACGGCGTTAAAACTAAGAATCGTTGGAATTATATGACTGCGGTGCATTACCGATGGGAAAACAATCTGCCATCTGATTCAGTTCATTCATCTGAATCAGCTGTTTTCGTTTTAACTAAACTCCCCCCTCTTATTCTGTATGTGGAAGGGAGTCTTTAAAGAAAATATAACAGTCGTATTCACTAAGACAATGGATATTTAAAATAGAAATTGCAGTAGCATAAAATGAAAAACAACAGATAAATAATACTGAACTGATATTTTTAAATAATTACAAAAGTAATATTATTACAGATAAAGTTATCAATATTATTGCTAATTACAAAAGGCTTTAATCCAATAAGTTATTAGTACATCATCTTGAGGAGTAAAGCCAAGAACTTTCTTCAGATTAATTACACTTTCTGATTTTGGACCCGATGCAGCAATTGCAGCCTTTACTGCTTTTGCTAATCTGTAAAAGAATGTGTAGTAACAGTTTTTAACATTCCATTCTACATCGATTAATAATAATAAAAAAAAAATAGTAAAATGGTAATCATAAATAAGTTAACCGCTCACCAGATAAAAGGTGGTAATTGTCGCCTATAGACACATGTTAATTTAGATAAGTTTTTTACATTTTCTCAAGTTTGATTATTTTCCCATATTGTCACAGGCTTTCATAACGTTTCATACAATCATGTTGTTCATCCCTCGACCATCAAATTCTCTTAGTCGTGTCTCGCGACATCTACGGGAAAAGAAAGGGTGGTTACACGGCGTCAAAGATTGTCTAATTTCTTATAACACAAGATATCTTAATTTTAGACCAGATTATTTGCGTGATAGTGTGTATACATATATAAAATGTTAATGTTTTTATCATAATTACCCAAGCCATTCCAGTTGTAATGTCTTAATATGCTGATGAAGAAGTGCATCATTAAAGGAAGTGTTGGTTATCGCTGCTTCTATTTTGTTCATGATTGTTGGACCTGCAATAAATTTCATAATGTAAAGCTTAATATCAGAAAAATATTTTGCATACGTCCAGATGTAGACATCCATAAACTATGAGTTAATCATTTACCATCAGATGAACCACCACTTGTGATACCTAAAAAATATTTTAAGATAATCTTTTTCAGATGTTTCCCAAAATAGCTATTAGACAATTAGCTATTTGTATCAGCTAACAGACTTGCTTTTAGTTTACATTTACCTATTTTTATTTTTTTTCTAATAGAGTTTGAAATGCAAAACAAGTGACCTACCTTATAGAAAGTGATAACCATTGCATAAGCAATAGAGACATTAATGACATTATTGGATATAATGTGATGCCTACAGTACAGATTCAAATAATTTATTTTTTATAAACAAATTACATTTAACTCGTCAATAACAATTCAGTTTTAATAAATAAATATACAAACAAACATTGTCAACTAAAAACAATTTTATATTTGTCATGTACTTATTAATATGATAAAATGGATTATTAGGTAGTACAAATCCTGCGTTGCCATTTCTAAGGACTAATAGGTGTTTTTCTTCTTTCGAGCTGTACTTACCACAGGGAGACTTTGTACAAAAGTCGATTGCTTGGGTACCTCTGCCCCATTCGTGTTACAACCGTGAAGCAGTTGTGTTTGCATGGCTGTGTTTCGGTTTAAAAGGTGGGATATGGCGTGAATTTACTGGGTACAGAGGAATAACACCTGAGTCCTCAGGAATGGCAATGCATTGCGGGTATCATGGGCGAAACAGTATACTTTGTTATGTCGATGGTACTGCTCATGTCTATAGGCGACAGTTATCACTTTCCATCAGGTGGGCCGTCAGCTTGTTTGCCATTCTAAGTTGTATAAAAATTAAACTTGCTGTTGGCTGCTGATAGTTTCAATACTTTCACCGGACGTGCAATTGCACATAGGTGCCTACCTGATAACGCGTAAACGGTGTGATGGGGTTCTTTGTCCCTGTCAGCGTGGACAGTGTTCATTGTGTGTGTGAGTGGTTTTTTTAATGATAATGGAATGGTAACCCAGCCCGCGCTATAGGTATACACTGGCAAGGCACCAGTGGAAGATAATAGGTGAGAATGAATGCAGGTCAATTGGCCCATCATGATGAGTACAACAAAAATTAACCAGGATGGTTTCCAGGGGTAAGCGTATGGAGGTCAACCTGAGAGGGTATATTGCTTGCAATGGGGCTTTTAGACCTCATTACTAACAATCCCTTTCCCCCCCATGCGTGTGTGATAGACGAGGATTCGATGCTAAGGGGGAGAGATACATGCCAAGATTTATTGGAACATCAGGGTTCCAAGAGCAAGTGCCTCAGGTGATGACGTCGGGGAGTACTAATAGGTGTAAAAACTTTAAAAACTCACATTTCGCAGGTAAAGTCCCATGCCATCTGCAACTAAAATTATTGTTTTCCGTTTCCTCCACTATGCAAACAGTTTCAGTAGGCGTAACCAGTTCTGTGTAATCACTTATTCGAAAATGAAGTGAGCTTGTATTGTTTACTGGTAATAATCTTGATAGACCTTTTATAATAACTATTGAATGCTGTGACTTTATATATATCTGTAAGTTGAAATGTTTACATAATGAGAAATAAATCTAAAAGGCTAGGATTTAATTAACCTAAAGACTCGATTCATTGAGACACTAAATTCAATTTTCAAATTGAACTAATATTACTTTACAGTCTCCTCAGTTCTTGTTATTTTACTGTCTTTGTCTCAATTTTGTAATTATCATCTTTCATTTAGTCCATTCATCTCTTTTAGACCCTCTTTCTTTATAACAATCTTGAATCTTCCCCAGGTATGATATTTATATCTAAGTTGCTTTTGCCCTCTATTTTGTAAACATGGATTTCAGAAGTAGGAAATTCAATTAAATAGATCACTTAAATTCAATAAATAGATTTTAAGACAGAATACAACTGTGTATTTGCATGATGCTGAAACAAACATACAGACAAATAAAATTTCTAAAAATTATAGTTCTGGCTTCTAATGCTCCTATTAAAAGCCATTATATCAATTTTTCTTAAAAAACTCTTGGACACACAAAGTATACAGATATTATCTGGTTATAATTTTATTATATTAGTAAGATTGTTTTTAAAGAACACTTACATGAATTCCAGTCAGAGTACAATAAAGCAGAACTCTAAAAACAGTTTTCGATATTAAATTTTCCAATTCTCTCAGTGCAATATACTTTTCATCATTGTTACAAATATCAACTTCACATATTGTATTCATGGTTGACTGTGGACATAATTTCTTTAGTAAATCTTCACTTGTGAATAATTTTTCTGAGTATGTGAGAGCTCCAGTCTTTAACATCCATATGAAGTGAGAGTGAAGTCTCTTGTAGACGTTTTCATCACCTAATATTGGAATAAAATAACAATTATACTGTCACAGAATAAAATAAAGAAAAAGATTGTTTCACAAATAAAAAAAAGACTTCAATTGTGGTAAAATTATTTTGATTTAAAATCTAATGTACTGAAGCAATTTTGATAAAGTTTCTATGGAACTAATATATAAATATTTTTTCAAATAAAAAAAATAATTTTCCTAATTGGTTTATGATTGATGGAGTTTCGTCAATAATTCAACTCATGAGGTAACAAAAATAAAAAAAATATAAGTGAATTGAGAAATCTTTCTTTTTTAAATCAGTTGGATAGGGGTGGGTAATATGTAGCAATATTTATATTTTAGTTACCATATTTATATACCAGTATATCTAAGAATGAATATGTTAAATGTCCTTTATCCAAAAAACAACATTGGATAACAGATAACAGAATTTTAACATAGATATTAACCAATGTTATTTTTTAAATTGAGTTTTAATACATACCAGTTAATTGTGAAAGTGATCTTGATTGTCCAAAATCATTTCTACCTGTTTTCAATCTGAGTGTCCTTTGTGAACAGATTTTCTGTTCATCATTATATACCACCTCTGCTAATTCTTGCAACTCTTTAGATATTTTCTAAAAAAAAAAAATATTATTTACTTTTAATTAAATGAGCAGGTTTTATGTTAGGAAGTAGCAATAAGCTTATGTAGCTGATTTTAAGAGCAGGATATGGAAAAGAAACTAACAATGATGGAAGCAAAACATATTTAGTTTGTATTTAGTATTTATGAAAGTTTCATATTTAGTTATTTCTATCACATGTGACAGAGATTCTGTGATGACCACCAAAGAATAATGTTGATAAAGCTGTTCATCTGATATATATTTTATCATCTGTAAACAAAACTCATTTAGATATTTAGATTTTTAAAAAGTAGCAATATACCTTCATGTGTTCAGAAAGCACTGGTGTGACATTGAGTAGGAGCATCTTGTCTTTCATCAGTACAACTATTGAAAACCAACGTTTAAGTCCTCTAGCATGTGTATCCTTCACTTGAAACATGTGACTTAGTACATGGCCCCTTGTGTCACTGAAGTAAACTACTCCACCTTCTTTGCTCCAGCTTACCTATAAATATTTTATTGTTATTTATTATGTCAGCTTTACTCACATTTTAAATATGCCGATGCCCAACTAGTTTTGAACGCAACAGGAACTCAATTTATAAGAATGATTAACAGCTATGTCATGAGTAGCACTGTGTGACCAGCACACTTTCTGTGGGGAGAAGGGATTGTTAGTAATTAGGCTTAAAAACCCCATTGCTAGCAATATACCTTATCAGGTTGACCTCCATGTGGTTCTCCCTAGTAACTATGGTGATTGATTGATTTATTGTTGAATACATCACGATGGGCTAACTGACCTGCTTCACCTTCACTTATCATCTCTCACTGGTGCCCCATCAGTACAGTACATTACCTTTAGCACAGGCGAGGTTACCATTCTATTATGATTAAAAAAAAATACACACTTTGTCATTGTATGCATGTGGTCAGCGATAGTGGTAGTTGGGCTGATTGTATAGCACTCTGCAGTTGTTATTTCACATCAGTGGATAGTGAGTGCTGATTCTCAGATTGACCCATCAGGTGAAATTCTAATGAGATAAACCTATCTCACTGAGGAAACCAAGGCCAACAATACCAAATCACTAGTGTAATAACTAGTGTAATAAATTGCTAATAAGTATAGATTTTTATTGTGTGTGGTGATGGCTGTGCTTATAAATATATAAAGTCAAGACTTACTTCACAAGTGATGCTTCTAATTGCCGCTTGGCGTAAAAACGCAGTCACGTCAGAATTGGCAACAGACTCCCTACTGCAGAATATGGTGCCATCATCATCTCTTGACACAAAAACCGTGTCAGAGCCAAGAGAATTACACCCGTTACATTGTACTGTGGTTTTCGAAGCTTCGGTAGTATTTTTCTCGTCATGAGTTGTAAAGGTACAAAATAAAGGACGCGGTCCGTGAGTTTCGCAGAAATGACATAAACCAATAATTGCATTCATTTTTAAGTACTATCTGTTTAAAACATATAAACATGTTACGTTTTAAATAGAGATGTTTATGAACATTGAAGACGACCACGAAATAGTGCAAAACAACAACTACATCTACATCAGAAAATTCTAAAACTTATTGCTTGGTGTATATTTTAATAAGTCTTACGTCAAGGTATTTAGTTAATTTTCATACGATTCCTTTTTTTTTTTTTTTTAGTACGTTTGTTCCGTTTGGAACAGGCTAAGGTCGGAGACCATGCTGCCTAGTCTTCAAAAAGATAATTTGTCTGGAATTTTATTTTTCTAATGTCGCTTCAATTATTGTCATAATCTTCAATATTTCATTTGTCAAATCCGGTAAGTACATTTTCATAAATATCTTTTCTTGAGTTTTTTTAAACCAGTGGATTTATCAAATTAAAAATAAATAATTATAAAAAATCATTGTCTTGCAATTCAATAAAAGTATTCTTATAGCTCCTTGAATGTTGTAGTAATATAAGTGAAAATAGCTTTGAAACAAGAAGGAAATCTTAAGAGAAGCGGGATTGAGTGCGGGATATTTTCGGGTTTTTTGAAGATAATCCTAAGTTCGTCAAACATAATATGTCTTTGAATGACAAATTCAGAGCAATCAAAAAAAAAAATCATAACGCTACAGTGATGTAGAGATTGGGCTGTATTTGAGTTACACCATGTGCATGATGGGGAAGCGATCATGCCCATTCGGTGCAGGTGTTCGTTGAAATGTCCGTGGCCGATTCGTAATCTACAAATATTGGTGTAAAATTTTCTGTTTGTGTCCTTTCCTTTGCAGAACCACGGTTTTCCAATACGCCAATTAATTTTGAGTATGAGTGGGTTATTGGAAACTGAAAAAACTTTGAAGAGAAATTTGAGTTTTAGGTATTCGAAACGAAGAAGGATAGGAGGCAAATTACATTCTACTTGCATTGAGATAATTGGAGAAGTATACATAGCACCTAAAATAAGTCTTAAATTCATATTTTTATTTTTTTCGAGTTTTTCTACTAATTTATGTTCTGAGGCATAACAAAAGAAAGCGTAATCAAAATTACTTCTAACAAGAGATTTGTAAAGTAAAAGGATAATTTTAGGATCAGCTCCCCAGTTACGACCAATTACAGATCTTATTATATTAGTGGCTCTTAAAGCACGATCTACTAAGCAATCAACGTATAGATCCCATTTTAAATTTTGATGAAAAATTACCCCCAGAAATTTAACGCTACAGTCTGTTGGAAGAGTTTGATTATTATATATAATATTCATTAATGGAACATATTTATGAACTTGATGAAAAACAACTACTTTACTTTTGGTTAAACTAATATCGAGGGAAAGAAGAGAAAAATATTTCTCAAGTCTTTTTAATGACTCATTTAACACTAATTGCATATCAATAATATTCTTTCCTTTTATATATATTAATAAATCATCGGCAAATTGCAAGTTGTTCACACTGTTTCCTAAAATTGAATTAAGTTTATAGATATATAAAATATATAGTAGCGGGCTTAGAATACCACCTTGACATACTCCTTTAGAGCTTAACCTAGGTCCTATTAATTTACTATTTACTTTAACATACACTTCTCTATTACTAAGAAAATTATAAATCCATTCGATAAGTTTCATTGGAAGAAATGAGGATAAAATCGAAGATAGAACTGTTAAATTTACATTGTTAAAAGCTCCTACGACATCTAAAAAAACAGATAGAACATATTCATCGTTATTCAAAGCAGTACTAAGGTCGACATAGAAGTTCGCTAAACTTTCGCGCGCTGAAAAATAATAAACCATTGACTCATTTCCTGATCTCTCTATATCCACGGCGAAAACCAAATTGATTCGATGGTAATATACTATTACTTTCAATAAAGAACTCTAAACGCTGTTTAATTAATTGTTCGAATAATTTGCCTGCACAGGACGTCAATGTTATAGGTCTATACTACCGCTCTCATCAAAATATCTGCAATTTGTACATCTGGATTTTAGTAATGCCTTCAACACCGTGGACCTCGCCATTTTTACGTTCTCTTAACATATCTCAACGTATATCACCTGTCTGGGCGTCGGCACTATTCGTATTGAGGATATTAACTCTTCTTGGTGCAACACGACTGCTACCATCAAAAACGGAGTCGAAATTTGTAGGATCTTTACCGGGTTTAATTACTGGAATCAAACAATCCATTTTCCATTCTGGTGGGATAATACAGTCCTTCCATAAATCGTTAAAAATTTGTAAGAGTTTAGTAAGGTTTATTTTATTCAGCAATCGAAACATATTGTATGTTAAGCGATCAAGGCCACTAGCTGTATCTTTTCTAGATTTTACTGCACTGGATATTTCATCAATTGAGAATGGGTCAGTGAGAAATTTTGGGCATGCATTAACAGAATTAAACTGTTTGTCATCAAAAGGTGAGTGTACAAAATCAGGAGTATATTTGCGTAAAAAATCATTGACCCATGATATATCTTTAAAATGATTTTGACGATGTTTTGAATTTAGTTTTCTCATATTTTGCCAAACAGTGGAAATTGGTGTTAATCTATTAAATTTGGAACAAAATTCCTGCCACCCCTGTTGTCTTACTTGCTTAATTACTAACTTTTTAACAGCTTGAACTCTTTTAAAATTTATGTAATTATCGAGAGTTGGATTTTGTTTAAACCTAAGGTAAGCCGCTTTACTATCATTGACAGCTGTCGCACACCTGTTATTCCACCAAGGTACTGCAATATGTTTGTGCCTCTTTGAAGTATTTGCACCGCTATTTGATAAGTTCCTACGTGGAACGGAACGTTCCACAGCTGTCAAAATAATTTTACAGAACCTATTGTAATTGTTTAAGGGTTCATTGACATCATACTCGAAATCCAAAAGTAATCGATTAACAGTTTCAGAATAAAGATCCCAATTAACGAGACGTAGGTTTATACGATTTAACAAAAGTTTATTAACTTCATCTATAGGAGCATGTTGTTCACCTGACGGAGTTGATGAAGAGTTCTTTGTGTTTATTTTAGTAAAAGTCGGCAGGTGATAACTTCCTAACGGATCATCATGAACCGACCACTCGCATTTTAATGATATGGATGGGGATACCATAGTTAAATCAAGGCCATTGGGTCTCCAAATATGAGAGCCAACAGTAGTAACTTGCTTATCATTTAATAGTACCAAATTACATTCATCTAAACAATCAAGAATGTCTTTACCTCTTGTATTAGTGGAGGTACAACCCCACATAGTATGATGTGCATTTAAATCTCCAGATATGATAGTGGGTTTAGGAAGAGACTCCAAAAAGAACTTAAATTTGGCTTTAGTAAAACTAGGTGTACTATTGGTAGGACAGTAAATACTGGCAACTGAATACCAAGAATTATTAACTTCAATACTAATAGCTATAGTTTGCAAAGAATTGTCGAAAAAAGAGTGAAGTTTTTTATATCTAATACTATTATGTATAATAATCGCTACTCCATTGTGGTTATTACCACAATCATTTCGTTCTATACAATAATCTTTAATTTTTAATTTGTAATGTGGTTTTAGCCAAGTTTCTGAGATGAGAGCAATGTGAATATGATGTTCATTTAAAAATTGTGTAAAAATATGTCGATTGCTCAGTAGGCTCTGAGCGTTCCACTGTATGATAGTTAATTGGTCTCGATTGAATTTTGTGAAATAGGTCTATTACCAAAAGTATCATATAACACATTCAAAACACTTTTAGTGTTAATAGATGTGTTCTTTGTGTTATGTAGTGAAATAAGTTTGATTATGCTTTCTATTAAAAGTGATAAACTCTTGTTATCAGAATTTAGAATTGAAATTAGGTCTACATTTTTTTTAGGTTTGTTACCCAGTTTAGGAAATATTTCAGTGCTAAGTATATCTCCAAAAGAAGCAGGTCTGAATTTAGATCTATTTTCAGCAATTTTCTTTTGTTTAACAGGGCATTGCGGTGATACACTTGTGTGATTTCCATTGCAGTGTACACAAATAGCGTTTTCCATTCCAGTTGTACAAGTTTTATAATTATGCTCACCTTTGCAGATGCTGCAACGCTCAGAATTCTTACAGAATTTAGCTAAATGTCCATACCTCAAGCACCGGTAGCATTGTTTAACTGGTGGTATATATGGAGTGACATTGTGGCGCCAACCTCCAATATCCAGATATTCAGGTAATACAGATGCAGCAAAAGTAATTGTCACGGTTAGAGTTGGCTGTAACACATATCCATGAGTCAAGGTATTTTTTATTAAAATTCTTTTAATAGCAATAATTTTCTTAGAACTCGATATCATAGTATATATTTTTTTATTAGATATATTTGTAGGTACATTTCTAATAACGCCTGTAACTTCTGTTGAAGAAGCAGGAATACTGGCCTTAAAATGGTAGTCATTTAAAAAAGTTTTATTATTTAAAAAAGCATTGGCTAAGTCTGGCTTTTGAAAGTATACTCCGATTTTGAATTTATTTATAGATCTAAGATAAGTTACCCCTTTATTAAATCGTTTTAAACAGGAGGAGAGTGAGAGCAAGTCTCTGGATCCAATGGTTTTCTGACTATCTGAGGATTCTACAAAGACAACAAATTCTGTCCCAGGGGATTCCTCGGGATATCTTCTAATATAATCTGTGACGTAGTAAGGTTTATACTTATCGGCCTTATCAATTTCAGATTCTGAGTCAGTAGAAGTATCTTCCGAATATATATCCTTGTCATTACAAGGTTCATGGTCTACATCACCTGAATCGTCATCTTTTTTTTTCCTTTTTCTACAACTGCGCTTCCCCATGAATGCTAATTATATTACTGTCGCTGAATTTAGTGAAAATATAATATTTTATTCAATAATAAGAATTGATAGAGATAGTTTTAATAAATTAATAAAAAAAATTTAAAAAACCCGCTTGTTCTTATTCGAGTTTCCCCAATTTGTTTGAAATGAATTCTGTCATTAAATGACTGATTGATGACTGACTGACTGATTGACAGCCTTTACTAATAAAGTTGTCACTTGCTTCAAGTTTTGACAGTAACAAAACACGATGGTAGACATACAATATGTTTCGATTGCTGAATAAAATAAACCTTACTAAACTCTTACAAATTTTTAACGATTTATGGAAGGACTGTATTATCCCACCAGAATGGAAAATGGATTGTTTGATTCCAGTAATTAAACCCGGTAAAGATCCTACAAATTTCGACTCCTATAGACCTATAACATTGACGTCCTGTGCAGGCAAATTATTCGAACAATTAATTAAACAGCGTTTAGAGTTCTTTATTGAAAGTAATAGTATATTACCATCGAATCAATTTGGTTTTCGCCGTGGATATTCAGCGCGCGAAAGTTTAGCGAACTTCTATGTCGACCTTAGTACTGCTTTGAATAACGATGAATATGTTCTATCTGTTTTTTTAGATGTCGTAGGAGCTTTTAACAATGTAAATTTAACAGTTCTATCTTCGATTTTATCCTCATTTCTTCCAATGAAACTTATCGAATGGATTTATAATTTTCTTAGTAATAGAGAAGTGTATGTTAAAGTAAATAGTAAATTAATAGGACCTAGGTTAAGCTCTAAAGGAGTATGTCAAGGTGGTATTCTAAGCCCGCTACTATATATTTTATATATCTATAAACTTAATTCAATTTTAGGAAACAGTGTGAACAACTTGCAATTTGCCGATGATTTATTAATTTATATAAAAGGAAAGAATATTATTGATATGCAATTAGTGTTAAATGAGTCATTAAAAAGACTTGAGAAATATTTTTCTCTTCTTTCCCTCGATATTAGTTTAACCAAAAGTAAAGTAGTTGTTTTTCATCAAGTTCATAAATATGTTCCATTAATGAATATTATATATAATAATCAAACTCTTCCAACAGACTGTAGCGTTAAATTTCTGGGGGTAATTTTTCATCAAAATTTAAAATGGGATCTATACGTTGATTGCTTAGTAGATCGTGCTTTAAGAGCCACTAATATAATAAGATCTGTAATTGGTCGTAACTGGGGAGCTGATCCTAAAATTATCCTTTTACTTTACAAATCTCTTGTTAGAAGTAATTTTGATTACGCTTTCTTTTGTTATGCCTCAGAACATAAATTAGTAGAAAAACTCGAAAAAATTCAAAATATGAATTTAAGACTTATTTTAGGTGCTATGTATACTTCTCCAATTATCTCAATGCAAGTAGAATGTAATTTGCCTCCTATCCTTCTTCGTTTCGAATACCTAAAACTCAAATTTCTCTTCAAAGTTTTTTCAGTTTCCAATAACTCTCTCATACTCAAATTATTAAATTGCCCCATTTCTATGTTTTTGAATAAAACTATTGTCAATGATTTTAATTTACGAGATGAATATAACATCTATAGTAGTAAGATACTTCCTTGTTATAATGGCCTTTATGAGAGTAAGTTCTGTAAGATCAAAATTGTTATACGTAAAGACATAAAAGAAAAGCACGATATGTATGAGACTTTATCAGAATTTATTGACTACAAGCAGATATATACAGATGGTTCCAAAAATGCACTTAGCACTTCAGTGGCTTTTTACGATTTGTCAAATAGATTTGGTCACGGTTATAAAATTTCAACTTTGGCTAGTATTTACACAGCAGAAGCAAAAGCTATATTTTTAGCATTAGAATACATAGAAAAACAGGTACTATATTCGAAATGGATTATAATTACAGATAGTATGAGTGTTCTTATGGCATTAAAAAATAACACATTCATTTCATCATCAAACTACTTAATTCAAGAAATTCGTAATAAATATTATCATCTCTGTACTATATATGGAAAAGATATTATCTTCATCTGGACCCCTTCACATATTGGAGTGTTTGGGAATGAACAAGTAGACACTTTGGCTAAAATTATTAATTCAAGTGCTGCTCGTGTTCAAGATTTACCCCTTTGTTACTCAGATTGTAGTATTGGAATACATAAAATCGTTACAACTAAATGGGAGGAGCATTGGACTCAAATATTACAGACTAAAGGCAAATGGTACCGCAAAATTAATTGGCGTATTGGAAAACCGTGGTTCTGCAAAGGAAAGGACACAAACAGAAAATTTTACACCAATATTTGTAGATTACGAATCGGCCACGGACTTTTCAACGAACACCTGCACCGAATGGGCATGATCGCTTCCCCATCATGCACATGGTGTAACTCAAATACAGCCCAATCTCTACATCACCTTTTTTTTGATTGCTCTGAATTTGTCATTCAAAGACACATTATGTTTGACGAACTTAGGATTATCTTCAAAAAACCCGAAAATATCCCGCACTCAATCCCGCTTCTCTTAAGATTTCCTTCTTGTTTCAAAGCTATTTTCACTTATATTACTACAACATTCAAGGATCTATAAGAATACTTTTATTGAATTGCAAGACAATGATTTTTTATAATTATTTATTTTTAATTTGATAAATCCACTGGTTTAAGAAAACTCAAGAAAAGATATTTATGAAAATGTACTTACCGGATTTGACAAATGAAATATTGAAGATTATGACAATAATTGAAGCGACATTAGAAAAATAAAATTCCAGACAAATTATCTTTTTGAAGACTAGGCAGCATGGTCTCCGACCTTAGCCTGTTCCAAACGGAACAAACGTACTAAAAAAAAAAAAAACACGATGGTAGATAGAGAAAGAAATATATAAGTACACGTATAGAATATATAAGGATGAAGGTAGTAGTTATTAGCCATCTATAAGTAAACCACTAAAACCATTAGTTTTACGTTACATTCTGTAGGCCTCTAGATAAATCCAATAGATGACTTTAAATACTTTTAATAAAATGGATTTGTCCACCTGTTTCAAAGTATTTGAGACCGTAGTAAAGACCGCAACATACAGTATTTTAGATTACCTTTATATAATCGTAATAGATTTGATGTCGATTACTCGATCGATTTGGTACTGATATCATTATTAGCATTAAAAACTCTTATCATCAAGGGGAAACGTGAGTAAAAATTAGTTTAAATTACCAGTTAGTGTAAACGTTAATTGTCAAAATTTTAATAATTTTGATTATAGGATTTGATGCACTCGGCTGTTATTGAGTGTAATAGTATTGAAGTCCTATTATAACTTTTAACGTTATGTTGGACTTTTGTTTCACTAAAAAACATTACTACAAGCGTGGAAAAACCAGTTATTTTGATTTAAAAACTTCATTTAAAATCGATTGGGATTTTTTTTTATCCGAAAGTACAAAATGTCCTTTCCAGATAAAAAAGGAAAAATAATACAATAGAATGAGGACCTCTTCATTATTTGAAGTAGGCAGAAAAGAAATTTATAGTCTAGCAGCAGTGGCTACCTAGATTATACAACTACTACGCAGGTAGTTACCAAAAGACAACGATTAAGTTGGAAGTCTAGTTGTATGGTAATAAAACTGTAGAATACGGATATATGACAGATCTCAGGAATGGCAATGCAAAAGAGTTATCTTGGATGTCACGGTATATTTCCTGATACAGTGGACGTCATATAGGCGTTAGTGACCACCACCAGATGTATCCTCCGCTTATTTCATTCATCATTTGCATAAAGAAATACACGGTGATTGCTAGCATTTTATATCATTACACAACATTGTCATATATAATTACAAATAAAATACGAAGGAAACCAAAAACAATTGTAACAATATTGATAGGGCTACACAATTGGGTTGAAAATTAAAACACGAGTAAAATTCGATTTTCAATAACTCATTTATTCAACTGTACACTGATTCACAGTTAATCTTTCATGAAACATCACAAGCACAGTATTGCAATTGATCACCTATAATTATTATTAAGTTGCCTGTGCTACAATCAATCGTACGACGGTGAACAATCTCCTCAGTAAAAATACATTAGACGCTATAAATTGAATTGTTCGCAAGTAGACCCGAGCCAGGCGTCTCATATTCTCAATAGAGTTAAACATGGTAACAGAGAAAGCGAAGCAATGATCCTGAACCTCGAGGGAAGAATTAAACATGATGATATATAAAATAAATTAATTTAATTATAAACAAATAACATGTTACTGTGCCTATCGAAAAAAATTGTCTAAAACATTTGTTTTATACTACTGTTTAATTGATGGCTGCGTTTATTTCTTAGAAACGGGTTTGTAGGCTAGTTTTCTCGACTTCATTGTGGTCCACTTGTGTCGCTTGAAGTAGTAGACAATTGCGGCGAGCATAGAGAACATACCAATGACTTTGATGGTCATCAGCCGCCTATCATCCAACTCTGGCTCTGAGCACCATCTCAGGAAAGTGGCCACATCCTTCGCCAATTGGGAAGCTGTCGCAGGAGTACCGTCAGAGTATTCTGCGGCCTGAAAGAGTTTTTATTCAGTGGAGTCACACAATGGCTTTAAGTGTTGTTTGTGCAATTTGTGTAATTTGTGCTTGGAATAGAAATTGTGGCCTTTACTATGTTATTTTGACAGGACATTTTACTCAGTACATATAAATTCAACGTGGCAGGAAGTATATTACCACTAACTCTCGGATTAATATGGTTTGAAAACTAATTCAGTGTTATATATCACTAATACACGTAATAGTAGGTATGCTTATAATAGTTTTCTTACCTCATTAAATAGGACTTGTGCCATAGAGATGGCACCTCCTGGGAAGTATGGGTTGTAGTTTTGTCCCTCCCGGAGGATTACGCCAGCGGGTGCGTCCATGTATCCAGTGAGGAGTGCGAAAATGTAGTCCTCACCACCCTTGCGCCCAGAGCAAATCAACGATAGATCCGGTGGGTATGCACCTGTAATTATTAGTTAGTAATTAAAATATGGAAGAAAATTTCTCCAGGGGATGAGTTATTATTTGACGACACTACATTTGCTGTTGTAATAGAAACTATAAATCACTATTAGTCACAGCAAGATGCTTCATAATGATTTGTTACATCAAATTAATCAGCTGGTCTTTAAAAATACATAGTTGCATCAAAGTGATGTATGATGCCACATATGACATGACACCATAGAGAAATAGAACACCTAGAACACCATCTATCTACCTATAAAGATGAATCCATGCAAATAAGCTTATGAATAATTAATTTTTAAAGGGACATTCACACAGTGCTGTTCTCAGACAGGATGGGCTGGGATAGGTTATAGAAGAATATTGCATATACTTTACTTAAGTTGCCTTAAATGTCGTATGGACTAACTAGTAAGCAAAAACTTTTGTACATTATTAACATGAAAGTTGTATGAGATGAGTTACAGAAGTGGATGAAATTAGAAATGTATATAAATGGCCTTTGATATTCAGTTCTCTGCTTATTCTGTAGAGAATATAGCGTCAAGATAGATACGGTTGAAAGTTACAACAACAATAAAAGAAAACAAATCGATAATCTAGCTTCTCATTATTAAAAAAAGTTCTTATTTTTTTTTTAATATACATTCTTAATTTTTGTGAAATCGTTTTTCTTTACCGTTATTGGCAGCGCGAGCAGCATTTTCATTGGGATACGGCGACGGGAAGTAGTCAGATAATTTGCCAGGTCGCTCGAAGTAATTGCCTTGTTCATCAGGACCATCCCTGATCATAACCTAGGAACCAAACATAATCGTCTTGGATTAATAACATCTAGACAGCCTCTTCATAAATGCTTGGATATAAACAGACCAACTTCTTTTTAAATGGCGTGTTTTAAAATTGTAGTGATCTTGTAATTGGTGACTGTTATCTTAAAAAATATCAATTAATATATTTATTTTAATTACGATTTGAATAATATACCTTTAGACTTTGTTATGCCCTTATAAGAAAAAAAAAAAAACATTTGAAATTATGAACATTCAGTATAAGAAAACTAAATTAAGTGACAAATTTTTATGTCGTTTTTTGGGATTTGACTATTCCTCATTAGGTTATTACATAATAGTGTTATACTTTCTTTTAACATAATTACAGCTGAATCTCTCTCAATAAAGAGATAATGACTGTCTTCTCCTTCTGGACTATATAATTAACAACTTCCACTGCACAATGGTAAATATGTCGTTATGCGTAAATGAAGTTTCTGGTTCAGTCAAAGTTTGACCAGATTAGGGTAAAAAAAATTCTAATGGTGATACAGCATTGAACATGATTATCGCGACATTTGTCGTTACCTCTTAAAATTAAAAGGGTCGATTAAAAGGGTTTACAACTTATTAGGCATAATTAACAATTCATTAACATCAAAGTTTGCGGGTCTCTTGATAATCGTAGGATATTTTTTTTATACAACTTAGAATGGCAAACAAGTTGACGGCCCACCTGATGGAAAGTGGTAACCGTCGCCTATAGACATGAGCAGTACCATGGAAATAACAGAGTATACTGTTTCACCCATGATACTCCCCATGCGTTGCCATTTCTGAGGACTCAGGTGTTATTCCTCTGTACCCTGTAAATTTACGCCATATTCCACCCTTCAAACCGAAACACAGCCATGCAAACAGAACTGCTTCACGGTAGAAACACGAATGGGACAGAGGTACTCAAGCAATCGATTTTTGTACAAAGTCTCCCTCTGGATATTATAGTCTAGAGGTGGTTTGACACATTGAGTGTATTGTAATTATATTCCTCTGTCGCCTCTTACGATATTTCAAAACTGATTCACATTACGCAAGTCCAGGTGTTATGCTGATGCTCCGCAATAAAAAAAAAACATTCTAAATGATAATGTTGGGCTTGGTGTTTTTCCAGAATGTGCTAAATGTAAGCTTCATACAAATTTTACAGCCACTAATCCTTATGGCAGTTTTATAGCTCGGCAAAACCATTGATTTGGCATAATGAGAACGGAACTATAAGGATGAAAACATTCTGGCATTATAAGGAAAGATTTTTAAGTACCTAGTATATCTATAAATTAGTCAATTATTTGTCTTACTTGGCATGTGAAAGATACAGTTGGGTGTATGTTGAAGAAATATTTAGGGTATTTTATTATTATTTATTAATAGTATAAATAACTACTAGGTAGTATATTGAATTTTTCGAGTAACTTACCTCTGCTGCTTCGGCTTTTGCCGCCTCTTCACTATGGGTTACACCGACAAGGTTTCGGAATGCGATGTACTGCAGGGAGTGACACGCTTTGCACACCTGTTTGTACACTTCGTAACCGCGGCGAATACTGTACAAAAAAAATATCAACATTATCTATATGTACTTTGTAGTATATAGTTCTATAACAGTCATATCTTAAATTTGATAAGAAGTGCTGTGATTGCCCGCTTTATTAATTAATAATTAATAAACAAGCATTTTACTAATAATTTACGGAACTAAAATATATTCTTATTTTGCTAGCCGTATATAGAAATTAAAAGTGGCTTAGTTTCACTACATGAAAGATAAACGCTGAAGAATAAGTGACCAATATATCTACAAATAAGCAAACTGAAGAGGCAATGAACTGGCTGTATAGCTCAACATATCGCAGGATGTCAGTGGATGCAGGTAGCCATTTTTTATAGATAAGAGATCGTTAATATATTGGAGGATCGGAACCATATTTCGCAGTAATTATATGCAGCAGTGGATAATGGTCAGGTAGACTTTTATTCACTAAATTTAAATGTTAAACATTTAAATTTAGTAAATAAAAGTAACAATAAAATTAACAACTTTGTCACACTTTAGTAACAAATCTAGAAAGAAAAATCTTATAAATAAATCACAAACAGTTTAACTTATATTAACTTTGCAGCAATGAACAAAATTTAAAAGTGCTTTTGTTATTTTGTAAGTAATAACCAAAGAAAACAAAGTAAGCAATGTAACATGTGATATACAGGTGATAATCTTAAAAAGTACTTTGACCTTTACTGTTTTCATAATAATAAATGAAGAAATGAAAATGTTTGGAGTATCTTTAACTTATATAAGTTAAAGATGAATGTATATTAGTTAAAAGATGAATGTTATTTAGTTTATAAACTACACACTAAAATTTATACAATACATTGGACAAACTTTTATCTGCACTATATTTGAATAACAAAAGAAAAACAACAAATACAGTTTTAATATATTAACAAGGAAAGGTGTATATTTAATTGTTTGTATTTATAATAAGTTTGCTATTGTAATCTTATGGAGGAAACAATAAAGGGTATCTATCTATATTTAATTAATAACATAATCCTATGCCTTGTCTATGGGCCAGGTTTATAACAGAATGATATTCTAGGTAGAACAAAAAAAAAAAAAATGCAGAGGAAAACAAAAATAATGGGGAAATGCTCTAAGAGAAGTGACTGGTTCCACTTGGAGAAGGAATGTCAAAGACAGAGAAATTTGGTAATCTCTAGAGAAGAACTTTGTTGGAAGGCAAGTTGTAGAGGATAAATAAAATAATACTGATACTTTTGTGTGAGATGATATTCAATACAATAGATAATATAGATTGGTTTTTGACCAAAATAAGCTATGGTTCTATTAGAGATATTTCACAGAACATAATACCATCTTGTATAATAAAACTGTAATTTATAAAGATGTAACTTTTAAATACAATATTTTTGTTTCATTGTCATAACTTTCATTTGACACTTCATAGATACATTATATTAGATATATAATAGATAGATTATATTTTTACATATTTGTATATAATTAATATATATGAATGATACTTAATGATATATATTATATATATATATATATATATATATATATATATATATATATATATATATATATATATATATATATATATATATATATATATATATATATTATATTAAGTTTGCTTTTAAATTAAATTTTGAGTTTTTAAAATTAAATATTAAAAATTCTCTGTTACATGACCCTAACAAATAAAATCAATATTCTTAAGTAATTTCTTCTAACTAAAAGTCTATTTTAATTAAGATTATTTCTATTGTAATTTCCATTAAATTTATGCTTTACCTGGCATGATCAAGTGACTGGAACCAGCCATTGTGAGACCATGGCTGGTGGGCAGGGTGTGCTTCACCCTCAGAGGCCTGCACTGATTGCTCCAGAGCAAAGAGCAAGGCTCCTACACCTCCGCCCACAACACCCAGGGTGGACAATAGCTATAAAAATCAATTTGTCATATTTATGACAGATTACATGAAGCTAAAAAATTGGGAATTAAATCCTATACTACACCACCTTGCCAGTGTGGAAATTGTAGTATAAAATCATGATTTTTCTTCAGGATTACTCCTGTTGTGGCCATAGTTGTAATTTTTACAGAAACATCTTGGTGATTACAATCCTCTAAATTTTTTATATTTTTCATAACACTTTTCTATAATACTCATCTAGAAAATAAGTTGAGCCTTTCTTAAATCTGACCAATAAAATATATAATTATATAAGTTTTTCTTCTTTAATGAATAAAAATTAAACTGTTCATTGAAATAAATCTAATTTATCATACTGAATTGATACACAAAAAGCTAGTACTTTTTTATAAATTATTATTTAAATCCTCACCAGTTTTGCTCTTTTATGATATTAAAAAAATAATAATGATAATTTTTTAAACAAGGTAACAATAATATTTGATTTAAATTAAATTTAAAATTAGTTACACAATATATTTATGTAAATATATTTTAATAATAATTAAAGACTTTTAATATTATCTCAGATGTTCTATTTCAGTAATGTTGAAAGAAATAACAAAAATTTTGATTATGCTAGTAATTAAAAATAAGATTTTGAGTGAAAATATATATATATGTACTTACCAATTTTCTGTTTCTTGTCCATCCGTGAGTACTGGTGGACAGCTGACAAACCTGCAATATATGATCTTCATTAGATTTGTTATGTACTTGTTACATAATGCTGGATAGGTTATCACTTTATATATATATATAATTAAATTCACCGATGCACTTGTCTAAGTTTTGTATTCTCCTTCGTTTATTTAGTAGTCTAAAGTTACGTAAAACGTTGAATATATGAATAAATTGATAAAATACACCCATATTCGAACCACCCTTTAGCCAATAGAATTACTCAAATTATTAACATATATGAAAGTTGAGCTGCAATTTATTATAATATTTAGCATTTAGATTATTGCTTACAGTGATTTTTAGTACCTGAGGAGTAACTAAGCCATAATTTTTCAAAAGACGTGCCCCACAAATCCTACCGACGGTGGCCGCCATGATAGTAAAACGTCGTAATGAAAGACGAACGAGCGAATGACATCTACAATATAACTGCCATTAATAAAAAACTATCTCATAATTAATCTGGAACACGATATGTATATTATTTAGTTATGTAAAATAAATTAAATTTTCGTATATTCACTAAATATAGAAATCTTGATTAAACGTTAAAATGACATATTTAATGACAGCAACGATTTACTACAATAATAATTATAAAAAAATATCTGGCTATTCAAAATATTTAGCTAGAAATTTTATATAATTTTGGAGCTAAAAAATGGCAAAATATTAAACCAGTTGCTAAAATTGAATATTAAGTATTGTATCCGTAATTTTTTATTTATTTAGTTTGTTTCGTTTGGATTTGATAACAAATTATAGTATACGAAACTCTTTACAAATATAACTATTTTTAAAGTACATAGGTGAGTAAATATTATTGAACAAAAATCAAGATGTATGATGTGATCAAGTTGTTATTTAACTAGTTACATAAAAAAATAGGATTTTTTTTATTTGATTAGATTATCATGACTTATTAGAGACATTATCTTAAAAATATATTATTAGCATCTATTTAATTATTATACAAGTGATAAACAAAAAATAGATACCTATCTATGTAGGTATAATTTACAAAACCTCAAAACCCTAAGAACAAATAAAACTACTAGTCAAACTATCAAATTATTGTTAGTCATATTGTCAGTCATATGTCAGTCTGTCCATTCAACCACTTATGTCTTTGAATTTTGAATGTTCTTTGATTTTCATTCCATTCATCTTAGGTTATTTTTTAGGTACATTAAAATTATAAATAATTAAAAAAAAATTAAATATTTTTTAAAAACTGCTGTGTAATTATATATTTGATTAATGATTATAAAGTACAGTGTAAGGCTGGGTAGTTTTTTTCTCAATTCAACACTTAAAAGGTGTTGTGCTTATTTGTAAATAAAATACCGGTATAGGTTATTTCTAAATTTACAATTTTGTGTAAAGAATATTTTTTTATTAGGGTGAGATCATTTTCTCAGTCAGAAGATAGAATGCAAGTGTTTACACAGAAGAAGAACCCCATAACCGGTAGTACAGAGTGGGACGTTCAACATGAGGATTATGATTATCATCAGGAGATCGCGCGGAGCGCTTTTGCCGATATGTTGCACGACACTGAGAGAAACAAGAAGTATTATAGAGCTTTGCAGTTGGCTATAGAAAGAATGCATAAAGATGGAAGGAAAGCCAATGTTTTGGATATAGGTGTGAATTTTGCTCTTTTTTTTCTAACAAACCAGCAATAAAAATAATTTATGGAGTTTGAAATTGTTTCAATACGAACATTTTTAATACTAATAATCAGAGTATGTTTTGCTACAAAGATACATCTATTTATTTATCCATTAAATTTTGCTAAATTCAGTGACTTAGAACAATCCCCTACTACAGTTTTTAGGGGGAGCTCTATAATCAGCAGAGGGTTGTGAATGGCTGAAATAGTGTAATAGAATATTATATAGGTTTTATATCTTTTCTGTTTTCTTAATTTCAATTTAGTTGTCTTTTTGATATAATATTTAATATAATTTGTGTTTTAATCCTTATTTTGTTAAGGCTTCAGTTACCTGTTTCACTATTCCAGCTTCATGGGTTATATTTGTATATAAGATTTGTAAAGTTAGTTAGTATATATATTTGTATTTGCTATTGCTAGGTTATCTCAGTGTTACATTAATATTTTCATCATATAAACAAATGCCAACTTGGGTATTGGTCTTCATTTAAATTTGTATAAGCATTTAGCATCACTAAGTAATAAATATTCAGCATTTAGATTTTCATATGTTTAATATTAGTGGAATGTAGGTGGTTGTAATATTCATCACAGGGAGACTTTGTACAAAAGTTGTTTGTTTGGGCATGTCTGTTCCATTCGTGTTTCTACTGTGAAGCAGTTGTGTTTGCATGGCTTCTTTGGTTTGAAGGGTGGGATATGGCAGTAAATTTACAAAGCACAGAGAAATAACACCTGAGTTCTCAGGATTGGCTATGCATGGAGGTATTATGGGTGAAACAGTACACTCTGTTATGTCCATGGTACTGCTCATGTCTATAGGTGACAGTTACCACTTTCCATTTATTAATAGGTGAAAATAAATTTTTGTATAAATGAAAATTTGATTTTTATTTTATTGTAGATCCCCAGCTTTTGCTGTGTACACTCTAAAGATACAATGTACACAGAAACCAATACCCGAAGGATATAATAGATGATAGTGTCATAGATTTTTCTGCCTAAAAAACCCATCTGTCAATAATAATATAGTAGATGATTTAGATTATAACCAGTTACATATTTTAATTTACAGGTACAGGAACAGGGTTACTATCAATCATGGCAGCAAGATGTGGAGCTGATTCTATCACAGCATGTGAGGCATTCAAGCCAATGGCTGAGTGTTGTGCAAAAATTTTAGCTTGCAATGGTGTAGCTGATAAAATTACTCTCATACCAAAAAGATCAACTGAAATGACAGTAGGTGAAAATGGAGACATGAAAGAAAAGGCTAATATTTTAGTTACAGAAGTATTTGATACAGAATTGATTGGAGAAGGTAATAAGGAATACAGTTGAACACATATTTTTGTCTATGCCTTATGCATATTTTATTATATTTTGTCATGCTTATTATCTTATCTTTGCCTTTGATGTCAACATTATAAAACTTATTGCATGTCCATCTGCAGGGGTCTTTTCTACTTCTTCTGCTTTATTCTATCTATCTATATATATCTGTCATGCTTTTCTGCTTAATATGGCTTTTCATAATGCCATCAGTTTAGAGATATAATAATAGTTGTTGTTTAAATTTGTTGGTTTATGTATTTATAGTTTTAAAAACAAATGAGATTTTTCATTATTTAAAGTATTTAGAAAAGTAGTAGAATTTAGAAATTGAAGTAACTTGTTATTAAAAATAGTTTTTTAGTACTCTGTCTTATCTATGTTTGCAACTTCAGATGAATATTTGAATTTTATATCAAGATATAATAGGCCCTTTATGAAATAGATAGATCAAGTGGGGGCCAACAGCTTTTAATCTTATATTTCTTGCTTTATTTGTTTTCATAATACATCTTAGCTATGCTATGCTGTTCCCAGTGAACCTTAATTTCTATATAATGTATAATTATGTATATTAATACTTTGTCTTATAGAATTAAATAATGCAATGTTTTTTTTTTATGCAACTTAGAATAATAAACACCCTGATGACCCACTTGATGGAAAGTGGTAACCGTCGCCTATAAACATGAGCAGTACCATCGACATAACAGAATATACTATTTTGCCTATGATGTCTTCCATGCGTTGCCATTCCTGACGACTCAGGTGTTATTCTTCTGTATCCTGCAAGTTCACTGCCATTGTCCACCCTTCAAACCTAAACAACTGCTTCACAGATAAAAACAAATGGGACAGAGGTGTCCAAGCAAACGACGTTTGTACAAAGTCTTCCTTTGTTCACAGGTGCCCTTTCTACATTTTCCCATGCTCACAAATACCTTCTAGAAAAAGATTGCATAGTGGTTCCTGACTCTGCAGTGATTTATGTACAAGTGGTCGAATGTCCTACTATGCAGAAATGGAACAAACTGAATGATTTAGCAGATGAAGAATTGGAGAATGTCTTGAGAACACCACAAAAGGTACTTTACTTTTAGTTCACTTTATCCTAGTACAGTTATAAATCTCTGAATAGGAGAGATATCCAGGTTCTCTGTAAGAGATTGCTTTTAGCGATAAGGCTTGTATAATCACATTCTGTATTAATACTCCTTGTATACATCTTTATTGTGCACAATAAAGACTTTATTATTATTACATATTAATATCCTTCAGACCTGTCTACTGATAACTCAAGTTCTAATTTTTGTAGAGGCTTCAGTACACCTGAGTTACTTTGCCAGCCACATAGGGAATGTCTGAATGTTAGGTTTGTCAATTCAATATAAGCTATATAAAAAATTGGTCTGGAAACTTCCTAAAAAACGAGTATACATTTTCAAGACTGGAGAAGAAATTGCGACAGCCATGAATGAAATTATTAGTATTACAGTTTTTTTTATTGCTCTTAAGATTCGAACTGTGTATTTGGACATTTATACTATGTTGATGTTTATTGAATGAAACACTTTTTATTGCTATTTTACACTTCCTTATGTAACAATATGTTTTTATAAATTACAGATGAAAGACTGCGCTGGTTCCGCTGCAGTGCACGACATTCAGTTGTCTCAGCTCCCCCGTCAAGCATTCCGCGAGCTTTCAGAGCAAATTCCTGTATTCTACTATGATTGGTCGGGGCGTACTCCAATAGATATGAAGAGAACAGTTAAGCAGCAGTTTGCTGTGACTAATACTGGACGCGCACAGATGGTTTTTATGTGGTGGGAGCTGAATATGGACACTGAAGGTACATGTTAGTTGTAGCTCACGGCTTTATCATGTGTTGGGATATCTCGATTGACCGGAATAAATAGTTGTTTTTTTTTTCAATAGGTGAAAATGGAATGGTAACAACGCCTGCGCTATTGGTATACACTGGCGGGGTACCAGTGATAGATGATAGGTGAGGATGAAAGCAGGTCAGTTAGCCCATCGTGACGAATTCTACTAGAATTAACCACAATGGTTTCCAGGGAGAAACACGTGGAGGTCGACTTGATAGGGTATATTGTTAGCAATGGGGCTGTTAGAAACCTCTTACTAACAATCCTTTTTCCTCCGAAATAAATAGTAACCCATTTCCTCTATTCCATATAGTACGCGTATACCAAATTTCATGACAATTGGTAGACGCCAAAAGGTAACAAATAAAGGAAACTCACTTTTACATTTATGATATTAATAAGGATTAGCATAAATTATTGTAGCATACTGATTAATTTATGTTTGAATTATTCAAACGTAAATGTGAGTATGAACTAATATGATATGTTTAAATTATTTTCTATTGTAGCTCTGGTAATCATTTTAATGTATGTAATTTTGTTTGTGTGTGTGTGTGTGTGTTCACTACTACAATCTTTTGGAGGATTCAATGAAGAGTATATATTTATCTACCTAAGAATAGTTTTATGTGTTCCTTAGAAATTATGTATTGTTTTTTACTTTAATTCCAGGAAAGATATGTCTCAGCTGTGCACCATGGTGGACTCATACTGATGCTGATGTGGCATCAGAAAGACCACAAGACACAATACCCTGGCGGGATCACTGGATGCAAGCAGTCTATTACTTTCCACAAGAGCTAACTTTAAAGAAAGATACCGAAGTCACTTTGATATCATGCCAAGATGAATATTCACTATGGTTTTATTTAGAAGATGAAAAATCAAAATATAAAAATTACAAAAGGCCAATATGCGAGTGTGGCGTTCACATGGCATTATCAAGAACACATGTGTCATATTTAAACGACGGTAGGCGGAGTAAAAAGTTTTTATCACAGTTGAGACAGGAAATTGGAAAGGAATCAGTTGTTCTAGATCTGAACGGAAGCAGTTTTATGGGTTTGGCCGCGGCGAAATTTGGCGCGAAACAAGTATACATTTATGAGACTCTGAATCTAAATGTTGGCATTTTGATTGATTATATCAATGAGAATAGTTTAAATAATGTTACAATTGTACCCAATATAGACGACAGTATTGTTACCCAAGTGACAAATGTCATATCGGACCCGAATTTTAGTAATGCCTTGTTGCCGTGGGAGAATTTGAAAATGGCGTATATTTTGTATAAGTACAATAGTAAATTAAGGAGCGATGTGTCTATTACACCCGAGGGATGTGAGCTTTGGGGAATGCCTGTGGAATTTCAGGATTTGCACAAGATTCGTATACCACTGGATAAATGCGAGGGAATAGATATGACCACCTTTGATAATCTCGTTGAGGTTTGTATTGTATTATTTTAAACTTTAAGAAAAAGCTGTGAGGTATATTTTAGAACAATAGTAATTCGCATAGAACATTTTGACAAACATTAATGAAAAAAAAATGTTAACGCTAAAGTATAAAAAAGAATCAAATTAAATTACTAAAATTTGTATAAGCCATAGATTTAGTATAACATATTACGTAATTTAAGGTATAAGCCAAATTTGTAGATTCCTCCAAAGTCAGTCTTGTAAAATGTTGCCATTGTAGCTTTTATAATAATATTTTTTTTTTTACATCTAAAGAGAAATTTTCAAATATCATCAATAATTTCTAGTATCGTCATTCCTAATGATTTGTTCATTTATACTCAAGTATGTTGACTTGCTGTGTGGTTCCGGCATAGAATAGGCCATCCCCTTCCTTTCCCGTGGGTGTAGAAGGAGGCGACTAAGGCAGGGCGAGGGATAGGCAGCAGCGTCCCTCTTAAAACATTTCTAAAACCTAACTGTGGTTGCCAATCTACCTGCCAAGCGTGGCAACTATTGGCAAAATCCCCAAAAGGGGAGGCTTATGTTCAGCGATGGACAGTTAAAGGCTGACTGTGTTAATATAGCTAAATTTATTTTGTTATAGAGCTCTCGAATAATAAGCGACGCGGATATCGAACCGCAGCCATTGTGGGAGTATCCCTGCAAGAGTCGGGGGCTGCCGAGGAAACTTCTAGAAATCGACATGCGAGTGTTACAACCAACATATGCTACGAACGACATCCATCCAATACTGTAAGATAATATTACTTTAACTATACAGTAACCAAGTATATTTGCAGTATATATATTGTTACGATATAGTATTATATTTATTATATTAAAGTTACAATTCTATATAAATATTGTAACTAAAATATATACTATATATACATATTTATTATTTTTTCGGTTGAAACACGAATGGGACAGAGGCACCCAAGCCTCTGTCCCATTCGTGTTTCAACCGTGAAGCAGTTATGTTTGCATGGCTGTGTTTCGGTTTGAAGGGTGGGATATGGCGTGAATTTACTGGGTACAGAGGAATAACGCATGAGTCCTCAGGAATGGCAACGCATGGGGGGTATCATGGGCGAAACAGTATACTCTGTTATTTCCATGGCACTGCTCATGTCTATAGGCGACGGTTATTACTTTCCATCAGGTGGACCGTCAGCTTGTTTGCCATTCTAAGTTGTATTAAAAAAATATATATATATAAAAAAACCTTAATTCGTCCGTCACTGTCCAGAGAAATTCAATATATAGATATCGGATCGGTATCCATATTCCCCATGCCTAGTTACAAGTTAGTATAATATGTAATTAAATTTATATCTTCGTCTTAGTAATATAAAATTGTAACGATGTCTGTACATGGAAGACATTAAAAAAAAATTGATATCAGGGATCTTTATAAGATTAATAGATGTCAATTATCAACCATCACGATGTCGCCCATATCGGTTGGATATCTCTTTACAAATATGTTAAAAGACTGTTGTCTAATAATAGATAGATTACAAACTTTTCAAATATTTATTAATGGAATATATATATATATATATATATATATATATATATATATATATATATATATATATATATATATATATATATATATTTATTTATTTCTTTCTTTCTTGTAACTAACATATATAGATATTTCATACTACTCAATGAGGTTATTTTTCAGTGACACTGACTGTGACGAAGTACAATCAATAAATGGGTTTGTGCTGTGGATGTCATGGACAGTTGGCGGGAAACAGATAAGCGCGGGTCCGCAAGAGTGGCCCGCTGTCGGCGAGAGGGTGCAGTGGGACATGCACACTAGGCAGGCGGTTAAAATACTGGTGAGTTTCATTTAGGCTTAAATAACGGCCTTGTTTGAGCAATCATAGTGCAGAATGATTCGCTAGACTGCCTGATGTACGTAAATTTCGGCAACGTGAATCGAGTTTAGCTTTTCTGCGCTAAAGTTTCTGTCCCTCTAGACAAGTGGTAAACGAATTCATCGATGGAATCGTTATCAAAAGCGAGTCCATGAGTTAGAATGAGACATCCGACGTTGCTATCTCATTCTATCTCACGCTTGCCACTTATCTAAAGGGCCAGAGGGCCTACCATGAAATGTTTTTCCAAATTTCGGAGCCAAACGAAATAGAAATTTGATCTTAAAATTACATAATACATGCCGTTTGGAAATATAAAAAAAAGGTTAAAATATTGTTCCTTTTGACTTTTATGATAGGATGTATGACGAACGAAATGTTAAACTCCATTTATTGGTCCGGTTTTGGTATAAACAAAAACACGAAATTGAGTCCGAAATTTCGGAATTTCATTTCATGGAAGACCCGCTGATTTCGTTTCGATTTAATCGATGATAGGTACGATGTTATGTATGTAATGCAGATTAGCAATCCCTTTGCCAGCAATATACTCTATCAGGTCGACCTCCACGCGGTTCTTTCGGGAAAAAATCATGATTGATTTATTATTGAAATTGTCACAACTAACTGACCTGCTTCATCATCATCGATCATCATTCATTGGTACCCCGCCTGTGTATACCGATAGCGCAGGCGGGGTTACCTTTTCATTATCATCCATTAAAAAAAAACCTTGTGTACCTTGAGTACTTTGAGATCATGATATAAGTTTGTATTAGTGATGATGATTTATAACAACAGTGCCGACTTATGCCAGTGGATGATACACAGATGTTTCTAGGGACTCATGGACAGAGGCCTTTTGTACATGGTTTTCTCTATCTCGTAAAGGAATTTGGCATGAAGAAAGATCGATGGTATTATATGATTTAAAGTATAACACACTGGTGTAGATTATGTTCGGATAGTAAAATAATTTTCTTTTTTTTTTCAGAAAAAAGCGCATGAAGCTGGCAGTACAGACACGTGGAGCTCACAGATAGCCTGCGATCTGGAGAAAGGACAATTCAATGTTGATATAAAACTCAATATTAATGACCAATAATATTTATGTACTTATTAAACTATTTATTTCGTTTCTTTCACCTTTCAAAGTTATAGAATACCTAAAAAACATGATCCGAATTAGTTATTTTTTGCATTCATATCTTAACTGTTTGTTAATTTATCACGAGTACATGGCTAAAGGATTTTAACAAATTTCTTATAAACGAATAGTTTATATATATATATATAAACGAATGGCTTAAAGATGGCGTATATTTACCAGAATAGGTCGAATAATACCAAATAATAATGTTTTTATAAATAAATTTCAACTACCATATGGACAAAGTCGCGGACACAGCTAGTATATTACAAGGTCTAACTACAGTTAGATGTGCTCGAATAGTAAATTACGAGCGATGTTAATTTTTTTGTACCCGACTGTACCGCAGCGTGAAGTAAAATTCCATCGTGACTGTACCCAAGTTCCACCTACCGCAGCACGCTACGAAAAACGACGACTTTGTAATTCCACGGCCGTAGCGGCAGCGTGCGGTTTTTGTATGCCAATTCACGCAACTGCCCTCCCCATTATCGTGGTATGCTGCTCACACGATTAATTAATTATTTATGGCTTATTAGAAAATCAGCGGATCTATCTGTACGGCTGATAAGTATCGGATATGGCTTTATCTGTGTTTAAAACTCTGATTTCATTATCGGTAAGTACGTGCCATGTGTAAACTGTATAATGTATGGTTTTTAAGGGTTCCGTATCGAAATGCTACAAAAGTATCTTTATAGTGCTACCTCAGATTACACTATATCTCAGCAATTACTAATTTGGAGAACATTTGAATGATTTGATTTGAAATAGTTTTAGATATTGTTGGCTCTCATACTGCAAACAAAATAATATGAAAAATATTTTTTATTATAATTTTTACGTGAGATTTCAAGAAAGGGTATTCAAAATTTTGCGAAGCCTCTTACGACACGTACAGAAAAGGAAGGGGTGGCCTATTCTATGTCGGGACCATACGACGACACATAAATAACATAGTTTATGAGAAATTATCAAAAAAAAAGGAAACTTAAAAATAAACTTGAGTTCATTAATATTATTTAAAGAAATGAATAATATTGTTACTAATATTTCCGTTCCCCGTACTATATGTGAACTAACGATACTTAGCACAATTTAAAATTTTAAGTCGAGTCTAGTTGTTGAGATATTAGCGCTGTGGTAAACAGACGGACGGATAAAGTTGCACCATAAAGTTTCCTTTGTATCATATAGGTAGGGAACCCTAAAAAAACACCCGGGAAGTACTTGTATAGAGCCTGTATAATACCTATATTGAACTTGATAGAACGATTTCTACTCGTATACTGGACTTATTAATTTTTTATAGATCTTGATCGATTTACCAGAGGGAGCCTTTGTACAAAAGTCGATTGCTTGGGTACCTCTGTCCCATTCGTGTTTCAACCGTGAAGCAGTCGTGTTTGCATGGCTGTGTTTCGGTTTAAAGGGTGGGATATGGCGTGAATTTACTGGGTACAGAGGAATAACACCTGACTTCTCAGGAATGGCAACGCATGGGGGGTATCATGGGCGAAACAGTATACACTGTTATGTCCATGGTACTGCTCATGTCTATAGGCGACGGTTACCACTTTCCATCAGGTGGACCGTCAGCTTGTTTGCCATTCTAAGTTGTATAAAAAAAAATTATAATAAAAAGATCGTTCCAAAAGTCGAATATCGATGTAGAAAGATCGATTTTCGATTTAACGAAAACCCTAGTTCCTAATGATTTATACTATTACTTAAACACAATACCTATAAGAGAGATACTTATATGGTAATGCTAAAAGCTATACGGGAGGTTTGTCTCAATCTGAGGTTGTTTCTGACATAAATCTGTATGTAATGGTCTATTAGGCTGAACCGGCCACGGTTAGTTTTGATGGGGATAAATGTGCACTTTAATGTCATTATTAAGATACTTGCATGCTGTCGGCACACTCCGTATAAATCTCAGATCTCAGATAAAAGATGAAGACATGTTTTTGTTGAAGTATACGGAAGTGCAGTGGATAAACTGATTGATATCGAGATACACTTATAAATTTCGATATTAAATTGGTGCTTTTTCATTCAATTGTTTATAGTGCATAAGACGGCAATACGTTTGCTGTTGTCTTTCGATTCGAATGATAATTACGGACATCTATTATATAGAAGTCGATAAAAAACATCTTTAAGATCGATAAAAGAGTCACAACACTATTTCTGAAAAGTAATTAACACCGTATGATGTCCATGTGGATGGGGCTTAATAGTTATATTAGGTAGGTACACGATGCTCTGTTTTATTTATTTATTCTTTATTGCACAATAAAATTTGTATAAATGGCGAGCTTAACGCCGTATAGCAATTTCTACTAGCTAACTATTAGATAAAAACAGAAAGCTCTTGAGGGCAGTGGTAGTCAACATTCGTTATGCATAAAATTAAATTTGGATATTAATATAAATTGATATAAATATTATACTGAATAATATAAATATATATAAAATACATACATATATAAACATATATGTATACACATATATGTATACACATATATGTATACACATAAATGTAATATATTAACACAATGATAGATATTTTGTGATATACTTATTGGATTATTAAATAATACATACAGCTGAATTTGTTGATTCAACAGATATTTATATGATTTTCAACAAATTCTAATTGAAGGATGGTTTAAATTTCTCTATATATATTTATACTTATATATATATATATATATATATATATATATATATATATATATATATATATATATATATATATATATATATATATATATATATATATATAAGTATAAATAATACTTTACTAAAATATAATACTTTTCATCAATTCTGACCCAATTTTAATAATCCTTTTGCGATTAAGTGCATTTTTATCACCAGTTTAGTAGCTTTTTATATTTTTAAATACAGTTGTGTTTTGCGTTATCATACAGTAAGATTGGTATTGTCATAGTTAAAATAAATAATTATAGCTAATTATGCAATTCCTGAGTGCATTCACGAATGTTTATCAAGAAACTGCATTATAGGTACAGGTTATTGATTGACTAATAGACGTTTTAGTTTAGAGACAGGTATAACAAGACTCTGACAAGTGGCTTAGGAATACAGCGTTAATCAATTCGTGTAATTATACTTTCAATCTTCGGAACCAGCTCTCGTTGTATTAAAGTAACAAATGGCAAACGTGCAAACGTCTAAATGCGGCGACATTCTTCGCGGCACAAGCCACAACTCGGCTTAACCTTTCCTAAACAGTAAGGAAAGCTTCCGAGAAATAACGAACCGGCCATAATTATGAGCAGCCATAGACAAGGAGTACGCGCAATTGCGGTAGGATACTGCAATTTGTCATGTAATAAGTGCCTACTTTACATTGTTTGTTTTTCCGGTATCCTTAATGCGATAGCGGTGAAGGCGTTAGGGACAGTACTGTGCGCGCTAGTAAGTACATATTTTAATCTATGGTACGGTATAATGCGAGTGCCACGATAGGTAGTGAATAATGCAGAGGTTCGCGCATGCGCTTACATATGGAATGGCAATGTCGACGGGACCAGCATACGACGTGTTAGCAAGGTGGGGTAACTCCTTACTAAAATCTATTTAACTAACACCGTGATTGTTGAATGTAAAGTATAATCTATAATTAATTCTGTATTATCTGTGTCACTTCATCAAATTATGTAAATTGACAGGTGCTCATCCTTTTCCTGTTCGCGCCTCTTGCACTGTGCTGATATTTGTAATAAATATTGTAAACTAATAAATGGATAAAAATCTCGGGTTGTTTAAATTATTATTAGTGATCATGGATGGATTGTTGCGTATTTTTTTTATTTATAACGTATTTCTAGTTGTTTATATGACAAGATATCGTCTACATTTTTCAGGGTCAGAAGAGTACTCAGATATGATAATATGTGACAGAAATATGTGAAAAATATTACCTTTCAGCGTTTGGAAATGAGAGATCTATACTTAAGTAATTCTTTTTTAGACTCAAAATTCTCTGTCACTTACAGTTATCACTGTAAGTCAATTTTATTTATAATGTAAATTTGTTTGTAAAACTATCTAGTACTTATATATATGTATATATATTATACAGACATTAACGTGATAGTAGGAACTGGATAAAAGCTTGTATTCGTATCTATACAGGTGTTTTTGACCTTGGAGCTATTAAAGATATTTACTATTCAACATTTTAATACTAAAATATAAAATAAGAAATGGGTTTTAATTAATGGGAGTTACAATCTTCCCATTAATTGAAGCATTAAATTTTTTAATTCGAACCATAGGTATGCCTTAAATTTCGACGAAGTTAGAAGAGGAAACCTAATAAATGCAGAAACGATTTAGTTTATTATAATAGCAGCTAAATAATGTTAGTAATGGAGATTAAGGCCCCAATTGCAATATACCCAACCAGGTCGACCTCCACGTGGTCCCCTCTGGAAACCATCGTGCTGAATTCTAGGTGTATTCATCACGATGGGCTAACTGACCTATATTTTAATGATTAATCCTCACTTATCTCTCATTGTTACCCTGCCGGTGTATACCGTTAGCACGGGCAGGGTTTACCATTTCATTGTTATAAAAAAAAAGACAGATGAATGTAACTATGTGTTTATATTTATGAGATATCAGATGATGAAAATTAGAAAAGACCTAAAGAAAATATCTAACAAATGTAAAGTGCACTTAGACTTGATAAAAATTAGGTTTAAATATGTACGTAGTACGTACTTTGCTTTTTATGTATTTTGCCCCAATTTTTTTATTATAGTTAGGAGACCATAAGTTTATGTTTATAATAATCTCTTTCTATAATTTACTACGAATGTGCAGGTAATATTGTAGAGTAATTGATGCCCTTGGTTCGGCTTTTATTTGTATGGCGACTGGAATTCCTTTCTATAAAAAAATCCTTGTCATTTCTCAGTAAAAGGTTGTCGTGTTCATACATTTT